ACGTGCTTTGTGGCTCCGCCAGGTGACAGCAACCATGGCCGCCTTTCGTTGTGACAAGACCGTTCTGTAGCGAGCCCCAGGAGGGATGGGAGTTCACTGCAGAAATCGGTTTTTTTTTGTAGGGCATTTAATTGCATTTACAATCATTGACACATATATCTGAGACCATTATGACATTATTAATGTTATCTGCTTGGTGGTTTGGCACAGGATTTTTATTTTTCCATATATAGGGAATACTAATCCCAACTGACTAATATTTTTTTCAGAGGGGTTGAAACCACCAACCAGTTATGTGTATGTAAATGATATATATTATATATTCAAATATATTCAAATATATTCAAATATAATACATATATATATACATATGTTATGTTGGTAATATGCACCATAATTAATGTTATTATATACTATACAGGTGGATGGGATGAATGGGGATAATGCACCATTCCCAAACATGTTTCATGATCGATCCCACGTTGGTCAGTGCCAAAACTTCGTCCATCGTTTCGATGATCAAAAACCTCATCACTTCTTAAATCTGATTTCAGTGGCCATATTTTCTTGGTAAGATCCCATTTGTAAAATCCAATTGTCATATTATAATCTTTGTCTGTATCCCATTAGATCATCATATCCGTATTCATCCCCAATGAATGCGATTATGCTTCAGACATATCGCAGATGTTTGTTCAAGCTTCGACCGCCTAGGTCGATCATGTCTGCCGACCAGATGACCATGACCATGACGGCCGAGCACAGTCGAAGTAGTAGTCTGGGGGCCCACTGGGTGGGTCATGGGGGACGATTTGCCGCAAGACTTGCCTAAGAAAGGACCCAACTAATAAATTAGATGCCTTGGGTTAAACATAGATGTGGAAAACCCACCATTTGTGGATCTTTTATCCAAAGAAAACCATAAGTTTTCCACATCTATGTTAGTTTACCCTGGGGTAGAACAGGCGATCTTTGTCTCATACTTGCGGGCTTTCAACTCTTCTGCTTATTTTGGGGGTATATAATGTTGTCGACTGATTAGTGTGAGGGGCCCCCCCCTCCCCCCCTAAACAATTTTAGTCTACTCAATAACTGACCATTTTTTTGTGCCCCCCCCTCAACAATTTTTTTGAATATTTATGTTTAATTGATTTCAATTTACTTTCAATTGAAATCAATTTACTTTCAATTGATTTCAACTTACTTTCAATTGATTTCAATTTACTTTCAATTGAAATCAATTGATTTTCAATTGATTTCAATTTACTTTCAATTGATTTCAATTTACTTTCAATGTTTTTGTTGTTTTTTCAACCCCAAAAGTTGTTTGGCACAATAGAGTACAACCCAAACATTCATATTATTGAGTAACTGAGCCACTCATGAGGTACACCCTTGAAAAATTGTTTGGATGCTCTTTTTTAATAAGGGTTTAATAAGGCATCTAATTATTTGGAAACCTTGCATTTGAAAGCTGTAATTTTAAAAAAATGAAAAACAGAAAAACAATTTTAATTAATTAATTTAAAAATAGATTCAAAAAATAGGAACAATTAAAAAACAATGAATCAAAAAAACAAACAAAAAAACAATCTGAAAAAAACTTGCCACAATAGAGCCCCCCCCAAACAGCATGGAACTGAATAAGGAGGAAAATTTTTGCCACAATAGAGTACCATGCTACTAATCGGGTGCTAACATTATTTATGTTGATCCGGGGGTAGTGCATATCATCATGAATGGGTTGCCCTGTAGACCCATGCATAGACGCTGAATGTCCTAATTTCAGTCATACCATATAATGTGGCCATATGTGGCCATGAAATACCAGTTATACCATGTTGTACCCCAACAACGGCCGCCATTCTGAATGGATTGTTCAATATATAATACAGCTTTGTAATATTGAGCAATAAAGCCCTCTTAAAGAGTTCCCTGGGGAGCCAATCCCATTCAGTTCCGGTGTGGAGGTCGAAGTAGTAGCGGGGCAGCTCAGTTTTCAGCCCCAGTCCAAGGAACAAAGTGGGAGATCGCCCAGAAAAGGATGGGGAGGGCGAGGGATCCATAAATCAAGGAACTTCAAGGAACAAATAAACACAAATTCGAATTTTTGGTAGTCAAAATTAAGATAAATTAAGGATTCAAGCAAATAGCAGATGAGGAATTCAAGCCAACAAATAGATACAAATAGTCTAGCCATGTCTAGGCAACGATGCAACGATCACTTACACCACCAACGGTGGACCTGCCTAGATCCATATCCCAACACACAGGAATAAGCATCAAATTAGCAGGGCACAAAGGAAATACCCTCAGGTATATTCAGGTAACCAAACATGGCAATTGTTTTTTTTCCCACCCATTGATAGATGTGGTTCCTATGAACACCTCCAGCATTGCGGCCATCGGCCATCACCATAGATGTTGCAAAATCATGCTACCCGGCATAACATAGATGTGGAAAATCACTCTATATATATATTATATATATATATTTCAATATATTTCAATATATTTTAGGGAATAATTCTATTTTTCATCCATCAAGTTGGCAATTTTCCAGCCCCATAAAGATGGACAGAGTTTCCAGGACTTGGTTTTGATGCACCGAGGTAGTAGTAGCAGTTTCTGACTGAAAGGATGGCAGCCATGGCCCCAGCGGATTTTTTTTCTGGCCGAGCCGAGCTTGGCAAAAACCGACCTTTTTTTGAGAGCTGCAGTTATGGCCCTTTACCAGTTTTAAGTACTTATCTGCTTAGAACCCCATTTATACAATGTACTCGTATAATCCCATTTATAACCTGCCATTTGAGGTGTTGAATCTCTTTATTGTTCATAGGAATATGAGATAATCTGAGTAGATTCGATTCCCACTTTCGCAAATCTTCCAATATAGTAGTCTATCTGAGTGCAGAAACCCAGGGATTCAAGACTTTGGCCCCAATCTATGAGGAAGGTACACGCATACACATGATGGAACAGACAGCGAAGCAGTGGCTCTCTTCCAAGTGGACGATCCTCGCAAATGGGTGCACTTAAATACCAAGAAAGGGATGCTTTCCCACCATTGGGATTTTATCCCGCAACATGAGCTGTAGTTTTGTATATGTTAGTTATATTATTTTTATTGTATTTTGGATTTATTTGGTATAGTAATGTAGTGTAATTTACGTTAATTGACATGTTATATGTTCATGCTGTCCATGCATGGACACAGTGCTTGAACATCACTGTTCCAGGTGACCCGACGTACGCGGAAAGAAGTCTTGAAGGATGGACTGTCACTTGGCGTGGCGTTTTTCATGTTTGGGATTGAGACACCAGTGACTATCGTGTGCATATCTTTGGGTTGTATCAACTAACTACGTATTGCAGGCGGAAAATAAATAACATGCATACATATGAATTTGTTGTTGTTGCTGCTGCTGTTGTTGTTGTTGTTGCTGTTGCTGATGTTGCTGCTGATGTTGTTGTTGTTGTTGTTGCTGCTGCTGCTTTTGTTTCCTCTACATTTGCCAGTGTGTTCATGGAGGCCATCGTTCTTTAGATGCATCGTGCAGGCACAAACAGGCAATTGCAAGACTGCAAGTTTTGTATTCACATGCATTCACCAATTCACCAGTTCAGGCCTGATCCGTTGCTACTTTCCGCACCTATAACTTATATATTGAACGTAGGCAGGTGGTAGTGTTCGAACTTACCCCTGACAATTTATAGTATAAAAGAAGTGCCAGCCGCAACTGCTCGCGGGCCTGAAAGTCGCACCCAGGGGACGACTGCAAAAGCTACTGGCAGCACTGCCAGCACAGCAACGCTGGGGCAACCCGGAGATTTGTTCCTAGAGATTCAGATCTTCCAGGAAGATCCAGGAACACCAAAGGGTAGAAGTGGGCAGAGGTAAGCCAATAAGGTTCCAATACGAAACATATGTTGATCCTGATCCAAATGCAATGATAGGGCCTAGGCGACGATGTATGAAAAATGGCTACCCAATGAATCTGGATCCTGATGCACTGTATATACTTGGGAGTGTCAGAAATCAGGTGACCTTGTGTTTGAACCTCAGAAGAATATTCTACCATGGTTGATTTATTCAATTTATTCAATTTATTTGTCTCTGCTAGGGTTCATGAAATGACAGTCGTGCTAATATTTGACCATAGTAGTCTATAGACTATAGTTGATATCGGTTTCAAGCCTGTTGCTTTGTGGAAATTCATCTGCAGTTTAAGCAGCAAACAGGTTTTTCATGGTTTTTCAACATCTACAACTGGGGCACACTTTGTAACCACTGGTCAGCTAGTGCTTGATCGACAGGTCTGAAGAGCTTGCAGTATTTATCTGAAAGCCTGCGCAGCTCACTGTTGCCACTCGGATGGCGTTGTGGGCTGCGATTGTTAGCTATGGATTGGTGTGTTCCTCCGTGGAATTTAGATGTTTTTTTGCTTCCATATTTTTTATCATGTGTTTCAAGCATTTCAATTTTGGGTGATCAATAAATACTTGGTATAAAGTATAAACAACATAATATAATGTACTATGCCCAGGTGAAAAGGTTGCGTTGTCGCCATGGCAAGAGGGAATTGCATGGCAACCCTCCACAATTTGCCCAGTGTTTTTACAACAAAATATGGAGCATCAATTTGCTAGAATAGGCGATACTGTACTTCATCAAATTGGACCAACTTTTCTTATCCCTTCCCTTGCCGACTAACCTTCAGTACACGCTAGCACATTATATATATATATATAAACATACTTATTTTGTTTTATGTATTTAAGTATATATATAACTATATATATAACTCTATCTATATATAACTATATCTATATATATAGTTATATCTATATATATATAACTATATATATATAATTAGTTGGTAATGAAAATACTTTGAATGCATTTAATGAATATCATGACAGTAATACAAAGCACCTCCGACCGCATTTTTTAACTGCCTCACTGGCTGGTTATCCAATGAGTTGGCTGGTCTGCAACCCCAAGTCGTCCACGATGCCATGGTTCATCATCTCCTTCCCTCAAAAAAGCCATAGATTTACTGGCTGGTGGTTTCAAGCATGAATTTTATTTTCCAGAATATATATTAATGTATATTAATATATGGGATGTCATCCATCCCATTGACGAACTCCATCATTTTTCAAGATGGTTGTTGCACCACCAGTTTAGGATGATTTAGGTATCCCAACATACATTGAGCTATGAATTCCAATAAATTGATATCCTCTACCCATCTCGAGGCGAAGCCATATGTTTTCGCCCGTCAAATCCAGATACCCACGGTCGCGAGTATCGCCAGGAGACACATGGAGCTGCAACAGATGCAGAGGCCCGGTGAGCCCAGTTTCTTGCTTTCCCGTGGGTTAATCGCCCATGTAGGGAAATTACTGGGACTATAGGTTTATTAGTCTTTGGCTCAATCCAAGTAATGACTCGTACAATCAACATATCAACATCCTAGTTCTTCACAGGGACCTTTTCAACCACCAATTCTAGGTCACTAAACACCCAAAAGGGTCACTTAGAAGACCCTGGAGATTGCACTAGTCATGTACTGAAGACGGTTTGTAGACAACTAATTGTCATTCTCAACGATTTCATCGTCCCCCAGGTATGAAATACAATGCTGGAAACCATGGTTTTGTATTGGATCTCATCATTTTGGGTCCTTCTTGGAGGTGTAGGATGTGGTAGGGGGCTGGGATTACAATTAACTAGCATGCGGATGATTCAGAACTCGTGCAACCAAAATGATCAAAATGGAGATGATCTCGTGAATTCTACCACTGGCAATTGAAACGGACCAAGCCATTTGAGGATTTGTCAAAGTCCGGAACGGTGGTACCGGCTCTGCCGAGTTCATGAAACCCCAATGGACAGTTAGGAATAAACATCGCCAATATGTTGGGTATGTCGGAAAATGTGGTATCCCCCGCAAACTGGCCATATGGCAATACTGTACTGTATATTCTGTAAAGGGAATCTTGGGGCTACCCTATTTTCAGACAAAGCCATGTAGTGGGTCCAAGACAGTAAAATGAAACCAAGAGAACACGTTTTTGAGCCAACAGGTCAACCGATGCAAGCATGTCGGTGAGGCGGAATGCTGCGTCGAAAATGGGAGATACCCTCTGGTGTTATCAAACATGACTGGCTGGGACATCATCTATAAAGATTTGGCGCTTTCCAGTTCCAGCTGGGAAAATCATCTATCTATGGGAAATGTTTCCTTGCCATGATTGATTACTGGAGGGTATCAGATGGTGTCACCAATTTATGGTCAATCTATGGCTAATTTCAGTGGGACGAAATCGGAATAAACCAAATGCTGAAACTATGGGAATCTCCTTGGATAGGACATGATTGTAGACATGTAGTAGCAAGAAATGAACGGTTTCATACTCTAAGCAATCACCATTTTTAGCCGTGTGCGGCCCTTGAAACATAATGAATGATAATTAATAACAATGATAATCATAATAAAACATCCCCGTGCCAGTTTCCCCCATAGAATTGGGACACCTAGGTGCTAGATAAAATGTTTTTTTTCTACAGGATACCTAAATTTCAGCTGCCTTTTTTGGCTTGTTTTGGTGGGCTCCAATTTTATCTGGAACCTGGGGGCCCCAAATTTGCCTAACTTTAATGACCCAGGGCTCCAATTTTATATAAGGCTCCAATTTTATAGGATATGTCGGTTTTGTTCTAGTTGCTAATTTTGTAGTGTATCAAGGCTTCAACTGACCACAGAATTGGAACCCCCCTAAGATTCATGTTTCAACAAGTTGTAGGGTGCTATAAAATTGGGACCCCGGCGTGCAGCACATCGCAGGTAACTACAAAATTGGAACCCTTTGGTGACCAAGTCTTTTCAGGAAACCACGCCATGTTGCTACATCAGAGCGCTCAAGCATGTGCGATGCGAATGCTGGAGAAGAGAAAACACATGAAGATAAACAAAACACATAAAACTATACCTATATATATATATATAATGTGTTTTAATTGAGTGGACCATAATGAAGAATATGTACCTCCAAAATCATCCAATTGGTTTTAACGCGGATTTATTGGTTTATAACATGATATGGTATAGCACAAAATAATAAAACATCCTTTGACTTTAACAAAATATGTTAAACATAAGATAATATCATTTAGTATAATATAATATAGCAAAATACAATGTACTATCAATTACTGAAATATAACATAATTGATCCAATATAACATATATAAAAGAAAACAAAAAATAATGATAATAATGATAATATATATATATATAATAATGTTACGTAACACCCCCTTAGAACGAAATCAAAGGGATGGAAAACCCTCTTAATTGCCACATATATGAGCCTTATTTCACACCACGGCTGTGAAGGAGAGCGCCCCCCTATAGAATTGGAGCCACAGATTCGAAGGCAATTTATGGGCCTATAAAAAGGCAGCCCCCAAGGTGCACCAAAATATCCCAAAATTCGCCCCTCCTGTTGTTGTTGTTGTTGCTGTTGCTGTTGTTGTTTGTTGTTTGTTGTTTGTTGTTTGTTGTTTGTTGTTTGTTGTTTTGTTGTTTGTTTTCTGTTGGTTGCTGTTTGTTGTTGTGTTGTTGTGTTGTTTGTTGTTGTTGTTGCTGTTGTTGTTGCTGTTGCTGTTGCTGTTGCTGCTGTTGCTGCTGTTGCTGCTGTTGCTGTTGTTGTTGTTGTTGGTTGTTGGTTGTTGGTTGTTGTTTGTTGGTTGTTTGTTGTTTGTTGTTTGTTGTTTGTTGTTTGTTGTTTGTTGTTTGTTTTCTGTTGGTTGCTGTTTGTTGTTGTGTTGTTGTGTTGTTTGTTGTTGTTGTTGTTGCTGTTGCTGTTGCTGTTGCTGCTGTTGCTGCTGTTGCTGTTGTTGTTGCTGTTGTTGTTGTTGTTGTTGAAGAAGAACGTCAACCTGCTTTTTGTAAAGAAAATAGTTAAGACGCCACAATTGCCAACCACAAGAGTCTCACTCATCCTCTCGACCACGAGCAGGGCCATGGTCGAGAAGCACTTGCCAGAAAGGTTGTGCATTCTCCTTCTGAGCCTTGAAGGCTGCAGCAGCCCAACTGGCAGCAGAGTGATATAGAGTGATGCTGCATAAGAACTGCCGAAATCTCCTCCTGAAAACTATAGCACTTGCACTTTCTGCCGCAGCGTCGGTACGACAAGCACTAAGTGCAGAGCGGTCACCGGCAGCAGGAGTCTGTTCAAAGCCTGGTATACAATGCCTTTGGTCGTGGGGCCGTCATGTGCAACCACGGCCCAACTCGCTCTCTGCCAAAACTCACTACCACAAGCTATGACACAGCTACCATCCAGACCCAGCATGGGCAACATCCCAGGGTCAGATTGTCGCAAAAATTGCACAAGCTCCTCATCCGGCTCCACCGTGTTTGTACTGGAATGATACGCCTTGCTCTCACTAAAGGCAAAAGCAATTTTCGTTCCACTGCAGATTTCTGCGCCAATCGCCCAGGGTTGGCAACCACCGCACCCTTGAGCACCCAACGGCCGTAGAATGCCAATTCATTAGTCACATTAAGGTGAAAAAGAAAACAAGGGATGTGCTCCTCAGGCACGTGTTCCTCAGTTTTAGTGTCATCACGCCACAAAGCTCTGACCCACGCACAAACCGCAGCTCTGCGTAGATAGGTCATATAGAGACCCACCCGGATTGAAATTCTCCGTCTGCTGAACCGCTTTCCAGCGAGGTCCGGGTCGACCGGGGGCAGACAACCCGCACGCCAACCTGCATCTTCTGTTCCACTCAGCCTGCGTTGCCTCGAAAAGCAAAACAAAATCAGGGTGAAGGCGTGGCGAACCAATAGAATTCCAAAAGAGAAATCTGATCCTGCCAGGTGGGGGCTTGCGCCCCCAAATTGCAGCTTCAGTCAAAGAAGTCCACTGAACCACCACCTGTCCATGCAAACAAAAAGCACCAGTTGCTGCAAAAACATTTTTTTTCACTCCAACCTGTCTGGCAGGGATGCGAATTTTTCGGCAACGCTGCGACGCTCCTGTACAACACCCGTAATAGCCAAATGGTCCACACAAGCATTCAAATTATCCAGGTTATATTGAATGCCTAAAAGCACAAACTGTTTAGCAGGTTTGCCCACAATGTCCTGTTGCAGCATGAGCTGTTGTTGCAGATGTTTATGTGTAGCAAAGCTAGCCAGCTTGTCGGGGTGGAGTTCCAAACCTAGCACTGTATCAGCCTCCGCGCCTGCGTTGAGAACAGTGTCAACAGACTGCGCTCCTTATTTTTCAGATAGCGCGATCGTCCAAGTATATCGTAATAGGCGCAAGGTTCTTGCAGTAAGACAAACCGCGCCCACACCACCATCATAGCATTCAAAAGGCAAGGGCTAGCAGGGCATGCCTGAAGCAATCCCTGTAGCTCGGGTGCAAAATTCTTCCCAGGAGATCCTCCTCCCTAGGCACCCAGCTTACCCAACGGATGGAATAGGTTTGACTTTGGTGCCTTCGATTGATGACCCCAAAACTGGAGTCTACAGAATTGGGGCCTTACTTAAACTGATTTAAAATTGGGGACATTTGGTGACCACGTTATCGAAGGAAAACAGAGGGCCTGCAAGAAACCGACTTGGGACACCAATTTTTACTAGAAAAGAACAATGATCAAACCATTTTGGTTGGCCCCAATTTTAAAGAGGTCGATTTGGAGCTAGTACATTTTTTCATACGACCTGGGTGTCCCAATTTTGTGGTGTTGTTGGGTTCGATGATATTGACGGGTTACTAGCAGGTTCTGATTTTATATCATGGGAATAGCGAGGGGGGGTTATGAGCTTATCATTTAAGCTCCTGTTAAGGCTGGATAATCATAAGGCCTTATTAAGAGCTTTTTAAGCCTTATCAGTTAAGGTCTTATTAAGGTCTTATTGACAATGGATAGCTGATTTTCCTTATCCACCGCTTATCCAAATGGATGGATAGTGTAAGTCACAACCCACAAAGGGCATTGTTTTTTTCCGCGATTTTGATATGCGTTCACCATTTTCCTCCATTTTGGCAATTTTGAGGCTTTGAGGTGCTGAAGGGTCTTTTGAGGGGGGTATGCAGAATAGCTTTCAGAATCTCGCTTATCCAAGGCTTATCCAACGCTTATCCTCAACCCTTGGATAAGCCCTAATTAAGCCCTTAATCAGCCTTTAACCCCCCAACCCCGACCCCAAAATCCAGGTCAAGGCACTCTTGGACCTCCCAAACTTGCAATGCACAGTCCGAAATTCATTTGTTTTCACAAAATGATCACCATAGCTTATCCATGGCTTATCCAGACTTATCCTTCCCTCCCTTCATCACACCCTGCTATCCCATGATTATAGGGCTGATTATGTATGTGTTTGCCAGGGCTTCAATTTTATAGATGGCAATGTTTGGGCATTTCCAAAGTATACGCTGGGTTCCCTATAAAATTGCGACACCCAGGTCTCAGGTCTCTGGGGTGAATTGGCAAGGGGATCATAAAACAACAATAATAATCATAACAAAAACAATAATATTATATAGTAATATTTAGTTTTATATTTACATTATATTTACATTATATTTACATTATATTCACATTATATTTACATTATATTTACATTATAAATGGATCATATTTACATTATATCCTTTAACGTAGCTCTAATCAAAGTACGCAACGTTTGGGACGTGAACGTTTTCGCCATGTCCAGGTCCTCGCGTACGTCTGTACGGCCGGCCAAGCGAAAGGTGCGATCCAGCTGGAGATGGTGAACAGCAACTGGGGTTGTCCAATGTTAATAGGATGTATGTGTATATATATATATAGGATATTTATTTACTGATATTTATATATATATGTGTGTGTATAACGAACATATAATGTACAGGATAATTTTAATTATAGATATATAACGAGAATTTAGTATATAGGATAGATATATAGATATACATATAAGGTCAACAATCTGATAGATAATGATATGCCAAGAAGGTGATCAGCGTTGTACAGAAACCATCTGCAGTTTGCTGTTTCTGGCGCATGTTGATTCATATGATCGCGCAAGTTCCCCATGTTTTCCATTAAAATTGAGAATCCACACCGGTTTGAACATTTTCACAGGGAAATATGATGATCAACCAGTGGATTCTGTGGGGGTTCCCATCAGTTTGATTTAGTTGAACAAACCCAAAAATGATCTTCCATTCCTCGCAGGGTTTGTACCCTTTTTGTCAATTCACCGCAAACATGGTGTTTCTTTTGTTGTTAAGTATTTGTTGGGTACCTACGATGTATATTGATACTAACGTTTACCCGCCCAAACCAGAACCCAAATTTATTTTGTAGGAACAATATGTTCATACAACCATATCTTATCAGGAAAAGTAGAACTTGGAATTGTGTAACCCCAGTTTCTGGACTTCCAAACAAGCTTGAGGACTCTGCATAGCAGTTCCTGTAATCCCGTTCTCTTCTTGGTGACATCACAGAGTCTGTCTAGTGGACCCACTTCCATTTTTGAAGGTTCTACAATATGAAAACGAAAATTCATTTTCCCATCAAGACCTTCATATATATATATATATACACATGTACAAGTATTTTTTAATATACATATATATATACATGGACTGGAGGATTTTCCATTGCCATGTTTGATTGCCAGAGGGTAACTGCTTGCAGTTGTGAAAACCATGGAGGCGCCGTGCCAGAAAAAGTCGCCTATGTCTTCGTCGAAAGGCCGGCAGCGGGTTCATCTCGTTCGAAACCGGACCTCCTTTGGAGCACAGTTTCTACACAAGATCCTGGAGTTCCAAAATTTAGATGACAACGAAAAAAGGTGCTGATTCCGATCAAAAGTGGTATATGACCATCGTGATTCAAGCAATGACAGTACTTTTACTGGAAACGATGAAAAGCGTGATTGGGATGGCAACTAAAAAATTGTATCTTAACCAATGAAGATGTACATGTCAATGTGCGAGCATGTGATAGCAGTAACAGGTTGAGATGTGGGTGTGGGTGTGCAACTCACAGGATTGTTGCATGATTTTTAGGCGCAAACCACCATTTGTAAGAACCAAATCCTTCTGTATCTCAAGGATGCTGAAGCAACACCCAAAATCAATCTAATAATCAGCATGAGTTGGGAACATACCTAGGTCAGCAATTGAAGAGGGAGAAGATGCTTTGGTATCCTAAAATGGCGTTGGGACAGCTATTAGGACTTATTGGGACCTGCTTAACTTGGGTGATTTCAAGTATGTCTTAGTTGTTTCAATCCACTTGGACCTGTACCCATGTGTCCTCCAAAAAAAACACATCACCATCTGCAGGAATTTCGATGATCAAGACCAAGGATGGACATCGACGTTGCCTGGTGAATTTTCGAGGGATTGGGTCCCAGGGATGTTGATTCTCCATGATTCTCCCATCAGGCTTTGTGGTACCAGGATAGCACTGGGGAATAACACTTGGGGTGATGAATCGCAGTAGATGAATGTTTCCAATTGAGTTGAAGGCAGCCTCCGGAATATAGCTATATATGTAGCTATACGATTTTCAATACAATTGGTACAAAGCTCTGATTTTACATCTGAATGTGAGTATGAACATCCACAAGTACCAGCATGTTTTTCCTGTGAAAAGTCAGGTACCTGGGTTTAAACCTAGACCCAACTGATAGGTTTTGGCACATGAATCGTGGTTTCAGGGACAAACCATGGAGTTGTGATAGGCTATGATTGGTTTATAGTTGGTGGATTAGTCTAATTCATCCAGATACATCATGTATCCGCATACTAGTACAGGATAGTCATAGTGAAATAGTGTCAAGTTATGCAAAGTCACTTAGAGGTATTGGAGCAATGTTCAGCACCCCCGAAGATGATAGATGGAATCCCTATTGGCCAACCACTAGGATTTGCTGAAGATGTTGTGTTATGTTCCCATTGATTAATCCACCATGACTAGGGAATCTACTGGATATTTGTGCTGTTTTTTTTGGTGGCTTGACTGGATCCATGGGGAAAAAGCGTGCTATGTTTCGGGCAACACTTTAACATTAATCGAAATTCAACGCCCCAAGGCTATGTCGCGCGCGCCATCATTTCTGGCATTGCGATCTCCTCACGCTGCGTCGCTGGGACGCAGTGAAGCATGACACAGGATGACCCCAATAGACGTTGTGTATACACAAAACTCAATATATATGTGTGGATTAAAACATCTTAAACCATACAAGTTGTACCGCACAAGGCGGTGGCGGAAGTTTCAGAATAGGAAACTTATAGGAGAGCTTGGTTGTTGTGAATCACAGATGGCAGAGTGAATCCACTGATGGACTGAAAGGCGGTTGGAGTTGTGTTTAACTAGTGTAGTGTAATGTATTGTAGTTGTAGTTTTAGTTTGTGGTAGTGTAGTGTTAGTGTTGGTGTTGGTGTTAGTGTTAGTGTTTGCGCTAGTGTAGTGTAGCGCAGTGTAGTGTAGCGTAGTGTAGTGTAGTGAAATTAGTCTGAGTGTAGCCTAGTGTAGTGTAATTAGTGTAAGTGTAGCAGTGTAGTGTAGTGTAGTGTAGTGTAATAAGTGTAAGTGTAGTGTAGTGCAATGCAGTGCAGTGTAGTGTAGCGTCGTGCAGTGTAGCGTAATGTAGTGAAGGTGTAGTTGTTGTTGTAGTTGTAGCTGTAGTTGTACTGTAATGTAGTGTAGTGGAGTGTAGTGTAGTGGTTGTAGCTGAAACTGCTACAAAACGATCCTTCTTGCTCACTTTTGACAAGGTCCACAATCCCTTGCGCCTGCCACGCGAAACGACATCTGAACTTCCAAAAGTGGTCCGAACCCCTGGTGTTTTTTTAACATTTTGCCTTCGAAATGTGCTTCGCGCCACAACGGCGTGCACTTTTCCAACATCGCAACTTCCAAAAGTGCTCCGCGGCTGAGGTGTTTTGTACATTTTGACTTCGACATGTGCTTCGTGCCACAACAGTGATTTGTCGACATCTCAACTTCTAAAAGTGCTCTGAATGTGGTGTGTTTTGTACATGTTGACTTCGAGATGTGCTTCGCGCCACAACGGCGTGCACTTTTTAAGCATCTCAACTTCCAAAAGTTCTAAAAGTTCTTTGAGCCCATCAGTTTTCAACACCTTTGACTTCGAAATATGCTTCGGGCCACAACGGCGTGCACTTTTTCGACAGCTCAACTTCCAAAAGTGTTCCGAACGTGAGGTACTTTTAGCTGTTTCACTTCCAAATGTGCTTCGCGCCATAACGGCGTGCAACTTTTCATCTCTCATCTGGCCAGATGGCTCCGCACCCGCCGCTTTACCGAGCCTACTTTTCCACCCTCTGGAGCCACAAACCATTGGACAAACGCAGTGTTTCGCGACTTTCCTACCTTTTCGCGTACCTGCATCTTCTTTCTCATTATTCTTTCTCTTCTCTCATCTTCTCTCTTTTGCTCTTCTCCTCTCTGACTCTTCCCACCTCTGCTTTTCCATCTGTCCATATTGTCGGAAGTTTGATTTCTAAACTTCCTTCAGTTAAAACCATAGATACTTTACGTATATATTTAATATATATGTATATAATTTTTATATATATATATATAACGTGTAAACAAATAAATATATATTTATATATATAACGTGTATATATATAATACTGTTTACACATTTTAGTATATATATATATTTATGTCTGTGTATATATTTATGTATTTATATATATATATATATTCATTATCATATACCCTTTATTTATATGTATATATATACATATATACACATAAATACATGTATACATATTTGCATATATATACATTTGTACATATATACATATATACATATATACATATATACATATATACATATGTACATATTTTCACATTTACGTATTTACATATATACATATATACATATATATATACATACATATTGTGTTACCTAAGTTTTACATACCTAATATGATGTGTGTTTTCTGTATCTATAAAACCTGATATAGGTGGTTTAAACCAATGTAACTCAAAACTAATCAAAGATCGGTTCTTGTGGTGGGACATTTGATCATTCTTTTGTGCTCTTTAGCGTGTTGAGGGCTTCGATCGACATGGTATTCCATACACTTTCACATAATGTCATATTATATATAATATATATATATATATAGATAGATAGTCTAAACGTGCCAAGACTTTATTCATCAACGCATAGCAATCACCAGAACATCCGTCTAGAAACAGAATTTTTGAAGACTGCCAAAGCTCAACCAACTATTAATTTTAATTAAATTGTGGAGAAGAAGTTGGCGAAGTAGATTGAAGCATGTTTTTTTAAATACAACATTGTATTTGCACCATTACTTGCAGTAACATCATGCATATAGTATACTACCTTAAATGTATATATATATATACTATGCTACTTTTTGTATTTACATATGTATATATATACACATATACATATATATATATATATGTACACAATTTTCATAGTACCATTCCTAATTAATTACTGCTTTACTGAACTGTTTGCTACAATGTTTGCACCCACGTTTGCTATAGTTTCTTGGAATCTTCGTTCCGTGGTATACGCTGGTACTTTACAACGGTTTTGACCATCTCAAGAAGGGATTGCTCCAGCTTGACTCAGTGAGTCAGACCCAAGTATGTTGATAAGTGGCGACAGTGAAATGCATCAAGAGAAAGGGATACAGATATGATATGTATGTATATATATATATATAACTGTGTATCTGTATTTTACTTAATTGTATATACAAATGTATTTGTACCAGTAGTACGGTGGCGGAAGTTTCAAAAATAGGAAACCTATAGGAGAGATTGGTTGTTGTGAATCACGGATGGCAGAGCGAATCCACTGATGGACCGAAAGGTGGTTGGAGCTGTGTTTTTTGGAGTGGCTGCAATGGTTGCAGTGGTCACCTGGTCGTTCACCTCACCCACAACTGCTGGATGTAGTGTGGTGTGGTGCAGCTGTAGTTGTAGTTGTAGCGTAGTGGAGTTGTAGTTGTGGTGTAGTGTAACTAGTGTAGTGTAGTTGCAGTTGCAATTGTGGTGGTGTAATGAGTGTAGCGTAATGTAATGTAATGCAATGTGGGGTAGGGTAGGGTAGTGTAGTGTAGTGTAATTGAGTGTAGTGTTGTGTGGTGTGGTGTAGTGTGGTGAAGTGTAGAGTAGTGTAGTATAATGCAAGTAGTGTAGTGTAGTGTAGTGTAGTGTAGTAAAGTGTGTAGTGTGTAGTGTAGAGTAGCGTAGCGTGGTGTATGCAGTTAGTGTAGCGCAGTTGTAGTTGTAGTTGTAGTTGTAGGTAGGGTAGTGTAGTGTAGTGTAGTTGAGTGTAGTGTAGTGTAGTGTAGTGTAGTGTAATGCAATTAGTGTAGTGTAGTGTGTAGTGTAGTGTGTTGTGTAGTGTGTAGTGTGTTGTGTGTGTTGTGTGTAGTGTGTTGTGTAGTGTGTTGTGTAGTGTGTTGTGTAGTGTAGTGTGTTGTGTAGTGTAGTGTAGTATGGTGTAATGCAATTAGTGTAGTGTAGTTGTAGTTGTAGTGTGGTGTAGTGTAATGTAGTGCAGTGCAGTGTAATTGAGTGTAGTGGAGTGTAGTGTAGTGTAGTGGAATGTAGTGTAGTGTAGCTGAAGTGCAGTTTAGTGGAGTGTAGTGTAATGTAGTGTAGTGGAATGTAGTGTAGTGTAGTGTAATGTAGTGGAGTGTAGTGTAGTATAATGTAGTGTAGTGGAATGTAGTGTAGTGTAGTGTAGCGTAGCGTAGCGTAGCGTCGTGTGTGTAGTGTAGTGTCGTGTCGTGTCGTGTCGTGTCGTGTCGTGTCGTGTCGTGTCGTGTCGTGTCGTGTCGTGTCGTGTCGTGTAGTGTAGTGTAGTGTAGTGTAGTGTAGTGTAGTGTAGTGTAGTGTAGTGTAGTGTGGTGGTGTAATTGAGTGTAATTTGGTGTAATTGAGTGTAATTGAGTGTAATTGAGTGTAATTGAGTGTAATTGAGTGTAATTGAGTGTAACTGAGTGTAACTGAGTGTAGTGGATTGTAGTGGACTGTAGTGTAGTAGTGTAGTGGACTGTACTGAAGGTGTAGTTGTAGTTGTAGTGTAGTGTATTGGAGTGTAGTGGTGGTTGTAGTTGAAAATATTGAAAATTTACAAACCCTCACCTTTTGTTCACTTTTGACAAGGTCCACAATCCCTTGCGCCTGCCACGCGAAACGACATCTGAACTTCCAAAAGTGGTCCGAATCCCTGGTGTTTTTTTAACATTTTGACTTCGTAATGTGCTTCGCGCCACAACGGCGTGCACTTTTCCAACATCGCAACTTCTCCGAACTTTGGTGTTTTGTACATGTTGACTTCGAGATGTGCTTCGCGCCACAACGGTGTGCACTTTTTCGACATCTCAACTTCCAAAAGTGCTCCAGACCTGGTGTGTTTAGTACATTTTGACTTCGAAATGTGCTTCGCGCCACAACGGCGTGCACTTTTTCGACATCTCAACTTCCAAAAGTGGTCCGAGAATGGTGTGGTTTGTACATTTTGACTTCGAAATGTGCTTCGCGCCAGAACGGCGTGCAATTTTTCATCTCTCAGCTCCGCACCCGCCGCTTTAGCGAGCCTACTTGTCGACCCTCCGGAGCCACAAATCATTAGAAAAACACAGTGTTTTGCGACTGTCCTACCTTTTCGGAGCATCTGCATCTTCTTTCTTCTGATTCTTTCTCTTCTCTGATCTTCTCTCTTCTACTCTTCTCTTCTCCCTGACTCTTCCCATCTCTGCTTTTCATCTGTCCATATTGTCGGAAGTTTGACTTTTAAACTTCCTTCGACTATATATATATATATATGTACAGATTGACCAAAATTATATAATGTATACACTACGTACTTACTTTTACATGCACATCACACATGGTTACACCCTGAATCCAAAGGAACCTTGAGGCTTCAAACCAAGGCAATCATATGGTTCATTTTTTTTGATCACGACAATACATTTCCAAAGATGAGATAATTTAGATTCATTCCCTTAAAAAATCTCCAATTATTGGATGAAATTAAACGTAGCAATGGGAAATCCACTATAAAATGGAGGTTCCTAGCTGGGAAAATCATGGAACTAAATAGGCTATTTTCCAGCTAGTTCGAGTTGATGACTGGAGGGCAAATTGGATTCTACTACCACCATCATATGCCGATCCCATTGGATTCACACCCCAAGCACCTCAGAAGGCACTCGGATCCCCAGGGACTGTTTAATGCAACATTTAAGCATGAATATTCAATTATCAGACTCATTCACATGACGTTAATCTTAATTTGCCATATTTCAGGTCAATATATACAGCTGACTGTATGTATATATATATATGTATACGCATAAATATGTATGCATATATATATATATATTCATGTATTCATGTACACATACAAACACATACATATACATATCATGTTTAACAACGCATGACGTGGCTCGGCGATGACATCGAGGTGCGATCGCTGGAGGAGGCCCAGGATTTACGCGCGCACCTGGAGAACCAGGCCACCTGCGGCCACCTGCGGCTACCTGCGGCCACCTGCGTCCTGCCAGGGCGGTTTAGTCCATGGTTTGAAACTAACCAACTACAATGTGGGGCCCCTAAACGATAGCTAAAGCTGGTAACTCCAATAATTATGGTTTATGAACGTTTATGACAACTTATGCCTATGGTTCATGGATGTTAATGGGGATTACAAACCATTTTATAACATCTTATAACGGGGGGGGGCACATTGTAGGGATATGTGGGTTTCTCAAGTCACGGGGGATCCCCGGTCGTCACCATGGGTTAACCTATACTAAGTCATGGTCATCCATGACTTGGATGATATGCGGGTACCCCGATGACTAGAGAAACCTCTATGTCTATATAAAGCTACAATTAAGTGGAACGTTTAAGCCTAACACATGGTGAGGATCCATCGGATATGAATGGGACTTGTTGATGATTCATAACTCACCATCTAGGGATCCCTTGTTTTTTGCACGCCGGAGCATGGGAACAGATGGGGAGGAAAATGTTTAGGGTTTCCTGCTGGGAACATGATCAAATTAAATGCTGGATTTATGTTTGATATACGGACGGTTTGAAACATGATATTGTAAATGTAGTATATGACATGAATTTGATACAGTTTGAAAAACAACATTTGTTTTTGTAATTCAATCACCAGGTTCTTGATCAGTTGTCACATGATGAGAATGACATCTTTAGGTATCATAGTCCAACGGAGTCAAGTTATTATATAATCCATATATTATATTTTTTAAAAAATGTTTTTCGTATTTCAATTTCACAAGAGATCAGTTACTCATTTCCGTTGCCATTTGGAATACATCATGGTGATGCACAGTGAGGATTTGACATCATTGTGTTACTCAACTCTTTACCTTCTCATCATTTTTTGTTGATATTACTGGCCCTAGATAGCCCTAATGTCAGCTAGGGTCATAATATGTCATCATCCTAAGCAACTGCCAGTGACGCCGTGCCGTTGATAAATCCTCGTTTTTGCTGGTGAAATTCCAGTTGTGGTCAGACCCATGTTTTTTTGGTTGAGTAGCTAGCAAACTGACTGCATGAAAAGCGCAACTTTTGGGTTGAGTCACATCGCATTTTTTGGCAATAAATCAATACCTGGTAGTTGCAAAATGGCCAGGTGTCAAGGCACCGGGTGGACAGCACAGGTCGGGGACTCAAGTGGTGATACTAAAAGGATGCCGCCAGCAGCAGTTGCCTTCACGTCAGGATATCTATCCGAATCTTCCCCAGTGACTGGTATCGGTATATCCCAGAGATTTATTTTAGCTGGTTGGTGGTTTGGAACATGACTTTTATTTTTCCAGATATTGGGAAGTTCATCATCCCAACTCACGAACTCATATTTTTCAGACGGGTAGGTCAACCACCAAACAGATAGGCATGTGAGTTTTTGTCACAAGCTCAGGTGAATGGCTTGAAGTGGCATTTGGGCCCTCGCAGGATCCTTCGGGGCCGACAAGGGTGTTTTTGACCTCACGACATGCCATGACTATGGGCATGAATTGCGGGCAAATAGATGGAAATTGTCTGAACAAGGTCAAATACCCTCATCTTTGAGATGTGTGGTGCTTAAATTTTTATATATAACTATATATATATATTTATTTATTTACAAATGCACATATATATATATACAAATATATGCATGAGTATCCCGAAACTGATATCCCATGATATCCGATTTATCCTTGGCAGAATCTCCGCACATGCTTAAATAGCTAGTGTCATCGTTCCTCTATGTTATCCAAAAAATGTTGGACAAACTGTTCTTTGTTTTTTCTCTATTTATTCCCTATAGTTCCTCTATTGATGGTTAAATTCCATATTGTTGCTTAAATACACATTGACGGTTAAATTAAACAATCTTGAACACATGTTGTTTGTTGAATTTCCATTGGTTAAATGCCTATTGACATCCCATCTCCGTACGCACTGGTGCCAGCTGTTGCGTCCAGGAGGGACACAGTTGGCACTTTCGCGCTACTGTGGACGCGCGACGATTTCTTGGACGCACCTTGTCCTCGCGACAGGTGACGTGCATCCGCCAGGCAGGAGCCCACCAGGTGGTGCAAAGAATTGTTGTTACCCTCTGGTAATTTGTTACATAACTATTGAACATGGCCCATATATAGTTGATTTACCGAACTTAAAGATGGTGATTTCGATAGCTATGTTAAATTACCAGAGGGTATTTCAAGATGGATGGTTACCTTTTGGTAAACTAACATAGACCCTGAACATAGCCATTTTTTAGTGGAAACGCACCCTCCAAGCCCCTACATGACAGGGTCTATGTTAATTTACTGCAGGGTATATCTACTTGACAATGGATGTTGATATATCCATAGTTAGCGGATTGTTATAACAATAACTATATACTTAGTCAATTTACATGTAATAAGTATATCAGTATATCTATAGTTAATGGATTTTGATGGTATATAACAAACCGTCGATGGGGATATCATCGTGATATATATATATATGTGTATATATATATATATATATATATGTGTGTGTGTGTTTCCTACGATGGAAGATCCCCAGTCGTCATCATGGTTGTTTCAATACCAAGATGGTCATCGACTTGGATGATGCAAGGGGGAACGCCCCCCGACTTAGGAAACCTGCAGATAGGTGTTTAACCATTCAAATACTGGTTGGTGGTTTGGAACATGGCTTTTATTTTTCCATTCAGTTGGGAATTTCATCATCCCAACTGACGAACTCAATCATTTTTCAGAGGGGTAGGTCAACCACCAGCCAGGTTAACTATCATTTACTATGGAAAATCACCATTTTTTATGGGTAAATCCACTATTTCTATGGCCATTTAATAGGTGTTTATCCATCAACAATGATTGAACAGGCCATGGAGGTTGTTGCATGTAATCAGATTGGATCTAGTGGAGCTTTTTTTTCGGGATTGAATGGGGATATGATGGATATGATGGGGTATACCCTCCTATTATCAAACATGGCTGGAAAATCTCAAAATAAATGGGCATTGAAGTGGACAAACATCTACAGACGGAATTAAAACATTGCCATGCTTGATCACCAAAGGATTTTTCATCAAGCTTTATGGTAACTATAGTTATTGTTAGATTGGGAAGCAACCAATAAAACAAACTTGCGGGAGAATGGCATTTTGTAGCTCCTTGGAAGGGTAATGAGGGCTGATCATAGGGGATATTGGCAAGCACCACCGACAAATGAGGTTTGAGACATTGGATAATACCATTTGGGGCCCGCAAGGACGGTGTAAGTTGCTTATAATTAGGCTAATTAGGATGGATTTAGCACTGACCTATCATGATATATCTACACTTGGATGGGTGAGCATAAACAAACATTATGATTGGGGGGCCACTTGGGCAGCTCTGGCAATCAGACATGACAATGGGAAATTCTGTGGTTTCAGGTGGTCTTTTGATAGAAATTAAGACATCCGTAGAAACGGTCTTGCCACTGCCTACTTAGATTGCCAGCTTGTATTTCCGCAGTTAGATGTTTGGACAATTCTCTGAGTATCTATGAAGTGATAGGCAGTTTCATTGCTTGCTGTGATACATGTCCTTTGGACCAATGTACGCAGGTGTTTGGATACACAACAGACTTGGCTCACTCAGCAGTGCTGGTGTCTCTAACATCGAGGTAGCCAAGGTATGGGTCATTTTTTTAGACGCTGTGACTGTCTGTGACTCTCAATGTGTTGTTTGCATTAGAAAATGTTACCGCTTGTTCCTTTAAGATACAGTGTTGTTGTATATCCTGTGTCGTTGCTCGAACATCCTTGTTCATTCTGTGGGACAGACAGATGACCATGGCTTGCGCTTGCAGTGGTTGTGGCTCTGAATGATGCCGACATGCGGACATGCGCCCAATATCATCAGGGTTATACATGTGCGCAACCGAACGTTTCTGTAAAAAACATGAGATTGTCATATGCCTTTCGCCAGACTTCAAGAACATGTGGACACTAGACTCTCGACTCTCAACTTCAAGGACAAATGCAAACCCTTGCTTTTGAAGGTAAGTTTCACTTCTCCCAATGTAGAGGATTCACCTAATTGGTCTAAAGTTCGAAAGTTGATTGCATTTGTTTTCATCTATACCCTTGATGATTTTTAGTTACAATACATGCAGTTCTCAAGCTATATTTGTCAATCTGTTGTGCTTGTTTTTGTCATGTGCTCAAAGCAAATCAGGAGATCTACAGCAGCTACTCTAGATTTGCCCATCGCTTGTGTTTTCAAATCTCATCTTCAAGCCTCATGTCCCTCTAGCTACCCAATATGCCTTAATTTTGTGTGATTCAAAAATAATCTCTGAACTTCAAACATTAACCAACACTCCCAAAACAAATTGTTTTCCAAGACACAAATTTGAACTATCTCCCTAACACCTGACCCCTATATCCCCCAAATTGCTTATAAATGATTTCTAGATTTTTGTGGATTCAAGAGTTTCAAACCTCCCCCGACCCTCCACCCGGTCCTTTTTAAAGGCCCCCCGCGTCGCGTTGCTTGCGCCATGGCTGGCCTGGTGGATTGGTCGCCTCTGCGGCACCAGCGGCACTCGGCACATCTGAAGACGGAGCCCAGCCTGGCGAAGACGGCCGAGGCAGCTGGGGATGTTGAGCAATGGGAATATTTGATATTTATATATATAGATACATACTGGTTGGTGGTTTTAAACATTTTCCATAATATATGGGATAATCCTTCCCATTGACTAATATGTTTCAACATGGTTAAAACCACCAACCAGATCAGATATACAATGGGAATATGACTTTATTGGGAATATATATATATATATATTTGTTTATTTATTATTTATTTATTTATTTACTTATGGCATCATGGGGGTATCATGGGAATATATAATCGATGGACTATTATGGACCAACCAATATGGGGGGAATCGTTTTTTTTTCCCGAGAGCGTCTGAGCGCAGGGTTCTTCCAATAGTGGGGGTCTGTATCTCACCTTCTCATCTTCACACCTTCTCATCTTCACATCTACTCATCTTCACATCTGCTCATCTTCACATCTGCTCATCTTCACATCTGCTCATCTTCACATCTGCTCATCTTCACATCTGCTCATCTTCATATCTTCTCTCACATCTTCTCTCACATCTTCTCTCATCTGCTCATCTTTCTTCATATCTTCTCTCACATCTTCTCTCACATCTGCTCATCTTCACATCTGCTCATCTTCACATCTGCTCATCTTCACATCTGCTCATCTTCAAACATCTTCTCTCTTCACATCTGCTCATCTTCACATCTTCTCTCACATCTTCTCTCACATCTGCTCATCTTCACATCTTCTCTCACATCTGCTCATCTTCACATCTGCTCATCTTCACATCTGCTCATCTTCACATCTTCTTCACATATTCTCACATCTTCTCTCACATCTGCTCATCTTCACATCTTCTCTCACATCTGCTCATCTTCACATCTGCTCATCTTCACACCTTCTCTCTCGCTCTCTCGCCTTCTTTATCTTTCTCTCTTTAGGCCGAGGGTGGTACCGGCGGCGAGTCACGAAACGGCAACCCTTTCGCACGAAATGAGGGTCGATCGGCAAAAACTGAGGTAAAATTGCGATTTGACTTGTCCGGAGCAACCCTTTCGCACGAAATGAGGGTCGATCGGCAAAAACTGAGGTAAAATTGTTGACTTGTGCCGGAGCAACCCTTTCGCACGAAATGAGGGTCGATCGGCAAAAACTGAGGTAAAATTGCGATTTGACTTGTGCCGGAGCAGCCCTTTCGCACGAAATGAGGGTCGATCGGCAAAAACTGAGGTAAAATTGCGATTTGACTTGTGCTGGAGCAACCCTTTCGCACGAAATGAGCGTCGATCGGCAAAAACTGAGGTAAAATTGCGATTTTACTTGCATGTGCCGGAGCAACCCTTTCGCACGAAATGATGGTCGATCGGCAAAAACTGAGGTAAAATTGCGATTTGACTTGTGCTGGAGCAACCCTTTCGCACGAAATGAGGTAAAATTGGATCGATCGGCAAAAACTGAGGTAAAATTGCGATTTTTCGTGTGCTGGAGTAACTTTTTCGCACGCAAAGAGGTTTGTGTGTACGAGCGTTTCTGTGTAAAGATGTTTGTGTGTAAAAGTGTTCTGTGTGTAAACGTGCATCTGTTTAAAAGTGTTTGTGTGTAAAAGCTTCTGTGTGTAAAAGTGTTTGTGTGTAAACGTGTTTGTGTGTCGGAGTGTTTCGGTGTAAAGATGTTTGTGTGTAAAAGTGTTTGTGTGTACAAGTGCATCTGTGTAAAAGTGTTTGTGTGTCAAAGCTTCTGTGTGTAAAAGCAGCTCCTGTGTGTAAAAGGGTCTGTGTGTAAAAGTGTCTGTGTGTAAACGTGTCTGTGTGTAAAAGTGTCTGTGTAAAAGCGTCTGTGTGTAAAAGCTTCTGTATGTAAAAGCTTCTGTATGTAAAAACTTCTGTGGGTAAAAGCTTTGTGTGTAAAAGCGTCTGTGTAAAAGCTTCTGTGTGTAAAAGCTTCTGTGTGTAAAAGTGTTTGCGATGCAAACTATTGTCTTGCACTTCTCACTATTTTGTCTTGATACTCCTCTTCTCGACTGCCTATATAACACATCTTTCATATATTGTTTCTAAAATTGTGTCTCCATACTAACAAGAGAAGACCCTGCTCCTCTACGCTCTCGGGCCATCCGTCGTCTAGTTGTTATTGGAATAGCATCATGGGAATGTCATGTGATCAAAAATGAATATACTGAACATATCTAAGTGTGAATCTAAATCAACAAAATAAGTGCGATGTTAAAGGACTAAAAAGAGGGAATGATATGGGAACATTTATCGACAATATAACGGGGTGTTAAGGGAATATAATGGGAATATATAGTATAAGAACCAAGCAATATGGGGAATGTGAGATATGATGGGAATATCAATGGGATACTAATGGAATATTGGTGGGATGTCAAATATTTTTGGGGATATTGAGAATGATCATGGATACTGATATGTAGATACATAATAACACGTACAGCATCATGTACATAACAATATTATATGTTTTGAACATGTTAATGGGGATAATGGATATTTAAGCAACAATGTGTACCATGGATTGTTATTGGTATCGTCCATGTAGAACATAATTAACATATAAGTTATCACTGGTTTAAGCAACAATATGTACCAAAACATATATGCACATATTTAGATAGGAATGAATGGGATATTATAAATGGGGCTAGCAACAATGATGATGGGGGTATTCAGCATCAACAAAGATACTGATACTGTAGATGGGGGTATTGATAAGCAACAAGTGACCATATGAGGTATTAACCAACCATGATAAGCCGACACTATTGGTCATATCATGGTAATACAATGTAATGTAGATAGGCATTGATGGGGTATGATATGAAATCCAAATGATATCAGGAAATGCCAGCCAATATAATGGGAATGTGCATGGGATACTATACTAATGGGATGAGATTTGGGCTTGCTATACAACACTTAAATATAATGGGAATACGATGTGAATATATATATATATACACATACTATTTGGTATGAAGGCTGATACCTTCCATCCTTCCAGTTGAGTTTGTGGTCTGTCATATTGTATGTCCATATCAGAACATACTTGGATGGCAAATTCCACTCTATTTACCGTAGTAAAAATGAATCTGACAGACTTGCAAACAGAGATTTGAAAACACCAAGCAAAATAACACAAACCCATTACACAAGCTTACTTCGGAGCAGCCATCCAAATGGGGGCTTATACGTCAGAAATTGGGGCGATACCAACAAGCGTGGGGGACCATGACATTCACAAACCAACCATGGAATTTGCTCAAGCAAAGACTGGGGAGTGACTCCCCAGTTTGACAACACTGAATGAGGCTTTTGCTGATGCTCCATGAAGGCATGTTTATACAGCTGCAATTTTTGGAAATATTCTATTGGCATCTTCCAGCAGAATAAGATAGATGCTAGAAACAAGTGATTTTCCATTTGTTTTTTGAGGGTTCTCTATATAGATTTTCACAAAGGTGCCACTCCTCCTCTTCCTCCTCTTCCTTTTCTTCTTATCCCTCCTCCTTTTCCTCCGAACACAATATCGCCAGCTCCGGATGCTGTGGGGCACGCCTGGACCTGAACACCATATCGCCAGCTCCGGATGCTGTGGGGCACGCCTGGACCCGAACACCATATCGCCAGCTTCGGAACACATGCCAGAGAGAATGAATGTCAGAGCATTTGCTAGATAGAATGAGAGAATAGATGCCTGTCAGAACAGATGCCAGATAGAATCCACAAAGAGTGTCAGAATATATGCCAGAAAGCATGTCAGAATATATGCCAGATAGAATGTCAGATAGAATGTCAGAGCATATGTCAGAAAACATGTCAGATAGAATGTCAGAAATATATATATCTTTATATATGCCTGCCATATATACTTAGGCAGAATGACAGAAACTTGGACAGAATGTTGTGTCAGGGCGGGGATCATTCGAAGAAAATTATTACTGTATCTTATTATCTTGTGTATCTTCACTGGAGGCTCCCGTAAAGTAATTAACACAGCTTTGAAACATCATCCTTTTTCAGAGGTAAACCATCTACAAATGATCTATTTTCCATACTGCGGAAGCATTAGGGTCGGCCTGGGATGACCGCAAGGGGAGCCTTCGACGCACCAAGAGCGAAGCCAACTATGCCACGGTGCAGATGGGGAGCCGACCGGGATTGGGAAAATTGTATTGACATCTTCATGAGCAACCCTCAAGACGACTGGAGAATCAAGAAAACATTATAATAGTATATGGTCCAGCGTTCCAACCCCCCCGGCCATGGTCATGGGTCAGCCATAGTACTGTCCCCCTTCCCCCCTGTGGTGTGGTGGGGTGTGGTACTGTCCCCCTCCCCCCCTTGTGGTGTGGTGGGGGTGTGGTATGGTATGTTGTGTTTGTATGGTGTTTATGGTCGGTTTGGTATGGCATGTTTGGAATGTATGGTATGTTTGGTATGTATGGTAAGTATAGTATGTAAGTCTGTTGGGTATGGTATGTTTGATGTGACAGTATGTATGGTTTGTATGGTATGAATGGTTACTATGATGGGTCTGGAATGTTTGCTATGTAAGGTAGGTATGGTATGTATGGCATGTATGTTTGGTATTGTATGTATGGTAGGTGTGGTAAATGTGTTTCACATGTATGGTATGTGTGGTATGTATGATAGGTATGATGGGTATGATAGGTATGATAGGTATGATAGGTATGGTATGTATGGTCAAAGTTCGTATGGTATGTATGGTATGTATGGTATCATTGGAAAGTATGGTAAGTACGGTATATGTTAAACTGTTAAACACATGTAGTGTTGTGAGAGTACACAGGTACAGTAGTAAATAGGAAGTATATACATAGCACATGTATATATGACTATAGGTAGCACGTAGGTACTTTGAGGGAGTATGTGTGCTACGTAGGTCTTCTAAAAGATAGCATGTACCTAGTAAATGCGAGGCTGGTAGTCAGAAATGCTGCAATGACCTAGCAAATACGAGGCTGGACCTCAGAAATGCTGCCAATAGCTTGCAAATACAAGGGAAGGGGTGCTACCTGGGGACCCATGCCCATGGGGGGGTAGGAACACGGAACACGAGACCATATATAATTATTAAGTGTGAGTTAAAACCTAAAAACGGATATGAGGTCAAGATAAAAACATCTACGCTTACGATTGAACATGATGGCCGGATCTCAACAGAAAGGACTGCGAGAAAGAGACAATCCCATGATCTAAACATGAATCAACTTCAGTTAGCTGTGAACACGAACATGATGATGAACTCGTGATTTAGGGGTAACCAGTTTCCGACAAACCCTAGGTTTTATATAGATCAAACATGTCCACCTACCGCAAACTGTTTGGCATTGGGCCTGTGGCTAGGTTCGTGCCGTGCATGGTAAACTCTTCGCCTCACAGTTGTTGCACTGCAACCCTTTGCAACGTTGTGTGTACACATATACACATATATATAATTTTATATTTATATATATAATTATGATACTGTATATACAATTTAGAGGGTTTGCGGATGTTTTGGGTTCGGATGGTTTGCCAATGGAGTTTCTTTGCATGTTTGGTAGTCACAATATGATTCATGTAATTATATACTGTATGATATATACGTGAAGGTGTAAAGACAAACTGTAAAATTGGTTTCCATCGGGAAACCGACCATTAATTTGATGTTCTGATTTACTTCAATCCTGTACAGCTACCCAAGTGTAAACTGGAATTGGAGTATTCAGCATTTTTACATGGCTTGTAGGACAAAAACTATCGCGACTGAAACCCACTTCTTTTCTCTGTGTATATCAGTTCGATTCACGTTGCTATTTTTTTGATATGTTTTGGTTCATCTGAAAGTCCTGGACAGGTAACCAACTATATAACCATTATGCTTCAAACTTATCCAACTTGGATAGACCAAATATTACGGATGTTTGATATCCCGCATTTTTGCTACACACTGATTCCCTCCCCCGCCTCATTCATTGTCTGAAGTGTTTGTCTCTACATGCTTCAAAAAAATCCAGTTGAAGTACGAAAACACATGAATCCTGGATATAGTTGGATGTTTTTGTTGACCCATATGATTGTGAATCTAAAATAACAAAGTATAGCTGGATGTTTTGTTTCTTCCCAGTCATGGTTTCTTGTGATAGGCAACTTGACCCATCTTGGTACGATGATGAGGCGCCTGCGCGGCATCAGACGGTGATCACCGATCCCAAATTCCTGGAAGAGCTCAGGACTGTGTGTCAAATGTGAAGTTTAGGCCTTAAAAAAGGCTCAAAATAGACTACTGCAATGACTACCAAGTCTGGTAAATATAAACAAACACATGTATATATATATATATACATATATACATACACATACAATATATACATACAATGTAGACTGAGGGAATGGATTAAAAATCTCGATTTTCCCTTCGCAAATCGCAGGAAATTGAAGGAGGCCCGAGCCAAGGCCATCTGGGATTGAAATGGAAGAGATTGGAAACGCACTTCGCAAGCGTAAACAAAAAACTGAGTATATACAGGTACCAACAAGTATCAACAAATTATGAGTTAAGTGATTTGAAACCCTCACTTAAAGTCACAAAGTGGATCGGATGTACTCAAGATTCAACTCACAAGAAATGCAGATGTTTTATCCACCGTGACATGAGGATACTTTGGGATCTGGGTTATGATTGGTTTGTCCCCCCAAAATCACCATGTTAACAGGCAAAATGGCGATCAGCCTTTCGATTCCATTGCTAATTGCCATTTTTTTTACATATGTGGACATCCATACACTGTTTATATCAGGCAACCCTTGAAAGGTGCCCTTGGACGCCCACTTGTTCATCGAGCCATCAGGTCCATAGGGCAATAGGTTCAGGTTCAGACCAGCCAACCATGATATGTTTGATCCGCGTTTGTCGGCTCAATTTGAAGCTTTGAGTTTTCTCTTGATGGGTCTTTATTACAGATCCAGCTTATTTCCTTGGCATCTTACAGACTTGTTATATGTTCACCCCCATCATCCTTGGTTGGTCAATGTTGGTCATCCCCTCCACAAGGTAGATCATTCTATTGGTGGTCAGATTCCACATGTTTACCCTCTAGCAAACCAATGTCGATGTGGAAAGCCATGTGAAAACCCAGCATATTGTAAGATCAGTGTCAATGCGAAACACCGTATATATGTTTTTTTCCCGCATATATGTTTGTGACTTTACGAGAGAATACCTCCAATGCTTTACCTCTTGTGTCCCATCCTTGTTTCCCCATGTTCATCATTTTTTTCTGTGCTGAAACTCCAAATTCAGACATCGAAGAAACATTTACAAAAGTGCCATTTTCCTCATATTCTCCTCATATTCTGGTGGAATGTTACCATTTTTCCCATGCGTTTTCTATCCTTCTGGGGGGCCTGTCCCATGTCGCCCCAACCATCGCCGCGTCCCACGGCCAGGCGCCGAGCTCGCCGGTGGCGCAGCTGAAGGCCACGGAGTCGGAGGAGATCAGTGCCCAGCTGCCGGAGGAGGGCTGGAGACCTGGAAAAACGTGACGTGACCGGCCGGAAGCTGATCAAAATAATAGCATATTATCTGGTTGGTGGTCGGGAACATTTTATATGTTCCATAATATATGGGATACTCCTTCCCATTGACTAATATTTTTCAGACGGGTTCAAACCACCAACCAGTATAGTATTTATAGATAGCCTGATATAATAGTATAATCCCTGATTGTAATTTAGTATATTATGTATTCATATAATGATCCCTGATTATAATATAAATGTATATCCTGATAGAATTATCCTAGTATGTATTGTATTCGGATCCTGATCATAACAGTATATTATTGTATGTATGTACTGATACTAATGTAATCATGGAATGTATATCCTGATGTAATATTAACCATAATATGGCTATATTACTGTATATGAGATTATAACATCAGATATAGTATGGTAATTTACTGTTATATACTGATACTAATGTAATAATGAAATGTATATCTTGATTATAATATCATAATGGCATATTGTAGTATATAACTGGTATATCAATGGTATGTAATTTCCTGTTTATATCATGAAATTGAATTATGAATGGATATCTATCTATATATATATATATACTAGTGTGGAATTACTAATGGACACTGAGCACCTTATGATCATTATAATAGTATGTGATGATGGTATTTACTGGTTTCACATGATGATTATCCCATTATACTAGTGAATCATCCAGTGTTTCATATTATACTAATGGTCTATACTTGTAACTCTCTCTATATATATATATATAGTAGTAGTTGGACCACGGCCTTTAGAAGGCCGTGGTGTTTTGTGGACATTGGAGGGGTGTGGTGGGGTGGGGTGGGGTGGGGTGGGGTGGGGCATGTATTAACGTTTAAGTGAACTTGCGGATGAAGGACATGCTACTGTGTGGCTGCTACTGTAAGTTCCCTTGAACTTTCCACTCATGCGGGCTCATGCGTCATGCTACGCCACTGTAAGTTCTCTTCAACTTTCCACTCATGCGTCATGCTACGCTACTGTAAGTTCTCTTGAACTTTCCACTCATGCGTCATGCAACGCTACTGTCAGTTCTCTTGAACTTTCCACTCATGCGTCATGCTATGCTACTGTAAGTTCTTTTGAACTTTCCAGTTATGCGTCACGCTACGCTATTGTAAGTTCTCTTGAGCTTTCCACTCATGCGTCATGCTATGCTACTGTAAGTTCTCTTGAACTTTCCACTTATGCGTCATGCTACGCTACTGTCAGTTCTCTTGAACTTTCCACTCAAGCGTCATGCTTCGCTACTGTAAGTTCTCTTGAACTTTTCACTCATGCGTCATGCTACGCTACTGTCAGTTTTCTTGAACTTTCCAACATCTCCGGGACCCAAACGTTGGACCGGTCCTGGAAGTCTTTAAAAGACTTCTTGCCAGCTCACATGGTTTTGAAACACAAAGACCGTGGGCATTCCACTTTGCACCCTTCAGTGACACAATATGTGTTCATGTGGTGCTGGCGTTGTAGCTTAGAAAATCCAGATCCTTACAGGTTCTTGGAAGCACTCGAAGCATCTCGAAGCGTTGCTCTGACCAAAAGGGGACTCAAAACATGTCAGGTCGAATTAGTTTCAGAATCGGCAAAAACACCAAGAATGGTAGTTTCGTCTAGGCGAAATGCCTGTTTTTGAAAAACTGCACCAGGATAAGGGGTTAACAGCCTTAAAAATCAAATCAAACAAATTCCTGTTGGCACGAGCACATCAAACATCATCCATGATACCCCGCTGATCACAAAAAAACCACGGCCTTCTAAAGGCCGTGCTCCTAGTTACTATTATTGTTTTTTATCATTATTATTTTGTTATTATGGTATATTACTTGTTTCACAATGGTTTCACATAATATGAATAATTATGAACCCAGTGTATAATAGCATTAGAGTGGTTTAATGGATAAAGATATTACATGATATTACTGTATCCAGTATATAAGATAGTGGGAATATAAGCATCTAACTTAAAGAACTGGGGGACCACAGGGTTTAGTCTATTTTGAATATTAACCATCCATTGTTAGGGGTATCTAACTTTGACCCATACCCATTTGACTGTCACAATATACGTGTACTGGATATAGTTTGATGATATAGTAACTATAATAGTAAGGATATATAGTATGATGATAGATACCTGGGATTATGATTAATCAGTATGTGCCAGGACATTAGTTGATATGATTGTGACTATTATAATGTAATAATGGTATAGTATATTGTATCGCAATATAGTATTGGTTTCTCTAATGGCTATAGTGACAAAAGTAAATGAGATATATATTGTAATACAGCATGTAAATATATAAAGTATACGGTTTCTGGTTTATAATGTAGTAGTATAATCCCATTGTAGTAGGGTCATCTGATTATGATAATGATAATTCCCAAAGAATGCATAAGATCCAATGATATTGCAACTTGACTTTTGTGATGCAATGATGGTAGCCTTGGTATATATACATATACATATATATATATATATCCCGATATTGATATCTCAATAAGTGTGTGTATATATATATATATTCAAGGTGGTTCCCCCGCATATAAGTTGGTAAACCAAAGTAACTACAGATGTATCTCCAATAAGCCTAGTTACAGATGTTTCTACCTTTCCAATTGTCCGTTTGGGTGTGTCTGAAAATGGGGACATCCATAAAATTGCCAATTATGTAAGGAAAGCTATGGTAGAATATGGTAAACCAATAGATTTAGGGATACACTATGATGGTAAAATGGGAGATGCCCCAAACCATCCCAAATTAGACCATGTTCGTATTGACACATATTGAAACGAATGATTTGGGGATCCCCCCATTTTAAGAAACATCCATTTGGGTCTGACTGAAAATATAGGGTCCCCCCAAAGCCAATGTATTATCATTATTGTTTCTGTTAAAGTGGCCATTTATGGGTATCCACCTTTTTCAAACACACGTTTACCACTATTACCCACCTTTATTCTCAACATTATCATTCATCACCCGCTGGCAACCATTTGACCAATCCTAACTTAGCCATACTTAATCCAATCAATCCTCAGCTACCCCGTATAGATAATCGACCATCTTCAATAACCAGAGACTTAACATATAACGAATATACATGTATGTATGTATATATATATGTGTATATACGTATAATATGCATACTTATGTATAATTTATATATATATATATGTATACATATATATATATATATATGTAGTATCCCAAAAAGAAATCACAGAGAAGACAGCATCCCATCTAAAAACAGAATGGGATCCCTCCTTTAGGGACTCTCTCGCTGCCAAGGATCTTCAGCGCCTCTGAGGAGCCCTTCACGCGGCGCAGCTGGCGGAAACGCGGCGGAACTGAGGAGGAGGCGCCGGTGGCCCAACCGCAATGGGTTTTAGGTTTGTTTGGTAAAACCCGATGAAAAATCATGAAAACATATGAAAACTATAGTTATGATATCTTGGAATATGTTTTAGTTGCAAACAATATTGTTTTAGTTACAAACAATATATAGCAATCTAATCAATTCATATTGTTTCGTCTGTACTGCTTCGAAACAAAATTAGGTAAGTAGGAAAACTACTGTTGAATAGGTGAATGATCTACTTTCATGGGCCCGTATCCATATGTTAGATCAAAGGGTCGCGAATGGGGTCCCCTCTGGTAATCAAGCATGGATTGCTGGACTCATTTACTTTGACGATTTTTTCATGATTTTTCCGTTTCCCATAGATATGGCCATTTATTATTATAATTGGTTATTCCTATGGGAGTATACATTCTATATACATTATATACATCGGGTTATAAGTACTTATAACTGGTAAAGGGCCACAACTGCATTCTACAAATCAAGATTTCCAAGCCATGTTAATTTCTTAGAAAGCAATGCGCCCAAACATATGAAATATTAATTAACTGTGGATTGGGGAAACTTCAGGTATGAGTGGATAAATTGAGAATAGAACGGGACGATACGTGGGGAAAATATGAAAGAATTGGGAACAAACACATAGAAGAAGTGGTCCATAGTATGGTTATTATTAACCACTTACTACATAGTATTACGGTAATGTGGGAGCGTTTAGACAGGGCAAAAAAAAACATCGTCCAAGCTATTGGTCGAGTTTAGGGAAACACATGGTGAAAGGTGGTCCCGTTGCATTTATATAGTGATTTTAGGAGATATGACATATTTAGTCATTTAGTGAATGCTTCCTTTACTCATCCATTTCTGGACCTAAAAATCTTCAAACAACTTTCAAACAATATCCCATTTTCTAGTTATTTGTATCCTTTTTTGGAATGTGTCTGAACCCTGGAAACTGGGGCATTTCTTCCAAATGATCATTTGCCGTGAAAGATTGATGCTTGTCCACTCGGAGGGTCATCCCATTTTGTAAGTGTTAGTACGGTTCACACGTCCCCAACGAATATTTGACTAATTGATCAGAGAAAATGGAATAAGCCAGGAATAATATGATGTCCTATAAAATCCAGAGACTCAGCATTGACTAGGGTCAATCTTTCCTAAGAAATTGAAGGAACCCTGCAAGGCGAGATGATGAACCTTGCACTGATGCCTTGGTTTTGCAGATCAACAATCTCTTAATGGCACTGAGAACTGCGGTGAAAGAACCGCTTGAGCCTCTTCGCTTCTGCAGGAGCCAGACCTTGTAGCTCGTGTGGCTTCTGACTGGGGTGTGGCTGCTGCTTGGCATCAGCTCCATGGTAACTGGTGTAACATGAAAAATCCTGCAGCAATAAAGATGGGGTAAATTCACCTGGAAACGTAGGGTTTCAATCAGAAAAACGGGAAGACAGGTGATCATGCGGTGAAACCATTCTTGAATGAGAATCTAGCATCAATCCTTGGGGATTTACCGACAACAAATGAGGATATAATTTGACATACACATCACCAATGTGGCAAAGGCAAAGAAAAAAACACTTATAAACCATAGATCTACTTTGACACCATCTTCTACCAGCTCTTGACATGCACCACATTGAGCGTGATGTTCAGGTTTACCACATTTGGACGTTACTTGTGTGATGCTCCCACTTCCTATTTGTATGTGCTCTGTTGATGTTAATTTAAGAGAAGCCTACGAATGGACTGTGCTAACAATTTCTTTGACATGCGGTGCAGATACAGACACAAAGACATGAAAAACTAGTGTATGTAAATATCTCACAATTCAACGCCATAGCTTGAATGCATTGTTTGAATTGTGCACATTGTCATAATTGTTGCAACATGTTAGGCTTCAGTATACAAACAATGCTCTACGCGCACCTTTATTCAAAGTCATGCTTTGCAGTGTGTAGGATAATATGTACAGTTTCGTAGATACTAGCGTGTTAAAGTATAGTACTACAGAAACATATATATATATATGCATAGGTTTCAACATGTTTCAGGGCACACTAAATTTTATCCGTGAGTGGATTCGCCTGGGCGAAGCCGGGGCGGCCCGCCGAGGCCACTTGTTGTAAAGGTCGCAAGAGCAAAGGCGACTGCAGCGTAGGGCAGGAGCCCTGGGGCCCGCCTTCAAATCTCGCGGGAGACCCATGGGGGAAGTTTTCTGGGGAGATTTTATGGGAGCCATAGCAAACAATTAATGTGTTATACATTGTTTTACTGATATTCCATGTGGATTTTGGAGACCAATTTAAGGGGATATGATGGCATATGGTTATCTGGGATGTAGCTGGGATATAATGGTACAATGGGGATATTACAAACCAAGTTAGATACTTTGGGATCATGCGTGTCTGAACATGTGCTATACCCCAAATTGCTTGTTTAACAAGAAACATGGTGATTGACCGATGGTTTTAGGGCTGCCCTAATTTTACTCTCAGACAAACACATCTTTCCATCGTTTTTTTTTTTCTGAGCATCCACAGGTGTGACATGGTGGGACCAGCAGAACTCTGCGACATATCCCCTGATTTTTCGGGGGGCCTATGAAAGGATTCCTTTCATTCGAGGTGTTGGAGGGACTTGGCATTACTCTAGAGGTATGTTCAAACCAGGCTAGAGAAATGGGATGAACTGTGAACGACTCAAAACTTTGGTTCCACTGGACCCATAGGATTCCATGTTGGGGTGGGTATCTTGATACAGAACTGATGGTTGAACTATATAACCAATCTTATGGTTGACTTTGCCCAGCATAAATAATATGGATTCAAACTGGAAAGATGGGGCCTCAACCCAGATGGCTTGTCGCCACAAAGCAGTTCTTGAGACCGTCAATGGAACTAAAAATTAGCAAACTGGTTAGTGGTTTGGAACATTTGGATTATTTTCCATATATTGGGAATAGTAACCCCAACTGACTTTCATATTTTTTCAGAGGGGGTAGGTATACCACCAACCAGCAAACGGTTTGAGCTGGAACATCAAGGCGGCGAATGTCACATCTCTGAGTTCACACACCAAAATGGTGAACTTACCCTGTGGTTATTTGGGCCGCAGCAAAGCCATGGCCCACGGTGATGGTGCAATAAATTACTGATATATGTTGTATGGTCATTAATAATTATCCATCCTGCGATTTCTATATTAAACTGATTTACCAATGAACACACATGGTGATGGGACATGTATGGGCCATGGCTTTACCAATTAGCACAAATGTTGTTATATTACCATGTATGATTTACCAGTGAACAAGCATGGTGATGTTCAAATCAAAGACCTTCGTTTTAGCTTCCCTCGATCGGAGGATTCTTGCCTCTCAAAGTCACATTAGCACTGCTGGCGGTTCATCAATTTCCTCACCTCTTCACAGGTCCCAAGAATTATAAGAACCCCCGTAAGACCACACTTAGTTACGATCATGTCAATAATATGACTATTGTTTTCTGTGTTCTATGATATTGCATTGATATTGCCAGGTTTGTCCAGACATGAGGTATTCCCCAATGAACTGCGTTTCTTGTTATGGGGAAAGTGCTGTTCTATGATTTCGATCCTTCCTCCTGTAAGCTAGATGTGGAGAACCCACTATTTGTAGGTCATGTTCCTATATGAGGAAACCATCGGTTGTCCACATCTTTTTGTATGTTTACCCCATGGTGCCCTATCTTTGGAGCCGTCTTCGAGCCGAATTTCGCTAGGATAACTTTTTGATTGCCAAGCTGCCCAATGAGTGGATGGCACCTCGGCTCCCATGGCTCCCCATGGGCTACTGGAATGATGGTTTCATGTCACGATCCAATTTCTGGCTCGCAAAGGCTCCTTAATGACAGCTAACGTAGCCACCTCCTTGGATGGATTCGCAGATCATAGCATTTAGTATTTTATAACTAAATGTTGTTTTTACTACCAGGTTGGGGTCAGGGTACCCAGTTACACCTTAGTTCATTGAGAGATGGTGTTGAGAATGAAATCACTCTATATACGCTGGCGCTAGAGAATGCTGACAGTACATAAATCATCATAAATTTGCATCCAGATGAGTCAATTCTTGGACACACTAACTCTATCTCCAACTGCCTTTCCGACTTGAAAAGTGCATGGCCATTCCATGCGATGCAGATGGCAGAGATGGACAAGGAGAAACTGTGCCGGAACTTCCATGGAGATCACATCACTATTGTATTCTTGTGTATATATATATAGTACGTATATATATATATATACATATATTTATATATATATATATACATATATATATATATATAGTATGTCATATAGAATACTATTGTGTATATATATATATATATTGTCTAATATAATATCAGTACATACATGGGTCATATTCCTATGTTTCCTATGACAGTGGATCTGGGTACTTGAACCTTAGGTAGTTTAGCGCTTGCCATTTTGATACTGTAAGGGCACATTGAGCAAATAAATATCTAAGTATATTACATATTATATATTATTATACATACATATACATATATATATATATATACATGGAGAGAAATATCACCATGTTTGTTGGTTGAAAATCCACCATTGTTACCTCAGGTGCTCTGTGTCTTTGATGGTCATGGTGTTGACGGCCACTGGCCTGCTCAGCGCATCACAGAGTCTTGGCGATCATCATCTCAGGCGTCCGACTTGTCGGTGATCACGGGGTATTGGCCAACCAAACTGATAATCTCAGTGATATCGGTTGGAAAAGACAGGGGGGGGGTCAAATCATTTTTTTCACAAATATAGGTGCAACCAATTTCATTCCCCTACGAATAACCCCTACAAAAGGAATCCCAACATGAACATATTCAGTACTAAGCCATTTTTTTGGGTGGCGCTTATTGTCAGGAGGAAGCATTGTTTTCAAAATTGTCCTCTGGTTTACGATTTGAAACAATGGGGTAATATTGCTTTGTGGCCAACAAAACATGTGAGTAGGATATAGCATGATACAAATACATGCAAATACAACAATGTTTGTACAACCTATATTTAGGACTGGCTGTAGAGACGGGTATGTTCAAGAACTGTGAGGGGCACAAACACACATCAAACAACCAATGTGCTTGGAAACACAGCTGTATTTTCATGTCCTTGAAGTGGATGATGGAAAGATATGGAAAGTGTTAGAGGAACCGTCTTTAATTAAGGGTGCCAATGGTTTCCAGTTAAGGTTTTCCCTTTAACCAATCCACTGACTTTGGCCCATGTTCTCTTTAAAATATTTGTGTCACCACCCCAACAACCTCCATGGTTCCATGTTTTGGTCTCAAAGGGTGAATGCAATGCTGCGGCTGCGTTATGGGGAAATGCTGCATGATGTTTTTGCCTGAGAAGTCAGACAGCTTTCTACTCCACCTAAGAATTTTAACCGAACTTTTGCCTAACTTAGGAACACTTAGGAATTCCCTGTCACCTGGATTTCAGCCACGTCTGAGGAAACAGTGCCCCACTTTCTCCAAGAGGCCAGCAGTGCTCTTGTGATGAAACTGCCAATCAGGTGATCCATCTTTTTCATGGGGATTCACTCCGCCCCAAAGATGTTCCCCCCAAACAATCAGGGCTTATACACCAGGAGCTCATCAATCAACGTGTATCACGAACAACAAGCACTACCATACCGACAGCTTATAACCATTGATTGTTTGGAAGCTTGATTGAATCTGGATGATTTGATGTCTCCATTTTGCTGGGCTGGGTGGTGCTTGGAGGTCCGTCCCAATGGCTCAAGTGACGCTGCCTACTTCCACGTTATTTTGATTGGTGGTTGGCTACACAAGTCAACATTCCTCTTGGCTAAATCCCGATTCTGCTTGGTCAAATCTCAATTTCTGTTGGTGAATATATATATATATATACATAGTCACTTATAGTTCTAATTTCCACACACCCCAATGGTATTTTCATGGTTAATGACATATGAATGTATATGAATGACATCAACCAACGTAGTGATTTAGTTCCCTAGGGCCCTGTTTTTTCTTTTCAACGTCCCCTTTGTGTTGGCACAGGAGCCTTGTGCTGAGTGGCTGAAGAGCGGCGACGCAGACAAGGCGGGCCGGGCCGTGGGCGGCCTCGCTGCAGCCGTGATGATTCAACCATCAACAATTGTTTTTTACAGTAATCAAAAGGACATTGGATTGAACTGTAAAACATGTGACTTTATCAACAAGTCATTGTCCTTGTGTGTGTGTGTTTAGTCAACATGTGAACTTTATGAACATAGGTAATTGAAGTGTCCAACATACGAGCTTCATCATCAAAACTGGGACTTTGAAATGGATATTTAACTATCAACAAGGAATTATATATGGGATTTAGTGGCATATGTCAGGATGAAAACATAGATCAAAGATCCTTACTGTGTAAACACAGGGAATGTGTCACCCTCCAAAGTCGCTTGACGGAGGCATTGACGCATGCTTTCAAGGAAGCAGAAGCAGAGTTGGAGGCGGCTAGAGTGGCGGTTATATGGTAAGCACTTTGGGAGCTTTTGGGTGAATGTAAGCATGTCCTCCCAAAAAAATATCCGGCCATCCACCCTTTCATGTCTTTTTTGCCGCAGGCCACATGGGACAGGCGGATGTGGGTATAGCAGGACGTGTGAAGTGGATTTTTGTTGTTTTTTTTTATCATTGACCAATTCAACCATTTTTGTTGCTATCATCATCTTCAGGATGAATACAGTATGTTTTCTTCCGAATATGTAGAGGTGGTGTTATCATGATTTATTCGCGAAGTCTGGCTGGATTCTGTTTGTTTGTTGAAACCAAAACTCGAATATGCATCTAAAGTATTCTATATAGTTTTTCAACCAACTGCTTTGTTGTCAGCAAGTCATTCCACATGTTTTGTTTAAAGTGCTATGGTTTCTCATGTTTGCTGATTTTGCACTTGTTTTTTTTTTATTATTTCGTTATTTTTCAGTATGAAAGCTACATTGTTTCTTTTGTTCTGTCCAAACTTCAATGAAGCAGTTCCATGTTTGTTCCTCTCCATGTTTCCGTCCACAAAATCATTGACTTAAAAAAGATGGTTTCATTCGGTCCATGGCCACCCCACCATGAAAAAGCATGCCAGAATGGTGATGTTGACCAGTTTACCATGAAAAAATGGGGAGAATTCACCCAATTTCATGAGTTCACCATGAAATCCATGAACAAAAATCTTCAAGTCCCAAGTGTTTGCCCTTTCTTTCAACATCTTCCCAGGTTTTTCCCACGTTTTTTCCCACGCCGTTTTCCCACGTTCTTCCCTACGTTTTCCCAGGCGTTCGCCGTGGAGATGGGCAAAGACCTAGACCTCTGCGGCTCCACGGCGACGGTGGCCTTGATCCCGAAGAGTCGGGGAGACCCAGAGAGAAATGTTTGATATTAATATTACTATAAATGTTGTTATAATATCAGTTGTTATTATGAATAGATATCATTAAACTATTATATACATATATATATATATATGTTTATGATTTTACTATATGAATATTTAATATATATATATATATATCAACTGATATTAAAACATATATGTTGAATGATAATAGTTTATATTATAGCTGATATCATCCATTTATCTAATTATATGTTTATGATTTTACTATATCAATTTATATATATATATATATTTCTGATCTTAGTGATAGTTATGAACATACAGTTACTGATTAATAATGGATCTTTGATATTACTATAACCATCTATTAACATTTATATAGTAACTGATCTTAGTGAAATTAATGTTTGATATGGATATTACTGTAATACTAGTGTAGTTAGACAATTCATTTAAGTAGCAATATTAGTTTGTAACATTTTGTAGTGGTGTAACATTAGTGTAACATTATTAACTACTAGAATCTTGTAACATCAATGCTAATAATAGTTATTAGTAGTATTTATAAGTGTACTGGGTAATTATTACAAACTGGGTAATATTATTAGCTACCCATTAGTAGTATTTATTAGTGTGTTCTTTGCTCATAATATTTATATTTTGGAACATTACTTGCATTTATTAATAGTAACAGTAGTAATAGTATATAATTGACTACTAACATGTTTTTCAAAATAGGTTCAACATTATTAACTAGTATTAACATGAAATGTTTGAATGTTTGTTATTAGTAGTAATAAGGCCGATGTTAATAATAGCATTAGTAATTATTCCCGAACAATTGCGAAGATGATAGTAATAGTATAGCTACTTGTTTTTTGTAATTAGAAACATATTAGTAATAATATTAGTAATTTTCGGGATGGTTTTCAAAAAAACTAATAGTAAAAAAATAACAATAGTAAGAGTAAACCTTCCCAGTAATGTCAAGTATGATCAAGTATGTATATATATAATAACATAGTATATCCACAGAATATCATAAAATATCGTAATCAAATATACGACGTTATCCCATATTTATAAAATATGTCAAGTATTTGGTATCAAAAAATCTTAAACCTTCCCCAAGATGACATGGGGACTAATACCAAATATCCATGAATATTCCATAGTAACGATTAAGATATGTCTAATGGCAAGAACATAATCATAGTAATAGTAAACCATCCCAGTAATGTCAAGTATATACCCCATGTGGATCCATAGAGACTAATTCCCAATATATCCCATGAATATCCCATTAATATCCCATAATGACAATAGTATACACTAAGTAAAAAGAATTGATATCATTTTGGGGATGGTATGGGATGGTTTACTATCAAACATATGTCAAGCATCTATAATAGTAAACTATAGAGTAAACCATCCCTAAAAAAATTGCACAATGGGTGAAATCATATTCACGGTTTTAACTGCTATATATATATACATATCAGCCAACCCCCATTATGATTGTATTCAAAATCATTGTATACTATTGTTATCATGGAATATTGATGGGATATATTGGATATTAGTCCCTATCCAAGTAACTGCGCAAGTATTTGGGTTATGATTTCGGGGGTGAAGTACCTTGGATGTGTTTGGATCCAATCTTGTATCTCTTATTCAATCAGGTAAACCCAATAATAAGCCATCCCATTCACCAACCATTTGGGGGTCATTTTACATCATCCCGCATAGGGGTCAACTCAATGACAAACCATTGGGGATGATATCCCTCTAATATTGTATGTGATACACTGTGTAGGTCAGATTAAATAATCATTATTATCAGTATGGCATTCTAATATCTGTAAGATCTAGTGTTATCATGGGATATGAATTTCTGTAATATTGGGTATTAACATGGCGGTTTCTAAAAATGGCAAATGCCCGACACCACTGGTTTCAATACTAAAATGGGCTAATGACTTAGATGATTTGAGGGTATGTATAAATTGTATAATTAGTTTATTAATGATAGTATATCCATGATAATGATATCAGAAGCGATCATTCATTTTCAATGACACTCAATGTCCATTATGCTTCATGGGATCATTCCGACATCCTTAATATTAACTAGTAAATAGTTGGGAAAGCCAGAAATTAAAACCTACCAATTTATGGGCTTCATCCTGACCCATTGCCATCCCCAGTGGCCCAGGCCGCGATGCAGTGTGGGTGGCCACCGTGGGGGATTCCCGGGCCATTCTGCTGGACCAAAGGCGGGTGCTGTAACTTGGACAACTCGGACCCGGATTTGCCCAGCAAAAAGGGTGAAATTGGGGGATTTCATCAACAGAAAACTCAGACCTATGGGTTTTTGTTCAGTGTTGATCCATTGTTCTTGGTGTTTGGGACGGATTCTTGTTGAGATTGATTGTCGAATTATAGCCATCAAATTGGTTTATAGCTGATGTTTCAGTGGGGTCTAAGATAAAATTGAAATAACTAATATGAGGTCTATGGCACTTGTAACTATAGATACCATAGATCAGATATAGATGAGTTAATAACTAGGGTTTATGGCAATATTAACTATACGTATATATATATATATATATGTATATACATACATATACTTAGCATGTTAGATAGATTGGTGGATAGCTACTGTTTCACTACGGTTTGTATGTGGTAATTTTGACTATCGTTAACGGCGTTACTGCGGTTTATAAAGCCATGACTGTTTGACTGTTTTTATGATATTGACCGGTTCGGGTTGGACATTTGGTTTTAATAAAGTTATGTATAGTTATATAGAACCATTTATAATCTGGTTGGTGGTTTGGAACATGATTTTTTTTTGCATATATTGGGAATTTCATCCTCCCAACTGATTTTATATTTTTTTCAGAGGGGTCGAAACCACCAACCAGTAATTGTCAATACTTGTTGATTGAGCCGAAATCGATTAAACATGCATTACGTGGAAATGTTCACCAACATGGGGCAATATAGACTGGGCAGTGAACTGCCTGGATGACCTGAAAGCCAACAGCACCTTGGCGACGGGTAGTTTTTGTTCGCAGTGTTGGTGGATTTACTGGGTGGCTGGGTTTGGAGTAGGAAAGTTATAAGTAAGTTGTAGCACTTTAAGCACTTGCACTACTTACAAGTTAACTTGGAAAACTTAGCAATGATTATTATTTTTATTTAAAACCTAAATTCTCTAAGTGTAACTTGCAAGACTTATAAGTTCTCTAAGTTGTTTTGCTTCAGAAAGCATTATGTTTTGAGCTTATTTTTGAAACATTGTGGAAAACAACACATTCATGTTTCTCCAAAAAAACCTTGAATTGGCTAGTGTGCGGTTCCATGAACCGCACCAAAGGGGAATTTGATGATGCTGCAAGGCAACCTTGCAGAACAGTTATTACTGATCCTAATTTGTATAAAAGCGGCTCAATGAGCCGCTGCGGTTGTAGTAAAATCAGGCCATGATTTGGCAACATCAGCAGAAGTGAGACCTGTGGAAACTCTTCAGTCTGCTTCGCGTGCCCAAAAAAGTGTGGTTTGTGGGACGTGCATCCCCTTCGATTTGAATCACTGCGGCCCATTGTGCCGTACCTGCCAAATTTTGAATCCCAGATTATAACTTATGTGAACTGTTTGATTTCAACAATCGCGGCCCATGGGGCCGCATTTTTTGGTCAAACAAAAGCAAAAAAAAAACTATGGACTTTCAAAAACCTTTGCCCCAAAACCTACGAGAACGATGAAATGTATAGGAATGTATAGGAATGTATAGGAATGTATAACTCCATTTTTTTCGAGTTATACATGTACAATTCCATTTTTTTTCGAGTTATACATGTATAAATCAATTTTTTTCGAGTTATACATGTATAACTCCATTTTTTTGTCCGATACATTCCGAAACATTTCTATACGTTCTATATTTTCCTGTTTCTCAACCTTCCTTTCTGTAAACGTTTGCATTTTTCATCATTCCATGGATGAGTTTTGAACTGCATCTTTTTTCAGGTACCGCTTCTCTGAAATCAAAATTGTAATTTTGGAAAACCAGCCGACAGCCTACTTGCCGTTCTTGTTTTTCTTCCTGCTGCCCTTTTGGCCCATCTGGAACTTCTTTCCATCATTGCCGTGCTGGTCATGATTTTTGGCCTGATCCTCCATACTCATAATTGGTTTCAAGACTTTGTAAGACGAAGAGCTAGATATGTTCATAGCCGCAGCCTCAGGAGGATCATCAAGATGTCGTCCAATGAGCCGCAGTGTTTCAAAGCAATTCGTTGCCAAGAAATAACTTTCCAACTGATTTTGTCACATGCGTTCCAAACACATCCTGTTAACAAAATATATAATCAAAAATAACGAAACATAAAAGAAAAAACAAAATTACTAATTTTTGAACATGCAAAAAAGTTAAGTTTGCTAAGTTAGTTATAAGTTCGATTTTTTTTATAGAAAGTTAACAAAAATAGTTACAACACATACAAGTGACCAACTCCTATAAGTAGCTTGTATGTGCCCTAAAAAACTTAAAAACTTAGCTGACTTAGGGAATTTACAATAGCTTATAACCCGGTTGTAACAGTACTTGCAAGTACTTACAAGTATACTCTAATCCAAAGCCAGCCACCCAGTACCCTGTGGTAATAACATGAACGTCGCGCGTAATTTGTGCCTTTTCTAACCCGTTCCTGTCATACCCGAAACAGATGCGGAAGATAGCCCGAAGATTCCCTGACCATGGATCCTAAGTCCTGATGTTGGTTTGGTTTGTGAAATTTCCCAACTCTTACTGCACCGCAAACTTGAAGGTCACATGGCTGAGATGAAACATATAGCAAACCTACATTCTGGCTAGTCTTTCGATTCTCGTCACCAATATAGATTAATATGATAGAATACATATATATATATATATGTAATATCAAACAATGATATGCATCATGTTGGTATTTCATTGGTTGTATCCGTTGTGTGTGTTAAAATGTGTTACACATATTGTTGAAACCCAAACTGTTAGTGTTGGTGAATTCCAAAGTATTGTTGATTAAATATATGTTTAAATTTTATATAAGTCCGATAACTTTTGGTGATTAAATCATATCAAGTCATCGTATTTATATTGTGGATTATGGTGATTAAATCATATTAATCAATTGATATGGTTAATTAACAGAAGTCCTTAATTAACAGCTATTATGATCTAATATGGTGTTCCACCAGCTCAGTGGAAACAGAAACCTCCAAGGCACGAGACCTCAGACCACAAGGCCACTCGAAAGGATGAAGCCGAGCGCATCAAAAGTGCTGGGGGACGCGTGATCAACACCGAATATGACGATGCTTGGCATTTTCATGGGATGAGACCATGAAATATATGGGATATGTAATATGTATATATTTTTTCTACATTATGTATATATATATAGTGTATATATATATACATGATGTATATATATATATATACACCTTATGTATAGGATGTATAGGATATGTGTATATATATAATATACATATCATTCCCAAACACAGATGTTCTTTTAATGTAATAGTTGGGATTTACACAGATTGTGGGGGTTTTCGGGTTTCATAATTTGGCATGTGGCTCGAAGAGGCTACATGTTGGACATTGGGAATATATGGGAGTATAATTTGTATGTTATTGGGATATACAGTGTATAATATGGGATGTGCCCTTTTTGTTCTGTTTTGATGGTATATAGTGGGACAATGACGCAAATTGTTACCTCATGATAGTGTATATATTTAGTCAAATTGATATGATATATGGCCGTGTCTGAAATTTAAGCAACTAATATGGGATATGTTGTGGGATAGATATAATTAATTGGGATATAGAAACCAAACATCGTATATCTATATGTGTGTCTGAAAATGAGGACCCAATTTTATGGTTATTTTTAGATTATCCTGCTGTTGGTACAAGTCCTCTCTAAGCTAGGCCTTTTGCAAAAGGTTTGGTGTTAAACCAGGCCTTTGGGACTGAGGTTTTCTCTATGCCACTACTTTCGTATTTTTGTGAGACTTAGCCGAGCAAGGTCCCACACCCAAAGATATCCCATGATTGAAAAATCGAGCGTACCTTGTAGATTTGCGAAAATCATGAAACCATGAAAAAAACGTAAAAAGGCCATGAAAAACCCACAAAATAATGTTTGTGATGGTTTGTGCGAAAAGAAGAAACACGTGTTTTTGCAACCCTTTATTTTCATGAGAGTTGCCGCTGTATGTGACTGCTGCTGGTCTTAGGGTACAGAAATGTTGAATCTGGTCACGATATGAGTTGTTTGAGGCCTTTAGTCATTTGGGTCTTTGACTCAAACGTCCTCGTTTAACTTGTCCTTTGGACTGACATGGACTGACTGGGTTATTAACCAGTGGATGGAATGGGGTGCTAGGTTTTCAGACAAACTCAGTTCAGCCTCAAAATCGGAGTTCAATCAGCAACCTGTAGGAGTGAAGCTCAACCCCCTGCCAGTTTCGCTTTCAAAAGGGTCACTTGGGTTCCAGGTTGGTGATAATTAGTAGGTGAAAGGTCCAATAGTTTGCATTTCGATGGAGGGATAGAGTAGATAATTATAGTTACGTATATGTATATATATAATCATCCTGAAGTAGATAGAGCATGGGATTGGCAAACATATTTTCTTTTTAGTGATGAATTTTGAATTTTCCATATTCTATCTATTCCAGGAAGATTATACATATAACATATACATATATATAGTTTAAGGAAATAAGTAAGGTGCAAGCGGGCCCAAGTGTTTCGAATCTGGCCACCCACTGCTGGATTATATACTTGTTGAATCAGCTGAGCGAGAAACAATACGGTTTCCTCCGAATTTTCCCTGAAAACAAATGGGGGTTTCCACAATTGGGGGTACCACTAAATCATCCATTTTAATAGGATTTTCCCGTATAAACCATCCATTTTGGGGCACCGGATCCCGCTGTTAAGAGCGCGATACCGTGATACGAAGGGACATTGGTTCTTGCCAGGTGTCATCAACTGTCGGTAGGCACAGCCAGCAACAGCAACACGCCTGAAATTTCATTTGGACCTCGAACTGGCTGAGCTTGGAACTGGCTGGGCGTTGCCACAGCTTGCTGAAAACGTGACTTAAGTGAGGACGATGGATTGACCGCCCCATATTTGGGTCAACCTTTGCTTGATACTTTAGTACTTTAATCGTTTGCTGTCAACGGATATCAATGGTAAAATGTACTAACCAGCTTAAAAACCAGATTGTTTGGCAGGTATCTAAGATTCACCATGCTATATTCTGTTCAACATGTTTTTCAACTAATTATGTTCCAGAACTCATCATGTCACTGACCAATGAAGAAGCACCCATACACCCCAGTGACTAGAATCTGGGCTCCCAGTAGCTAGGTTGCTGTTGGATGGATACTGTTTTGGATGCGTTTATGACCCTCATCTATATAATTATATAGATAATTTGGGGGCCGATTCCATAGATAACAGAACCACATATTCTCATGCCATATCCAATGGATCTCAATCCCCATTGTAAACCCTACAAAGTGGTGCCCCCTGGTGAAAAGCTCTTTATATTCAGTTATAACCCCCAGTAAGTATACAATTACCATCATCAACCCTATTGTCATCTGATTTTTTCTCGTTTTCTTTAAACAAAATCGAACCTCCTCCCTGCAACAAAGTGTCGACGGCAGCATCGCGCGATGTGCGGTGGCCCGCCGCCCCGCCCAAGGATGGCACCGAAGATTCGCGGATCACGCCCAAAGACCTGGTCTCGCCGCAGATTGCCATCTCCCGCGGCTTGATGGTTATGGTTATGGATGGTGATGATTTCCATGGATGTCCTATGGATAACTGGGGGGACCCCAAATGACTTATAGGAACCCCCCTATATGATTGATGTTTATTTATTTTTTTTGTTTATCTTGGACTTCAGGAGGAAAGTTCTGAGTGTTTTTTTTGTTCTTTGCCATGAGATTTAATGATTCATAGCTTGGGTGTGATTTGGGTTATCCACCAGCAGTGGAGAAGGCTGGCATCTCCCAATCCCTTAGACTTTACTACATCTACGTAACCACCATACCCACTTTCGTGGCGGGAAACACTCTTGCCAGGTTTACTTCCTGATTTGCAGTGCCCGCAACAAAAAACTTCTCTATAGTCCATTCACCTTGTTTAAAGAAGAACTTGCCGGTGGCTCAAATTGGTTCAAACTTGTATACCCTGACAAAAAGAATATCTTAGAATCCGTCAGATTTGTACACCTATGTATAGTATATAATAGCAATTATATAGATATAATACACATTTGCAACAACCAATACAACTTCAAAAAAACTTCTAGTGTGTCACCCTCATACCTCTCCCCATCCACATCCTCCAGGTTCCATGGGCGATCTGATCTTCAAGGATTCGGGCGTGACAGCGGAGCCTGAGATCGTTCACTGGTCCTCCTTCAGCAACCATGAGACGTACCTGGTGATTTGCAGCGATGGCTCCCTGGCACATTTTGGTATGAGATGATTTATCGAATCCCAGCGATGACACATGTGTTTTTTCCCCAGTGGCGATGGGTAAATTATGCGACCGAACCCTGCGACCGAAGCCTGGAACCATCCCCAGGTGGCCTTATTCCAGGTTGCGAAATGCACCAATTGTATCCAATTGTCCCGTCGAATTCAGTTAACAATAGTAACCAACTGGTGGATTTCTTGCACAGTATCATTGAGATATATGATTGGGATATCAAATTGGGATATATATATATATATACACATACATATAACATATGTATATAAGCCATGGATCTTTGTGGCGGCTGAAAGTGGATGATTTACCAGACTGTTTTATATCAATCAATGTTTTTTGTATAATGATGATGACACTAACCAGTGCGTCTGGGTACATTTTTGCACTAAGAAAACTCATGCGTAGAAATTATGCGGGGAAGATTGTGCATCAATATGTTATATTATAGTTATATATATATTATCATATGATATAGTACTCTACACTGAGGCTACACTCTGAAGCTCAACAAATGCACAGCTTACCCACCATAGTAGTGATCCACAATTAACCAAGGGGTCAAACGAGCGATATCTGATTCATGACCCACCAGGGTTTGTGTGAAAGTAAGATACTCCATTCCACCCATTGGTTCATCATTTTTCCTATTCAAATTGCATACAACTGCCATATACGTATATGTATATGTATATATATATATATACATACGTATATATACATATGTGTATATATAGGGGTGGCCGTCCTCCAATTTTAGTTGCCAAACTCTCATCAAATCCTAATCTAGACTGTTGTTGAGTATAGATATCATATGTATGTGTATACATATATATATATATATATAAATCAATAATATATATATATATATGTCACATACCTCCATGATATCGCCGTGCCCCGAGGAGTCTGGGAGTTTCTGAGTTCCGAAGATGTCCAGAACTTTCTCCGCGACTCCTTGGCCAACACGAGCTCCGCACCAGAGGCGAGGCTGCGGCAAGGGGCCCGGGACGGTGGTGGCACTGGGAAGCACCAAATTTTGCTACCCTTTGGGTAATCTATGGGTAATCTTTTGGATAATCTATGGATAATGTCAACCCATGGTATGGGGCATTGACATAGCTATGGTAGTATTTCCCTCTGGTAAACTAACAGTTTGCTATTGAAAATGCCCATAGAAATAGTTGATTTACCCATTAAACATGGTGATTTTCCATAGTTTTTTGTATGTTTACTAGAGGGTATTTGGTATTTTGGATGCTGACACTCCGTGACGCTCCCATGGTTGACCCAAGTTTGACTCGAGAAATCTGGCTGATGGAGTCGCAGGTGGCCAATGGACTGCTTCACTTGGCGCAAAAAACTTGGAAGCAACACGAGGCCGGAGAGGACCCGACCCAGATCAGGACCCTTTAAGGTGAGAAACCGTGCCATGACCGTCATGAAGAGACGTTGTGCACATAGCGAAGCAGTTCACATGAAAGGGGGCAATAGTTTGCCATCTCGAATGTTGAATGATCCCGGAAATGGAAGGTGACCAGCACGTATGGAATACAACAATTTAGCAACTGAAGATATTTACCAAATCACAAATAGGATCATCCTACTTCAGATCCAAAATTTGATAAACAACAACCAGCGTGGTTTTGAATGCATAGATGGTTCGGGACTGAAAGAGTGAGTTTTAACTTGAAACAAGGGAAACACACCTGAAACATGTTCACTTGTCACGCAACTTGAGGTGGGATGCTTCCAAGAAGCCTTTGGTGATGGTGAATTCTGTGCAGTTACGTAGTGAATCATTGGGTATCTCACGATCTCCAAACAGCCCATCCAGCAGGCTTTCTACTGCGATGATATCACCGTGGTCCTGGCCAGCCTTCGTGGCAGCTTGCCCGTGAAAACACCCCCGGCAAAGAAGCCGTGCCCCGGGTGCGAAAATCCAAGTTGCTTTAGCCAATGAGCTCAGCTCAGCTCAGCTCAGCTCAGCACGCCTCTGAAAAAATCTTCCATTCCGTTCTCGCTCCGCCGAGTTGGATGGCTTTGTCTGGGGTTGATGGGAGTACTGGATGGACAGGCGGCTTAGTATGTATTACATATATATATGGTGCAGCGTTGGCCACCCCCCCTCCCCCCCCCCACCAATGGGTATGGGTGGACAGTATCGTCTGGTTCTTCTTGGCCCCCCCCCCGTGGCCTGTGGTGGTGGTATGGTTCTTCTGGTCCCCCCCCCCCCTGTGGCCTGTGGTGGTGTGTATGGTTCTTCTGGTCCCCCCCCTGTGGCCTGTGGTGGTGGTATGTTGGTATGTGGTATGTTGGTATGTATGTATGTATGTAATGTATGTATGTAGTATGTATGTATGTATGTAGGTATGTTCTGTCTGTATGTATGTATGTATGATAAGGTCTGTCCGTTACGGTAATGTAACGGTAATCAGGTATGTCCGATGTCTGTCTGTCTGTCTCTGTCTCGTCGGTCGGTATGTATGTGTGGTCTGTCTGTTGTCTGGCACCACCCCCCGGGTAGGTATGTATATACACCACCACAGGGGCATCATACCCCCCCCCCCCCATGGGGGGGGGGGGGGGGTGGGAACACGGGACACGGGACCATATATATACATATCTATACAGTACATGAATTACAGCTCGCAAAGAATACCGCAATTCTGACCATGGTCCGATGCTGCATGAGTTCCAAGCCAATTATGGCTATCCTCATGGCCCATCGCAAAGAACAAGTCTCTGGGATTGAATCCCTGAATTCGACCGGCATGGCCGAGTAATTTCGCTGGGCCACCAGGGTTGCGGCGGATGCTGAAGTCTGGAACGCGGAGTCTGGACCCGTGGTCCAAGCCTTCTTTTAATCGATGGATTGCTAACAGTCATCGAAATAATGATAGATAGTGGACACTCTAGGGTGCTTCTCGGATTGGTTAGGTTGTTAAATATACTATCATTGCTGAATCCATATCAACACATGATAACAAATGTATACAACGTATTTTACACTTTGATACACCTGTTTGTTTTATATTTGTATGTTCAGCTCTCTATCGTATCGTGTGCCAAATCATCTTACTAAGATTTAGGAAGCAGGCTTGCAGTTGTCAGGCCCATGCAGAAGGATCCTTTCAATTCACTGTCATTTCCGGCAAGGGTTGACACACGCATTGATATGTCATTTTGACGAACAACTCAGCCTTTAAGCAGTATTTCCTCATGACGTTCCAGACTTTTCTTTGATTCATAAGCCACTCGCACAGGACGAAGAAAAAAAAGGGATGTTTGCATGTGACAAGAGCAACCCTCATATTGGCAGGTTGCGTAGGCATTTCAGACCACCTGTGCTGGGATATTCCGTATATGTTTATTAATATGTTTCATATCTTATATATATATATGATATATATGTGTGTGTTTTGTTTATATATATATATAAATGATACATTATATATTATAAGATAATATATATATATATATGTATTCCTGTATCAGCGGCGTGAAACATGTTCAGTGTTATATGTTCCATCCTACACGGACTGGGAGACTGGGAAAGATTTATCCTCGCTGACGAAGTCCTCGACCGGTCGACCGGTGGTTCGAATCAGCGGTATGGTTGGCATCCCATGCCAATCAAATCCCACTATTGTTGGCTATATAGATTTCATTATCATCCATCAATAGTGGGGTTTCACTGCCATCAATTAAGCCAACGTTAATAGATGGATGAAACCCCAACATAATTGATGGATTATAATGGATACAAACCAATACATATTATAATCCATGATAATCCATCCATTATTCTTGGTTTGTATCATATCCATGATATCCTGATTATAGTTGTTGACTTAAAACCATGATTTTGATGTCATGTTCATTGCTTACTGTTAATCTTCAGATGTATGTTATCCTATATCCCATCATATCAAGGGCAAATATCCCATGATCTTGTAGGATCAATGATCTTGATGCCCCGAAAAAGGATTTCTCAAATTTACCATCTGGTTATGACTAACAGTTTGCCATGGAAAATCCCCATGCTATTAAGAACGGTAAACCATCTATTTCTATTGGCATATGTTTTTTTTTTTTTCCATGGCTATGTTAAATAACCAGAGGGTATATTATCCCTACATATGATACAATAGGATATATTATCCCTATACATATGATACATATATTATCCCTATATATTATCTTGATATCACTACTAGGATAAAGGTTGCATATGATAACTCCCTTTGTCGCCAGGCCTTGGCTCTGAAACAGGACCTGGAGTCTGCACGGCAGCAAGGCTGATGGTGAAGTCTCCAACTGGGGATTAAGATATTAAGTAATCGGGGTAAGATATATTAAACTAAAATATCATATATTATACATACATATATATATATATACACATGTAATACTGCACATGTATGTGTATATATATATACACATCAACATTTGGATACTAGTATATATATACATGTATTTGTATATGTATAATATATATATGTATATAATTTATACATATACATATATATTCAGAAATTAGAGGTGATCAAATGAAAAGTGTACAGCATTGTTTTTCATAAACCCTGACTCTGGCACAGGGGGGTTGCAGCCAAGATGTGATAAACTACTGCAAACTTATATAACTGTTGTACTCCAATAAACTGTTGGTTGGTATTATATAATCCTGGTTCACATGACTACTGTAAGCAATCTAACCCGGAATGATGTAGCAAAAATAAAAAAGGCATTGGTGGTGTTATAATCAAAAAAAGTCAGAAATGCGTGTGTCTTTTTAAGCTGTGTAGCCCAAAATCACATCGTGAAGAGACTAGCATGCTCCTCATCAAAACGGCAATTTCGGCGTAGCCTCATAATTCAGAGACAATGCCAGACGGGATATTATAGAATGACTATTGGGCTATGAACTATCAAGAACAAAACTCTCACCCACAAACACGGACATGTAGCCGGCCAGCACATCCACATGTATATACATATACATACATGAGATTGCAGTACTGACAGTACATCACAGTACATTACATTAAATTACATTGTATTACATTTACACGACAGTACATTACATTTAATTACACCAATTACATCACATTACATACATACATTGAATCGATTTATATACGTATAAATATTGCATGTACATAATAATATTCGTATATCTTGGTAAATTATAGCGACCTCACTGCAACCTCACTATAATCATGGTTAATAAGGGAAATCATCCCCAAATGGCTGAACTATTCAGGTTAGTGAATTATTATCATTTACACAGATATATGATATATGTACATATACACACATACTACCCGCCAGGTTGGCCCATGTTGAGGGCCAGCTGGGTGCAAAGTATGCAGGCGCCTGGAACATAGACCACCGGAGTACTAAGATGGGTCGAACATGGTAATTTCATTCGATTAACACGAGGGATGTCTTGTGATTTAGTGGGATTTAGTTTGATTTCTTGTGATTTGGGGGGCTTTGGTGGGATTGATGTAGTGGGATTGATGTCGTGGGATTCAGTTGGATTTAATGGAATTCAGTGGAATTTAATGGGATAGATCCTCCGGCGACCAAACATGACAATTGGAACCCCCTATATATATATCATCTATAAATTACGATTTCTAGCTGGAAACATAATCTATAAATAAGGGATTTTCATTGTCACGTTTGTTTACCGGAGGATAAACATTTGTAATGGTACTTTTTGGGATATATCACCAACTACTGACTGGTATATCCACGTATATCCAACTTGGGTTTGTTCCAGTCAATAGGTCACAGCCAATTATGTTATTTTGAACCTTGTTTACTGGGAAAACTGATGATAACCCTTTGATTCATGGTGTAAAAAAATGGTGGGTAAGCATCGAATGGACCAGTCGTCACATGGGTTGTTTACTTCATCCCAATCGTTGGGCGACTGGGGATCCCTCATTGCTCCCAGATGTTTAAGGTGAAACTCAAATAATGAGTTGGTTAATGGATGTTAATGGATGTTTGTTGCCCCAAGTAGTAAGAATAAAGCCCATCCCCAAATTATGTTTATTTTTAACCCACATGTTGAAGGCAGGACATATGTTGTTATGATTTGTTATGACTCTACCAGTTGCTTGACTGTAAGAGACTACTCGAGTGGGGTACTAGCACAAGTGGCAAACTATGGCAGACATATAGACACATAACATTGATGTGTTTTCGAAAGTGTTCAAGGCGCCTAAGTAAAGAAAACAAATTTAAAAGAACGTCCCAGTAGTATTACAGGATATTACAAGTCTGCTGGGTTGATTTTTTGCTTATAAAATATGAATACCCCTGGTAGTCAAACATGGCAATGGAAAATAATCCAATATAGATGATTTTCCACGTTAGAAACTTCAATTTATAAATATATGAGGGATTTCCCATTGCCAGGTTTGAAAACAGAGGGTATAGTTCTGGCCCAAAATCTCATATATTTGTTCTCCACATTACTTCTCGTCACAAGGATGAATACCACATTGGTGCCAACAGCTGATTTCTCTCCATTCACGTTTGGATGAAGTTGATCATCAACATGTTGGGAAACTATTGACACTCATGTGAGTATGTGTCAAAATTAAAGACCTGGGGAACCACCGAATTTAGTCTATTTGTAGTATTTATTAATCATCCAATTATCGGAGTCCCCAATTTTGACCCATACGGATGCTGATCCAGCAGGTCAAATCCTGCTCATCTTTGATCGTTGGAAATTTGATCCATAGGATGAAGATTTGATTCAATCGACTGTAATGTGGGGTAACCACAAATCATCAGATTTCATCAGTCATAATCAACCTGGCAAATCGAGCCTGGCAATCAAACTCTATAATATTTTTTATTAGCGACCTCACTGGAATGATGGGAATTGTAGGAATAACTATCCCTAAATGGCCGAACTATTCAGCTTTGTAAACGGTTGTAATTAATGTAAAAGTCATCCACATTGGTAGTTATTTTGATAGGTAAAATCATCTATGCATTCGGAATGTTCCGTTGCCAGCTCAGACTACGGCAGGAAAAATGACTAAGTGGTATGCAAATATGAGATGTGATATGATCTGATATGGAGATCATGGAAACCTTAGTTACACTCCCAGTTGTACCCGTTGCTCGAACACTATACCCACAACTGACAAGACTGGGTAGGAGTGGGAATATGCATCACTACAGAAACTAAATCACCAGGATACAAATATGTTGAATAATGATAATATAATGAATAATGACAATGAAATTGATGAAATAATGGGTTATGTGACATGGGTGCTTGAACGAAATTGATCAGGTTACCAGCTTCACAATCAACTCGTTTGTGATCACCAGAAATCAAGGTCTGCATCCCTTCATTTCGGATTCACATCAGCACAGTTTGTTGATTCATGTTGATTCGAAACACACCATTTTGTTTAAGGATGAAAGAAACTAGATATAATATCCAATTAAGAAATGGGGAGTTGACTAACAGATGGGAGTTGGATATTATATCTAGTTGAGAAACTAAAAAGAAAAAACACATTTGTTAGTCAAGTCTCCATTGTTCTGTTGATACAACGGTGAATCCCCAGAAACATCTAGATCAATTCCAATGGATTCAAACCGCTTTCTTTTCCCACTAAGATGGCTGTTTTTTATATAGGTATCCCCTATGGTCAGACAAACAAGCATCATGTTGTTAGTCTTGTTTTGTTTTGTATATCCCATGATATCTTATGGTGTTTCAATTGTGGTAAATACCACATATTCTATTACAGTCACCGACAGAATTATGGAAAAAAAAACGTTTCAATTTACAGGCGCCGCCTGTCTATGATAGAAAAGTTACGAACCTTTTTTTTTCCATAATTATTTTTTCCATAATTATTTTTTTTTCCATAATTCTGTCGGTGACTGTATTACCATCGATTCGCAATTTGAATGCATTTTAAGGGGGAATATTGAATTATAGAAATATTGGGTTGATACTACATACTTGCATTTGCATACATATTTCCATAACCCCCAAAAAAAACGGGTTTGAATTGTGGATCCATGACATGTCCAACAGGTGGAGCCCCAAACATTAATTATGGAAAAATAATTATGGAAAAACCGGTCAATCTGCCCTAGCCCCCTGATTTCACAGGAAAAATCAATTATGGAAATAATGGCCACCTCCAAGAATTATGGAGAAAAAAAAAGGTTCGGATCACTTCCGGGATATTTTGAACCCTTATGGGGAAAAATCCAATTATGGAAAAATCGGACGCAGGCGCCGCCTGTCTAAGTTGAACGTTTTTTCCCCACCTGCCAGGTGAGGGTTGTTAGATTTTATCTAAGTTGCCTGGTCCTCCTCCTCCTCCTCCTCCTGCCGCCTCCTCCTCCTCCTCCGCCTCCTCCTCCTCCTCTCGTTGTCCTCCTCGTCCTCCTGCTCAACTGCGACTCGCGATCCACAGTGTTCGCTGTCGGACCTCAACCACGACCATCCACGCCCAGTGTTCCCTGCCGGACCTCAACCACGACCATCCACGCCCAGTGTTCCCTGCCGGACCTCAACCACGGCCATCCACGCCCAGTGGTCCCTGCCGGACCTCAACCACGGCCATCCACGCCCAGTGTTCCCTGCCGGACCTCAACCGCGAGTATCCACGCCAAGTGTTCCCTGCCGGACCTCATGTCGGAAGATATGGGACAAAGAATGTGCAGAAGAAAGTTAGAAAGAATGTCAGAAAGAATGTCAGAAGATATGCCAGAAGATATGCCAGAAGATATGCCAGATAGAATGCCAGATAGTATGCCAGAAGATATGCCAGATAGAATGCCAGATAGAATGCCAGAAGATATGTCAGAATATATGCCAGAAGATATGCCAGATAGAATGCCAGATAGAATGCCAGATAGAATGCCCGAAGATATGTCAGATAGAATGCCAGAAGATATGCCAGATAGAATGCATCAGATTTGCCAGATAGAATGCCAGAAGATATGCCAGAAGATATGCCAGAAGATATGCCAGAAGATATGTCAGATAGAATGCCAGAAGATATGCCAGATAGAATGCCAGAAGATATGCCAGAAAATATGCCAGAAGATATGCCAGATAGAATGCCAGATAGAATATGTCAGATAGAGTGCCAGAAGATATGCCAGATAGAATGGCAGAAGATTTGCCAGATAGAATGCCAGAAGATTTGCCAGAAGATATGCCAGAACATATGCCAGAAGATATGCCAGATAGAATGCCAAATAGAATGTCAGAAGATATGTCAGATAGAATGCCAGAAGATTTGCCAGTAAGAAAATGTATAAATGTCATGGTGGGGATCACACGAAGTAAAGTATTTTTTTCCATAATTCTCTCGGTGACCATAATCATGCTTCGATATATCTAACAATTAGATACTTCAATACATGAATGATATATCACATATCCCATGTTAGTTATAAATATGATATCAAATATCATACTTCTACTATATGATACTTCAATATATCAAATATATCCCATTAATCAACTATAAATGGTCCAATTTCCATAGCTATGTTAAATTACCAGAGGGTATCCCATTTAATATCCCATATATTTTGGTCATGACTGATGTATGACCCTGGCAGGAGCAGCGCTGTTCACGGCGCTTCGGGCATCGCGCGTTGAGCGCTTCCGAGGCCCCTTTTGGCCTTTTGAGGGAGACCTGGAGACCTGGAATCAGGGTTTATGGCAATGGGGGTCTGAAAATAGGGGATACAACTAATATAACAAATGATAACTATGTCTATAGATGACCTGGAATATGGTTTATGGATAACCCTATTTTTGGTTATCCAAATAACCAGTTATTAGTTGATAAATGGAAATGGCAATGGCAAATATACGGTTATGGAGAGTTATGGCCATTTATCAATAAAGAACATCTAATAACTGGTTATTATGGGATTAGACATTCTATAGATAGGGTATAAGTACGTATAACTGGTAGAGGGCCCTAACTGTAGCCATTTCAATGCAGAAAATTATGATAATCCATGATAATCCATTGGAATTGGGATACCATATGTTCAGACAACACCAATCATAACTAATGACACTCAGCCAAGAAATCATCTTTTGAAATCTCAAGCAAAGCTAATCCTGGACATCAGATTATGACTAGTAATTATGGTTTAGCAAATCCTGGCAATCATATTACAACTAAAGATACACTGGGAAACGTTGCTAGGTTGCGAAGTCGGTTGACAACCAATGCTTCACCAGGGTTTACTGTAGTTATAACTACGTACAGTTAATGAATGTTAATGATTAACTGTAGTGACAACTACCGGAATGACTATTTATATATATATAACTGTTTGTCCAGCAGCTCGTATTGGTACCCTCTGGTATGCAAATTCTGGTAATAACTATAACACCCATGCTACCTCTTTCTACTGTGTCAACGTGTATTTGGATAGATTTTGCAACGTCAAGTAGTAGTCCAGGTAAGAGCAGTAGGTATAGAATTGTTGTGACCCCAAAAAGATGTAAATATCTGAAATACAGTCAAACTAGTGTTCTTATCTTCTTTGGGGTTGCTAGAACTGGTATTTCATGTCAAATAATCGACTGGACAAATTATAATGGGTACGGGGTACGGTAGTTTAATGATTTTATGTGTTGCCATAAAGGGAGATACATATATATTGACCAGTTGTTCCAGGATATCTAAGATCAGCCATGTCAAGGAAGAACTGGAACATCAGTGAATATTATACATTAATTATATATATATGTGTATATATATGTTTAGATATATACATATATATGTATACATATATATATATATACCATCTGGTTACTTAACATAGCCATGGAAAATCACCATTTTTAATAGGTAAACCATCTATAAATGGGCCATTTTCCATGGCAAACTGTTAAATAACCAGAGGGTATATGTTTAAATAAATATAGATACATATATATATATAATAGTATTTAATAATTTAATACTCATCTCCTGTAGCGTCCCACAGGATCTTTGCCCCTGACTATGTCATGGTCCCCGATGGTTTTCTCGTGGTTTTTTTCATGGCCAGGGGTTGATCTCCGATCTCGTTGTTCAAAAATTTGCCAATCACTGGCTGTTTTGCAACCATGAATCATGTACCCTCTGGTAATTTAACATAGCTATTGAAAATGACCATAGAAATAGTGGATTTTCCCATTAAAAATGGTGATTTTCCATAGTTATGTTAAATTACCAGAGGGTAATATCATGACATATCCAGAAAGATGCTGCCAACCATAACGAGACATTAGTGTGATTTGGCCTCTCATTGGAATTGTTGGCATATAAGAACAACAAGCGCTGGATTTATGTTGGAAATTCATTTTACATCAGAATGGGCAAACATATATTAAATTATATTAGCTTAAAACTGAGGGCGAGGCACTTTGTCATTTACAAGGAAATGCGTACATTGTGGGCCGAGATTTGACAAATGTACTGACATGTAGTAATACTGCATGAACATACTTGGTGAATGGTTTGACGATGTGGTTTTCTTTTTCCAGTGGATTCTGGATAAACATTGCTTAGGTTAAGTAGTATCAACATTTCATTCTGTACCTGGAGGTTTCCTAAAATAGTGATACCCCGGCCCCTAAATTATCAAAGTCCTGACTTAATATAGGTTATATAACCCATGGTGACTTGGGATCCAAACCATGTCAAGAAACCCCCATCTGGGTCTGTCAGTGCACTCCACTAGATCTCCACGAGCTCCTGCATCGTTTTTGGCGAAGGCGGATGCGATGTGTCGCGCAGCTGAAGAAAAAGCTGAAAGCTGTTGGGGAACTCAAAGAAATCTGGGTGACCTAAGATTATGGAAAATCATCTATCTACTGCTATTCTTGCATATTAAACGGATACTTGTGGTGTATCACTGGGGAAAAGCTGAATACAATCTGGAGAATAATATATAAGCGAGCCATTAAAAATACGAGTGTTAATGGATGAACCGGACCTGCTTGGCTTATTGGCAATTATGAATAACGCATGCTGTGCTACGGTTTGAATCCGGCGGTTCCGGCTCAGCTTTTCAACAGTTGCACGCTTCCTAGAAACGAGGATTCAGTTATAGATGTTTTCTTTTTTTTTTGTCGGGGGGTTCCATTCATTACAACACACCATCGTTTTAGTCACCTCCGGTAGGTTTCCATGCTTCCGGCAAATTAAAATCTGCCTCCAGGTTGGCAGTTGGCCAACATATGCTTTGGAAACATAATCTAGAATCCAGAAACTGATTTTGCTGGATCCTTGTAGTGTTTTTCGGTACGTCCCAAACTTTAATTTAGATTGCTGGATTCACATTGGTGTGGGTGATTCATGGTTTATGCCTTAAAGGTATCTTTTGTTACCTGCTTTGCCACAACAAGGTCGTCCAATGGCACCTAAGATGATCCAATGGTTTCCTTTGCTATTTACTCCATGATACCGTCGCTGGTTTCGTAGCTGTTTAGGATCCAAACGAAGCTCATAGTCTTATACTTGGGATATCTTCCAGCGTCAAAGAACAAGGGATCCTAAGTTCCGATGTGAAGGATTTCATTGACGATGCAAGATGATGCAAGCAGCTCGGTAGACTGTAGATGTATATATGTTGGTTCTTATCAGAAACTCCGCGACTGGACGCAATTCCTGTTTCTCTTGACAGGTCCATGACCTACTGTAATGAAGGATTTCAGCAAGAACAGGAGAAAGCAACAACATGTTTTGAAGGGTCGCTAATCCGCAGTTTTGTCGTGTGGAAATAATGCAATATTTGTTGGTCACCCATTGACATATACTGTGACTGAAACGATAGTTATTTGCTGTTCATAAGGTACTCATTTATGTTTCTAGAGGGTACTGATCATATATGTTCAAGTCTCAAATGGAGTACTGTAATTCCTTGCTCATATATGATCAGTACCCTCTAGAAACCCTTCGTCGAAAGTATTGGATCTGTTGATTCTGGAGGACCATATGGGGGGGGTGTTAATGGTGATGGGGTGATGGTTCTTTTTTCAGCATTCCAATCGAGGATTCTGTCAGAAATCGAAGTTGACCTTAATAGAAACCACAGCCTGATGTCCTAAAATTGGTTGAAGGGAATGTCTTTTGAACCCTTTGATTTTTGCAAAAAAAAGTGCTGCTCATATTTCCTACATGAATCTATTGATGATGATCATTCTCAGAAACTAATTGTGCCGATAACATGCATCCAGAAAATGTCTCTAGATCCCTTAGGCCTTAGTCGTTGATGTTTCCCTCAAAAATGGGGAATCTAAGATTTGCCAAAAGTTCCTTCACCATTTTTCTTTGGATTGTAGACGCTATAATCCCATGTGTTACTCAGAGTTTTCCTCTAATCATGGCTTTGTTTATTGTTCCCACTATGTTCCATGCCCCCTCAGTTCCAAGTTGGTTTATCAACTCCATCAACTATGATTATGATTATGATTATAAGATCTTATAAGTATATATCACGAGCCATAGTGACTAGAGTTCTAAAATGTGACAAAGCCAACATAGCTATCTAAGGGCCCCCCACTTTGTACTATGTTCCATTGAACGTTTACGGCTTTACGGCTGAGGTCCCAGGGTGCAGCGCACCAGGCAGCAGGGATGACCACGGCTTGGGGATCCACCATTTTAAGAACCCCCCATATGGAGGTATGGCAACCATAACAATAGTGTCTATTAGTGTCTATTAGCTAAACATGGTTCCTCACCTGCCAGGTGAGGGTCTTTAGATTTTTATCAGAGGTGCTTCCCCTCTACCTCCTCAAGCGTGAGCTGCAGACAGCAGTGGGCACAGGCGGACCTCAACCGCGAGCGCCAGATCTATGATCTCAGTGGGCGCTGCTGGACCCCAACTGCAAGCGCCAGATGCCAGATAGAATGTCACAAAGAATGCCAGATAGAATGTCAATATATATATATATATGTGATTGTATTTGCCAGAAAGAATGCCAGATAGAATGACAGAATATATGCCAGATATAATGTGTCAGAATCAATTGGTGAGGATCACTGGAAGAAAGTTTTTTTTTTTAATAAACCAAATATATTCTTCCCAGAAGTAGATAAATGGGAAACTTTCTTATGCGCTTGTAAGAAACATGGTTTCCTGATACTTCCTGTAGGTATTCGCCTAAAGCTACCCATTGAATCGCCTCAAGATTTACTGGTGACATATGGCTATCAAAGTCTGGAGAAATGATAATCCCTGAATTGGAGGTGTCCTAATATATGGCTACCCCAAACCATTGGTTTTCCCGTTGATTTCCGGATTCTCAAACTATGATAACCATTGGTTTTCCCATGGATTACTATATAATACTATTTATATATATATATTAATCAACACATTTATTCATAAACAATAACAATAACCAACAACTACTAATAATATCCAATAACCAATTGATAACAACCAATAACTTGGATCCATTTTGGGCCATCACCGACCCACCAGGCCTTCCTTCGCCCCTTGTAAGACGCTGGCGACGCTGCGCGCGGAACATGCCATGTTGGCGCGGCAGAATCAACTGCAGCGCTTGGTACCTTGGTACAACTGAGATCTCTGGAAGTTGGCCGCTTTACAGAAAAAGTAGCCACCAACGGACATTCCAAAGGTCAATCTGATATAATCTGATAGACATATAATGCCAAGTCAGGATTAATAACCCCCCCCCCCAGAGGGTCGGAACTCTACCTTGTAGGTCATTTTCTTAAACACCCCTTAATCAGAAGCAACTCTGAACCATAAAACTTTGGATATGGCTTACGTCAGTTAGATCTTAATTAGATCTTAATAGAATTCCATTGGATTTGTTAAAATCTCATGGATCAGAAAGGTGGTTGATTAATCAGGAGTAAACCCTGGTTATTATTAATGGGGGACATGGGCTCATGGGGGGTACCCTTTGGGAGCTATCCAAACTGATGATTTTTATAAAGATTTTAATTAAAAATCGATCATTTGGGGAATAGTTGTTTTTTGAAATTTTCAATGATCAACTTAAACCTTAAGTATAACAATGATGATTAAAAAATGTAAAAAATAAATGGAAATAAATAGAATTGGAAATAAAAATTGTTGGATAAAAAATGGATTTCAGCATTGGATGTTTTTTAATCGGGGGTGTTTAATAATACTGGGGGACCACCTGTTTTTTAATTGCATTTTTTTTGGGGGGAGGAGGAGGTTGATTAATAACGGGCTGTTGATTAATCCTGACTTGACATTATAATTCATAATATGTATTCTGACGTTTTATCCGACAATCTGGCATGAACAATACTTTATTATATCCTGCCATTCTACCTGACATATATTGTGACATGTGTTCGGGCATTTTATCTGACATCTAGGTCTAGGTGACAAAATACTCCGACATTCTATCTGAGTTTTTGTAGCGTATATATTCTGACATCGTTTCTGACATTCTATCTCATGATATCTATGTTGGCGCTCTGTCCGACATATTCCGGGTTCGGGTCCGGCGGGGCCCAGGGAGCCAGCTGGCGACTGGGGAAATTTCAACAACAAGAAACGAACAAATCGGGATCATCGTGGCAACATGAATGGACAAAACAATGGAGTGAATGATGATCAACCATGCAGAAACAATGCAGACAGCAATAAGATACAAATCTGCATGATCTTTCGAAGGATCTAACCCCAAACATATATTATAATTTGAAAATAGAACACTTTAAGATTCAATGGGTTATCAATGATGTGAACTGCAAATTGATCAATTGGTGTTCGGTACTAAGGGATGGATTTGATTGTCTATATTGCTGTTTCACTTTCTGTGTGTACTCGTTTTTTTGGTATACAGCACATTCACATTTCGCAATCCCAAGTGCAATCTGGTTTGCACATGTGAGATGATTCCGGAACTCTGAAACTTGTCTGTAGGTTGATAATATTCCATGAGATATCTAAAGCCTAAAGTACTGTTAATTCTTGCAGCAGGAATTTCATTTGGTTGCATCCACCTTCCAGAGAAGGCTACAAACCTGTTTTGAACATGTTTGTACCATTTACCCTCTGGTTATTTAACATAGCCATGGAAAATGGCCCATTTATAGATGGTTTACCTGGGTTTACCTATCAAAAAAAGGTGATTTTCCATGGCTATGTTAATTAACCAGAGGGTATTCAGATTTATGTCCAGGACCATTCAAGTAAGGGAGATACGGTACCAACTGTACTGAGATGGTACCACACAAAGTAGCTGGGCGATACGGTTCCCCAATTTCCAGTGATAGATTTGAACCATCCAGAATGATATGTTGAGTTTGTTTCAGTTTATTTTTATGTCCCTTTTAACAATTGAAAAAACAACAGCAACCAGAAGATAGTTGATCAACTGAGTTAATGTGTGTCTTGAAAAAACTATACCCCGAATTTATTGCCATCAAGAGTAATATTCAGCAAATATACTTGGTATATGATACACTGATGATCAACATTGATAATCCACCAGTTTCCGTGATACACTAGTTAATCACCAGAGTATTCATGATTATCCAGTTTACATGATGGTTTTTATGGCCTTATGATAAACTATGAGCTATGATTATGATGGCCATGATTATCATAATATGATGATACCATAGGTGGCCATAGATGGCCATCCGTGCCGATCCGCGCTCCAGGTGATGCGCCTTGAAAAGACCTTGAAGGTGAGAAGGGTGCGTGGAGACCTGGAGTAGATAGGTTATGGACATGTCAAACAAAAAGCATCGCTAAATTGGGAATATGTATGAAACTCACCTATGCTATCTACTTCAGGATGAATATGTATAATATATATATATATATGAAATGATCATTATGGTTTATGATCAGTATTGTCATGATCATTCGAATAGTGACGCAAGTAATGACAAACAACAATGATCATGAACATGTGAATGTTCATGATAGCAAGTAAGAAATAAGCATTGCATCGTGATATTTTGCAGGCTTCTAGAGCTTTGATGGAAGGTTCCGGATCCGAACACATGTCATGTCCCCTCCAGTTTGAATTCGCCTTTGGGGTTGTGTCTGGGTGACCAAAACAGATTGTGGGAATCAGTCTAACCAGGAAAAACATGACCGCTTTCCTGCAAGAAGACACTAATCTAGTTGACATCAGTTGATTATCATCATGAACCATTCTTCCATATACATATATATATATATCTATCCATAATATATATATATTATGAACAGTTTTTTTTTTTATTGGGGTACCCGATTTCTTCACGTTAATCCTCTGGTTTCTGTCGAATTCTGACAAACGAGATCCGGACTGCATCCCATCCCCTTCATTTTTGGGATGGTTTATAGTTTATACGACCCAGTTATAGATGGTGAATTCGGGAATGGTTATTATACCACCCAGTTACAGATGGTTATTATTGTTTCAACCACAAGTGACATGTTTGTTTGACCTTGTGAATCCAGAAAAAGAACCTGTGAGGCCATACAGATGAGTCGAAAGCATGTCATGCTATGAGGGATGGCTATCCCGGATGAGTTGAGTTCACATAAAATTGACTGATGTAGATTGATTTACATCATACAGAAAGGTCGCATTCACTATTTTCATATATTTTCAGAACCTAAAGTTATCATCTTGGTATCGGGGGAAAGCGAAGACGCGATGTGAAGAGCGTCCGATTCCCTTTGAGATGGCGTACAGTACCAATCCGTCCGATGCGTTACATCGACATGTGCCCGCAGAATGGCAACTAAGCCAAGAATCAAGAAATTCAAAGCTCAGGTTGAGTTCCATCTTCAATTTCATGGATACACTCTCAAACAACTTTGATTAGTATACCAACCAGAACTTGAAATGCCATGCTCTTCCGTGTGAACGCCGTGACGCATCACAGTCCTACAGAGATGACCGATTAAGTTTTGAAGAAATCTGTGCGCACAGAGGGAAAGTTCACTGATGGAAAAAAGTGGCCATACGTCCATTGCAGCTGGTGCTATGTTGGTACCCAAAATGAATGATTTTTACCAATAATTAACTCAAACATGATATTGACTTTAGACATATACAATGGGAATATGACAAGTCATTGACACATATAACGTAAAAAAAAAAACTAGATTTCCCATTGGTGCAGTTCCAATATAACTAATGGTCCATAACCAATAAAATACTGGTGAACACTTCCAATTTACTTATCTCTGATGGTCCCACTGCGGACCCGGGACCTTCAGCGAATGTCATAATGTTAAATAATGCATGTTTTGAATAATGCATGGACACCTTTCCAATTACAACACTACTATTATATAAATACGTATATATATATATATATATTTATTTATACATACATACATGCATGCATACATACAAACATACATACATACAAACATACATACATATATTCCTTCGATCCATCTATCCATCCATCCATCCAGGCATGCATGCATGCCTGCATGCATGCATACATGCATACATGCATACATGCATACATCCATACATGCCTACATGCATCCATGCATCCATGCATCCTTCCATCCATCCATCCATCGATCCATCCATCCATCCATCCATCCATCCATCCATCCATCCATCCATCCACACATACATACATACATACATACATGCATGCATGCATGCATGCATACATACATACAGACATACATACATACATACATACATACACACATACATACATACATACATACATACATACATACATACATACATACACACATACACACACACATACACACACATACACACACATACACACACATACACACACACACATACACACACACACACATACACACACATACACACACATACACACACATACACACATACACACATAATGATACACATTCGATATCATTTGATTGTATACTGATAATGTTGAATAAAAGATGTTGAGAGTCTACAGGGTTGCATCTTGTAACTCGGTTACATCACTGGTGGCAAACTGGGCCCCAGTTACTTAGTTTGTTAGGTGTGTAACTAGGCTAACCAACTGTAGACAAGTGACTTAGTTAACTACAGGTAGGGTGTACTTACTGTAGAACTGACAACTATTTTGTATATTAGTGTTTTTTTTTGCAGATGCATATGTACAATATATATATATAGCTTAGCACACTTTGAAGTTGGTTTAAAGTTAGCCAAATATGTATAACTGCACAGACCAATTTTAAGGCCGTGGATACTATCCTGCGACTATAACTACAAGATTACTTAGAGTATCCATTAGTGACTGGATGAAGCCAAGGAGCTATGAATATTATTTTTCAACAAAAATGGAGCTTCCCAAACCTCACGATCGCAGTTGCAAGATTTAGATACCGTATAGATCAGTGGCAAGGACGACTTGAATCATTGAACCCAAGAGATTGGACAGTTCAAAACATTCCAATATATATATATATTTGTATATATATATATGTATATTACATATATATATATATATGGATGTATAAGGATCTCAACCTACAATGTATATGATATAATATGGATGTCTAGGATTGTTGGGACCTCAACCTCACCACAGCTGTTTCCATCTCCCAGCGGCGGCGCGGGGCAGCGCGTGGCGGCGCGGCATCCGGCACCACGTGAAGGTCCTTGTGGAGAGTGGCTGCGAATTTTAACATATTTTAACAGGAGGAAATAGGAGGAACATATAGGAACATGTAATCAATAATAATATATATATATATAATTATTGTTTGATAATGGGATTTGCCGCCAAAATGGGTCCAAATGGCGATATAAGTAGGGAACATGATGATTATGGGATTTGGAGGTAGTTTATTTTCAAACAAACCAATGTATAAGCCAAATACACACTGTTGTTAAATTAACGAGTAATTCGTAGAATTTAAGCACTATGAATCTGTTGCTTGTTGCAGTTCAGTCGTGAAATTCGCCAATCCTGACCTCAATGAGGGAAACCAAGAATGCTTAAAAGGGGGGAAACACTCAGGGTTAAAAAAAGCCTGCATTTTCGGTGTATATATATATATATATGTGTATATATTTTACAGTATCCACAACTATTCCCTGGGGAAAAAAATTGAGATGTTGCAGATTCATCTGTGCGAAAGGAGAGTGGCAGAGTCACAGGGTCGGCGCCATGCCGGTGGCCCGGGACTCAAAGAGTTTGGTGAGGCAGGAGGTCAAAGGATGACAGATCCATGGGTTTCCCAGAAAATGATGTTTTTTTTCGACGTAAAGCGTCTCCTGGAGGGTATCCGGGAAAATAGATTGGCTATTGGCAATGCATTTGGTTTGCTTAGATGGATTTACCATCTTGGAGATTTGATAGCCAGAATAATTGCGTAGCATATTGACATATATCGACCATATCCACTACAGTAGGAGCATAATCTATGACTCTAGTGTAGATGCTTTCTTGCCATACACTTTTAGTTTTAGATAGTTTTAGGATGTTCCACATATCCCACGTTGAACTTGTAGCTGAGTTGATACCATCGCCTTCCAAAGAAGGGCTGCCTCTTGATGGGGCTATCCTGGAGCAAACTTGAAATGATCTACAGTACTCTCTGGTAATTATTGCCAAGCTAGCTGGAAACCTCAGGAAATGGTTTGATGATTTTCCCAGCTATGGGCACCTCTATTTCTGAGGGGATTTCCCAGCGGCCCATCATGTTTGATAGGCAATTCCTCGGGTTCAGCGGTTTAACCGTCAGCCATTGTTTGGCATCTTTGTTGGTTAAATTATCGATTTTCCCAAGACATTTCCCCGCAAACCAGCGTGGTCGACCATTCCAAAAACTATTTTTTTGAAAACTAAGGCATCAATATTTCTAACTTAAGTTCAACATCTATTTGATTTTTCCTGCTGTATTTTTTTGGGGGTGGTCTACAATTCTAAAAGATCCAGGCTGAGCTCACCTTCCGCCGGGTCCGACGCTCAGATTCCGGGGGGCCATATTAAGAGACCAATTCGGATATTGGATTTCGCTGTGAAGATTGGCTTTCGGTTGTGTTTTGCTCTCATTTGATTATTTATAACCTTCCATAAATCCTAGCTCGCCTATTTGATCCTAGTTGTAAACCATCAGCCTTGCACGCGAACCCCATACCTGCGGACTTGACCATGCGACCAAGCAGTGAATAGCAATGGGTGCAATGGGTTAGATCATGTTGGACATCCGGGTTGTAAATGTGATTATCCTGCTTATCGCATCTACATATTTATGATGTTTGATCTGTACATGCATACCATAAGAAGAGATCATTAGATATGTGCATGATCCCCCTTTTAATTTCTCTTATTAAATCCCGCCACCCGGGGGGCCGGACCCAATTTTTATAGGGTCCCGTGTCCCCTTTTTTTAAACATGGCTTACAAAATTCTACGTTTTTTTTTTTTAAATCACGGGTGCCCCAAAAAAACATCATTTTATACACGACCCCTTTTTTCTGGGGCTATAAAATGACTAACATGGGTTATCTCCTCAGGAGAAAAAGTGGGGGCGGGGTCAGCATATTGAAAAATGATTTGTATTTCTTTTACTACATTTTTGCGTTATAAAATCATGGTTCCTTTTAAGCCTGTCATGTATAGTATTGATTTGTCATTTAATAAACACCTGGAGAACAACGCCTTATAAAATGATGGTTTGGTAAATCTTGTGATGGAGTGGCGAACACTCATTTTATAAGAAACTATTAAATTAAATTTGAAAAACAAAACTATTAAATTTTGATAATATTTTCATAGGTTTTAGCATTGTGATCTAGCATTCTATAATGTTTGATTATCCATTATATAAGGTACACTTACTTTGCAAATCTTTGCACACATAAACAATTTCTTTTGAACATTACAGGTTTTACCAGCACAAACTGAGAAAAACATACCCGGAGAAATCAGGTTTGCACAGGTTTTGTTCTTATAAGATGCCCTGGAGGTGCCTTATTAAAATGACTCCCTTATCGGGGACACCAAATTAGTAGAAATTCCACTCCCGCTTTAGAAAATGAGTTTCGAATCCTGTACAAACAGTTAGGCCAGGATCGCGGGACGCCGTAAGAGATTTTCATGCTGATTTTGGTAACTGGGAGTCGCATTTTTTTTGCCGTTATTCTTTGCTAAATCCATTGCCATATATTACTGTAGGTCCTGCAATTGCCATTTTGTAAACTTTGGTGTGGTGCATTTGTCATTTTATAATGGGAAAAATGGGGGGCTTCTTATATATTGGCGCCACCCGGGTCAGACACTTAATTATAAAGGGGGATTGTGCATGTGTGTATACCTGAAACCATGGAACCAGTCCAATATGTAGATCTCAACAGATATTCTGGTAACCAGGCATATCCTTAAATGCATCCCCTACTCCAGGCACCGATGTAAAAAAAAACAACGGACCCATTCAGGCCATGATCAACATTGCCGATGCTGGGCGCTTGGGCGAGGGTGAGGACGCCATTTTCATCGGTCAACGAATGAATGGCCAACAAGTCGAAAACCTTGTGGAACCCCCAAGAATTGGAGTTGGAAGGTCGCATTGTTTCTGCTAAAATTCTGGACTGAAGATGATTTAACATGATTTAAACATATTTAACATGATTTAACATGACTTAACATTATTTAAGCACTAGAAGCATGCACATGTCAGTGATATGTAAGTCCTCTTCTATTTGGTCTTCTCACACATTATTCATCATTATTCCACCAAAAAGTCAGCGGGTGAAACCACCAAGCACTAATCTAAGCTGGCAAATGTACCTTCTGGTTATTTAACATCGCTATGGAAAATGGTGCATTTGTAGATAAAAAGATGAGTTAACATATTATTTCAAAGATGATTTAACAGATGATTCACCTATTAAAATGGTGATTTTCCTTAGCGCTCAGTGCCCTTCAGTACCGGTGGAATTTCCGATGGCAGGACCTGAACGACGCTCTCCTGGACTTCTTTATGAGGTGCGGAACGTGGAATTTTCTGCCGATCGAAGCGTTTCAATCCATCGGTCAGATTTTCAAAGGTAGTGACTTCGCAATTCAAAGCCTAGTGAGCGTGAAATTCAAACGGTAGTGACTTGGAAATCAACTGTTGAAATTTCAATGATGGTGACTTAAGATGGGATGGGGCCCGTGTTGAGCCTTCAGATTTCTTCCTGTTACGTATCCATTGCAGCAGGAGACGAGATTTATGCACATGATTTTGTCAGTTGGAAAAAGAGGCAAAACAACACTGGCGAGTCTGAGTATGCTTTGTTGGTTCCCCCTCCATTTTTTCCCTGGATCTAGATGGAGATGTTTCCACCAAATTCAAACAGCCACATCTAACTACCTTCCACTCTGACACATATACGACATATACAGTGGAACATCCAATCATCTTATTTGTGCATCATGTCCTAAAGAACCCATGGATTTCCATGGGCCCTCTTTTTGGACGGGAAGAGCTGCGCCGCCAGGTTAGGCCAATATCTTATCCCAAAAGGCGGTGAGAACGAAGCGTTGGGGTCCCCTTGGGGTCGGCCGAGCAGGTGCAGTGCGGAAAGCCATGGAAGATACACTTCTTGACCCTTAAAATCGGATCTTAATGTGCTTTTTCAAGAGTTGCATACACTTGAAATGAGATGAAATGAGCGCGTTTGAAAGTGAATATGAGGAACTATATACCCTTTAAATGGCTATTTCATGGGGATTATTATGATAAAACACTGCAACTACAGGTACCCTAGTTTCAGAGAAAGCCGAATCTTTCATATCAAACCCAAAGAATGCAACATTTGAGAAATTAATTTTGCACACCTAAGTTTGTACTGAGGGGTGAGCAGGTTTGGAGGTCTCTAGATTCGCAGAATCAACTCCAGGGAATGAGTAGAATTGCTTAGAAAGTTTAGGCATCAAACTTGGAGATCTCAAGCAATTGTCATCCTTTGACTGAGTCACTTCCTAGAAGTTGCCGCCTAGGCACACTTTAGCTGTGGAGAAATGACCCCGAGGCCAGTGTCTTACCTTGGTGCCATCTTCTTCAAGCAGTTGCGGAGGTGCGACCGAGAGTCATGAGGGCCCCCGGGCCCATCATCCAAGAAATGTTTTGTTTTTATTTTGGAACATAGCTTATGGGGTACCTTGAGAAGCACCCACATACATAAGTTTGTGGTAACGTGTGTGGTGAATTTCTTCTTTGGTGATCAGCGCTGCCCCGACCAGTGCCTTCGCCAACTCGGGAGAGGAAGGCTGGAAGAACGTCCCGCGCTGAGTTCAACGGAGTGGGCAATGGCAGAGGCCAACTGGACCCACTTTGTTGGCAAACGATCCATGTTTGAAATGTTTGTCTAAGTGTCCCTTATAATCCCTTCCTCCTATTACCAAACCCCGCCCAAATACTAAAAACTAGTGTCCATCTCCAGTTTCAGAAAATTTCAGATTGGCCAATTTGACTTTTAATTGATCCTCTTTAGAAAACAAGTTAAAAATCAAGCTACCATTTGTATCCATTTGTGGGTTTTCCCCCCTAATGCTAAAAGCTAGTCACCCCCGGGGTTTTTATTACTAGGGTCCGTCCGATTTTTTTGTTTTTTTAATTAGGGCTTTTAATTTAGTATTAGGGGGAAGCTTCGAAATCCAATTTTTGGCAATATATATTAATTGCGTTATATAAAGAAATTTAATTGATTTTGAGATCGGAAAAAATAGTTTTTATTATAAGGGTTTTAATTTAATATTAGGGGGAAGCTTCGAAATCCAAATTTCTGCAGTATTTTAATTGCGTTATATAAAGAAAATTCATTGATTTTGAGATGGGAAAAAATAGTTTTTACTATTAAGGATTTAATTTTATTAATAGGGTTCCCTAATAATAAATAATCCCCTAATACTAAAAACTACCTGCCGTGTTTTTTAATAGGGGGAGAGGGGGACGTTTAGGATTAGGAGGAAGGGATTAATTAGTAAGAATAGTAAGTCCCTTATTGTTGTTTGACATGTTGTTTAATTGTCCATGTTTGAACATGTTCTTTAGATTTCTTTAGCATGAACATTGTAAACTAAAAGACACGGATCTGAGTAAGTATAGTAATTCAACAGCTTTGGGGTTGAATATGGATCCAGGGCAGCAGAAATTGCATGGAATCTGGGCCAAAGCTGGGTAAATTGGATCTATGTTTGCTTCCAATGGGTGAAAAGTCACCCAGAATCCCAGATTTGAAGATGTAGCTATGGGAACCGACAGAATGATGGAAATGAAAAAAGGTTCGCGTGCCGCAGGTATCGGAAAAGGTTCGGCCCCGAAAAAAAGATCGAATCGGGCCGATGAGACCGATCAAGACTGGTCAACATCCAAAATCAAGTTAAAACAAAAACAAGGCTACGGCGCGGTTAGCGACCCGGGGTAATTCATTGATTTTTCATGATGCTTGGTTCACCAAATCATGGTATTTGCAATGTTTTGTAAAAACGTGATAAAAATGTCAAATCGTAGTTACTTTGGGGCCTACTACAAAAAGTGCGTTTCGTGTGAAACATTCATCGATTTTCAATACCCCTGAAACGAATTATTGTTCTTTTTCGTTTTGTTGGAGAAAATTAGTTACATCTGACCACCAGTCATTGAGCAACACTTCTTTTTCAACTTACCTTGCAAGGTCTTCAGCGTCGACCCTTTTTGGCCAGCTTTCCCAGTTCCTTCCACATGAACGTTAACATCCCCACCCCACCCCAACCCAGTGACGTGACGTCAGTTGTGCATGTGACGCAAGTTAACATGAACGTTAACATCCCCACCCCACCCAACCCAGTGACGTGACGTCAGTTGTGCATGTGACGCAAGTTAACGTGAACGTTAACATCCCCACCCCACCCCAACCCAGTGACGTGACGTCAGTTGTGCATGTGACGCAAGTTAACATGAACGTTAACATCCCCACCCCACCCCAACCCAGTGACGTGACGTCAGTTGTGCATGTGACGCAAGTTAACATGAACGTTAACATCCCCACCCCACCCCAACCCAGTGACGTGACGTCAGTTGTGCATGTGACGCAAGTTAACATGAACGTTAACATCCCCACCCCACCCCAACCCAGTGACGTGACGTCAGTTGTGCATGTGACGCAAGTTAACATGAACGTTAACATCCCCACCCCACCCCAACCCAGTGACGTGACGTCAGTTGTGCATGTGACGCAAGTTAACATGAACGTTAACATCCCCACCCCACCCCAACCCAGTGACGTGACGTCAGTTGTGCATGTGACGCAAGTTAACATGAACGTTAACATCCCCACCCCACCCCAACCCAGTGACGTGACATCAGTTCTGCATGCATCAATTTCAAGAGCAACTTGCCTCCAATCAGCAAAAATGGCAAAAACGCAGGGGTCGTTAATGGCGCCGTAGGCAAAAACAAGGATGAGACAAATGTCTACAAAAGCCTCTAATTCACGATGCGAATTTGATTTTGGAAATCTCACTTTTCGTATCCTGATCGTCCAAACCACCTGGTAAACAGTGTATTTGCATGAATTTGGGACCAAACCCAGGCTCAGCTTTGAGATCCTGATCCTGCAAACCACCTGGTTTACAGTGTGTTTGCATGTATTTGCATGTTTTTGGGGCCAAACCCAGGTTCAGCTTTGAGATCCTGATCCTCCAAACCAGCTGGTTTACAGTGAATTTGCATGATTTTGGTGCCAAATCCACATTGATTTTGCCAAAAGGTGAACATTTAGCATAACCTGCTGGTATTTCCACAATTTTGTCGCTGCCGGTATTTTGGGACCAAATTCAATTTTGAAAGTCTCACTTTTCGGATCCTGATCCTCCACACTACCTGGTTTAGAGTGTTTTTGCATGATTTTGGAACTAAATCCAGATTCAGCTTTGGGATCCTTATCCTCCAAACCACCTGGTTTACAGTGAATTTGCATGATCTTGGGACTAAATCTGGATTCAGCTTTCAGGCCCTGATCGCCCAAAATGAGACATGTCTACAAAAGCCTTTAATTCACGATGCAAATGAGATTTTGGAAATCTCACTTTTCGGATCCTGATCGTTCAAACCACCTGGTTAACAGTGTACATGTATTTGCATGAATTTGGGACCAAACCCAGGCTCAGTTTTGAGATCCTGATCGTCCAAACCACCTGGTTTACAGTGTGTTTGCATGTATTTGCATGATTTTGGTGCCAAACCCAGGTTCAGCTTTGAGATCCTGATCCTCCAAACCAGCTGGTTTACAGTGAATTTGCATGATTTTGGTGCCAAATCCACATTGATTTTGCCAAAAGGTGAACATTTAGCATAACCTGTTGTTATTTCCGTAATTTTGTCGCTGCCGGGATTTTGAGACCAAATTCAATCTTGAAAAGCTAACTTTTCGGATCTTGATCCTCCACACTACCTGGTTTAGAATGTTTTTGCATGATTTTGGAACTAAATCCAGATTCAGTTTTGGGATCTCTATCCTCCAAACCACCTGGTTTACAGTGTATTTGCATGATTTTGGCGCCAAATCCACATTGATTTTGCCAAAAGGTGAACATTTAGCATAACCTGTTGTTATTTCCGTAATTTTGTCGCTGCCGGGATTTTGAGACCAAATTCAATCTTGAAAAGCTAACTTTTCGGATCTTGATCCTCCACACTACCTGGTTTAGAATGTTTTTGCATGATTTTGGAACTAAATCCAGATTCAGTTTTGGGATCCCTATCCTCCAAACCACCTGGTTTACAGTGTATTTGCATGATCTTGGGAGCATGTATTTGCATGTTTTTGGGGCCAAACCCAGGTTCAGCTTTGAGATCCTGATCCTCCAAACCAGCTGGTTTACAGTGAATTTGCATGATTTTGGTGCCAAATCCACATTGATTTTGCCAAAAGGTGAACATTTAGCATAACCTGCTGGTATTTCCATAATTTTGTCGCTGCCGGTATTTTGGGACCAAATTCAATTTTGAAAATCTCACTTTTCGGATCCTGATCCTCCACACTACCTGGTTTAGAGTGTTTTTGCATGATTTTGGGACTAAATGCAGTTTCAGTTTTGGGATCCTTATCCTCCAAACCACCTGGTTTACAGTGTATTTGCATTATCTTGGGACTAAATCTGGATTCAGCTTTCAGATCCTGATCGTCCATGGTCAGTGGATCATAAGTCGTAAAGTTTGCCATAGATTATGCACTGTAGCCATGGCAAAAAGAATTTTGGAAACATGACCATAGAAAAGTTGTCACTCTTTCATGTAAAAAGTACCTATGGCACTGGTTCAATTCCAGGAAGCACCCTCTCGCGGAAAAAAAACATATGGAAATTTACCTGCAGGACACCCATGCCCCATCGCAAAAGGCTTGGGAGACGCGATGAGAGAAATTTTAGATTTTTGCATTTTTATGAGTAAAACAGAATTATGGAAACTGACGGCCCGACGCGACGCAGATTTTCACCGACCCGTGCCGAACCTTTTTTTCCATTTCCGTAATTCTGTCGGTTCCTGTATATAATATGAATGCACTAAAATGTACAATATCTAAATATGTATGTAATTCTTCAATATGGTTTTTACAGTATGATATTTTATGATCTTTAATTATATTGTATTATATTGTAGTACATTGTTTGATATTTCATGATCTTGAATATATATATATATATATATGTTTCTTTATTTATTTTATATATTTATGTTTCTTTATATATATATATATGCACACTCATTATTCCCTGATGTCTATCTGACTGTGCCACTCTGGTCCGAGGTGATGAACTGGGCCAAGCGAAAAGCTGGTGGATTGTTCAAGTCGGAGACCTGGTGACTTATCAACGGATGAACTTTTCAGATGATTTGGGATGGTTTAAGATGTGTTTAAGATGGTTTAGGATGGTTTAGGATGTTTAAGATGGTTTACGATGGTTTGAGACAGTTGCTAATGCTTTTTGATGCGAAAGATCCCATGCTTTCCTGACAATTTTCCAACCAACCCATTGAAGAAGTCAACTGAGGCCTGCCTTCGCTGCTTTTGCAGTGCCCATCAACGAGGAGACTCTGATTCTGGAATTTCCTCTCCTGGTGATTTCCTGCTTTTGCCCCGAAGCCAGCCGGAAATTGCAATTTGGCCCTTACACATATACATATAATATACATCATTATATCTCTTAATTATATATTTATATATATGTATATTATATATATATACATACGGATATATGATACATGTATCCATATTAGTCATGTATATATATATATGCATTTGTTTATTTAATTTCATGGACGCTGGACCTTCATGTACTACTTGACCATTGGACCATTAACCATTTCGTTTCATGTCAAATTGGAAGCATTCTTTCCAAAAGAGTTTTGAATCTCTTCTTTTTGGGTTTTGGGGTGTTTATTTTTTGTTGCTTTGGGAAATAAAAGAAATTTAACAATTTTGGCCATACCTGAAGATTGTTTTTATTTTACAGAAATGCATTTTGGCCAAAACATAAGCAAATTGAAAATTGACATTGTTGTTTTGTTATGTTTTGTTTAAACTTCATAATTCAAAAAACACGAGCACAAGACTGTTTCAAATTCATACACGTTCTTTGGCGGTTTCATTTTTTCATGTTTTTTCTCTGTGTTTTTGCTAGAAATTCAACATTTCAAATAAAGGCCACATTGAATGCATTTAACAAACGAACATGAAATTGCTGGTTTTATTGAATCGAACAATTCAATAAGACTTGGCCAACATACTAAAGATGACTGAAACATGTTTGCTGCAACCTGGACGTTTGCCCGGAGTTGATGTCCCGCCTTCCTGATTTTGATCCGTCATGAAGATAAAGTTGATGTCATTACCCCATTCAACATTGGTCATAGGGGGTGGCGAATTTTGATCCCTCATAAAGATAAAGTTTGTGTTATTATCCCAATCAACGTATGGTTCAGAGGGGGTGGCGAATGTTGACCTCCATGAAGATAAAGTTGATATTATTACTTCCCCAATCAACATATTGTTCTGTTATGTCACAATCTTGAGTCTGGGCGAACGTTAAGGTTGCGGACAACATGTTATTTTAGAACAATGAAGCAATCAATTTTAATGGCCAATGCATACACAAACAAACATGTTCTTAAATTTCAAGAACTTCTATTAAAACAACGAACGAGAATGAACTTCTCCCAAAAGGCAATGTCATTTTTTTGGTTTTTATTTCCGTTTTGATTTTCAAAAATAAACGTCGAATGTAGCCAATACATCAATGGGCAAGGCATGCAAACCAGGAGTTTTAATATTTCAAACCAGGACTTCAACATTTGATCCCAAGGAAAGAATGAATGCACGATTTTATTCGTCAACCTACCCAATCAATAGCCCTATCCCACCCAAAAAGCAATTAAAAAAACATCCCCAACCAATCAATATCCCAACCAGTGAAGAGAACTCCCCAACCAATCAGTATGAACACGGGGAAATTCCAGACCAATCAAGATGCTAATCAAAGACATTGCCAATGAATGAAAATTTCCTAATCAATCAGAATTCCAATTCTCGACCAAGTCCAGGTGCTGTTTCCAAGCTAGCCATGAGCAAGAGAGCCAGATCCCAAACAGATTCCAGTTGCTTGGCACATGCTTCAACTTTTAAAAAATAGATTGACTGTTTTATTCAGACCTTGGTTGCCCCATGTTGCCATTCTTTTCCATCTACGCGCCTGCCCAATTGCCCTTAGCTCAGAAACTCTTCCTATGATCCGATTACCTCGCTCGATGGGCCTGTGGAATGTGAGTAGCTGCCCGTTATGAAGCTGGCGGTGTTCTGTGAACACTTGGTTTTGCTTGAGATGAACTATTGTTTGTGATATTTATAAATATAAATATATATATATATATTTGTGTGTGTTGTATGTGTATATATATATACATATGTCTTATGTATATATATATGTATTGTTTTATCAGTGATATTTTTGTTTATTTAGAACCGAAGGTAAACCCATCTTTAGCATTACAATATGTTTTCTTATTTTCTTACATGTAAAATTCCTTCCACGTGCCACTGGCCAGGACCTGAAAGATGAGAAGGGCCACTGCCTCAGCGGCCGCCAGAAAGCTTCCATTCGCACTTGTAGTGTTCATATGTTGTTCCAATCTATATATATATATATTGCAAAATTATCGGTACGTTTGGTTCACTTATACAACTACACGTATATGTTTAAATGTAAATGATAGTAGCATTTAAATATGTGGAGGGCAGGCCAGACCACGAGGCCCCGGAGGTATAGTATGAAACATCAGCTCAATTTAACTGTATATCTAAATGCTTTGGATTCCGGATGTTTAAATGGCCGGGCGGGCCAAGGAAACCTTCCCAGAGGTAGTCTAAAATACAATTTCGTGCATTTCAGAATCCGTATGCTCAAATGTAGTTACGGCATGTGTATGTATGCATTCAATTATATATATATTTATTTATATACGGCAAATGCCTGGGCTTTGACCTGAACCGCAACGACGACGGGCAACGCATCATCATCATCATCATCATCATCAACATCGTCATCAAGCCTTTGTTGACCTTCCCATTTGAATGTAGAGTTTAACGGGGGTGGGATTCTAATATCCCCTAATACCTTTGTTGATCTTCCCCATTGAATGTAAAGTTTAATGGGGGTCGGATTCTAATATTCCCTAATACCTTTGTTGATCTTACCAATTGAATGTAAAGTCTAACGAGGGTCGGATTTTAATGTTCCCTAATAATACCTTTGTTGATCTTCCCGATCGAATGTAAAGTCTAACGCGGGTGGGATTTCAATATTCCCCAATACCTTTGTTGATCTTCCCAATTGAATGTGAAGTTGCAACAACATTTGATTGGGAATGGGAACCCTCTGCGCTGCAACGCTGGGGCAAAGCCCAGGCGTTGCGCGTATGTATATATATATATTTTTTTTAAATTATATATATATATATATATTTATTTATTTAATATATTGATCTTGCTTTTTTTCAGCTGTTTTTCTGTAGGTCCTCCTGGTGTGGGGCCGGAGCACCCCATTGCTACCTTCCAGAGGTACAAGACAAGCTTAGAATTGGCCCAGGCACAAGTGGACTTAAGGGATTTGCAAATCCCTGGCTTAACGGCGAAGCCATTGCGCACATCTTTGGCGCCATTCAAACAACCTGCAGCTGCAAAGGGAGCTCCAGAAGTGATTCGTACACCCAAAGGGGCGCGTGGTTCTGTGCAGGAGGTTCTGTTCGTGCACCAATTGTGGCGCGTGGCTCTGTTGCAGGAGGTTACGTTCGTGCACCATTATTGATTTTTTCTATCAACTAAAGAGTTTTCATTTTATATTCAAGTCAAATATTTTTTATCATTTCTTTTAGATACACATATATGTATGTGTTTCAAGACATATATTTTAAATACACATATATGTATGTGTTTCAAGAAATGCAAAGCCTGCGATACGTTCAGAGTAGATAAATGTGTTTTTGTTGTGTAGCCCATTACCATCGTAAATATATATATATGGTGTGTGTATATATATATATATTCAAAACCATGATCAATTCATGCATTATATATAGAGGATATTCCATTAACATTTACTTGCAGATTATGGGATATGATGGGCAATGGGCAAGAGCTATGTGTTTCATGGCTTCATCGAACATTTGTCACTGTTTTCAGCCGTGGAGGTCTCCCAGCGTCCAGTGTTGTTTTATTTTGTGAGGGTCGGGTTGTTTTTGTGTCGCCTGCAATAGAAAATAACCATATGTGGGGAGGCCGTAAGGGCGAGGGCCAGGACTGAAATGCGAAGTCTAGTATATGCATGTATATATATATATATATTCATATGCACATTGTTTAAAATTTACTGTTTAATATGTGCAAGGAAAAGATCGAGATGAATGATACAATAAGGTGAATGGACTTTAACCGGTTGACTAACACAATCTTAGAGTATGTTCCAGCACACAAAAGTTCGCATCCTTTCCATTCCTTGATTGGCAAATCCATTTCTTTTAAGATATCCTCAACGTACCATGCTCGAACCTCCATTTTGTTGCTTTCAGTCCCATTAATCCTTTCCCCCGATCATATTAAATACCCCCGTGAAGCGGTTCCTAGGGTGAATAGAACCAATACAAATACAAACCAGAAGTGTCTGGGGGACGGAAATGAAGGGAAGGCAGGTTTTTGAAAACCCAATGTTCGGACCGCGTCGAGTTGCTTAGCAAGCATTCGTCCCGCCAGAAAGCGTTTTCAAATTAGGCACCCTCCAGTAAAGAGACAAAAGGATAGGGAAAACCAACCTTTTGCAGATAATTTCCAAAAAGGAAAACCGTGAATTCCCGTAGCTGTGTGTTACTAATTAGCTGGTAACGTCCCCACTGAAGGTCAGGAGGCGGGAAACCATTGGTGGCTGGCGTCCGGGGCCTAACCGATGACAAGGCCCAAAATCCAGGTCTTTCTGCAGAACTTGAAAGCTTTTGAAACATGGTTTTGGAATGTAGAACACAATCAATGTGTTTGGAACTGAGTTTCAAATCATTTGTTTGCATATGTACTGTATGTTATATATATACCCGTCATCTATCTATCTATCTATCTATCTATGTATCTATCTATCTATCTATCTATTTATCTATCTATCTATATATCTATCTATCTATCTATCTATCTATCTATCTATCTATCTATCTATCTATATATATATCACAACATGCATACATACCTGCCTACCTGCATGCACACAGCGGGTTGATATTCCTTTTTAATATACATAAGTCTTGGCAATGGGATGATCGCTGAGTAACGGGCCTGTACGGCCCAATTTGGGTGTGTGAAAGCGGCGTATATCCTTGAATTTACAATTTTTGGCAGGGAGAGTGCAGGTGAAGCAGTGGATTTTGGTGCATTCCATTTTGAGACAAACCCATTTACAATCTATCTACCTTCGTACTTTGAGTGCGATGGCTCATGCGAGAAGTCGTGTACCCAAATGAGGGATTAAATAATTACACAAAACCCGGAAATTCACGACCTTTATAAGGGTACAGGTAGGATCCCATGATCTACCAAGGATACACCGTGCACACCTTGCACACCCTACACACCCACAAACCCACAAGCCCAGACAAACCCGGACACACGCCAGCTTCTTCGCCATATTCGAAGGCCGGAAGAATGTCGGATAGAATTCCAGACTTTACTTCAGATAGAATGTCAGATAAAGCCAGGCAGAACGCCAGATAGCCTGCAACATAGACTGTCAAAAAAAATGCCAGATCGAGCGCCAAATAAATGCCAGATCACATATCAGATAATTAGAATGCCCGAGAATATGCAGGTGCCACCTTATATGCCAGATAAAGTGTCAAAATAGACGTTGAAAGAATATATCTATCAGATAAAATATCAGAAAAATTGTCCGATAGATTGCCAGATAGAATGTCAGGTAGGCTGTCAGGTAGAATCCCAGAAAGGATAGCAGATAAATGCAGATAAGATGTGAGAATATATGTCAGATAGAATGTCAAGTAAAATGCAAGATAGAATCTTATAGTGCCAAAATATATACCAGATAGAATGTCAGAATTTATGTCAGATCAAACATCAGAATCAATGACAGGTAGGATGCCAAATAGGGCATGTCAGAGCGTATGTCATAGAATGTCAGAGTATATATATATATATCAGATAAGATGCCAGGTGGAATGTTAGAATATATGCCAGATGGTTTGTCATATGTCAGATGCCAGATGCCAGGAGATTTGCCGTGTGAAACGCTCGAAACAGTTACCTGGGACGATGATCCCCGTTGATGAACATATCTTTTCAGATGCGTGGCTCAACCAACACAGCATTGAACGATTATCCCCAAAAAACATATTGATTGCTCAAGGGTTGTCCAATTTCATGATGGTTAAATAGTTGAATCATGTGGAATCCCATTTTTAAATGTAATTTTCATACCCATTGGATCTCCGGAAAATTTCGGACCAAGAAACAATTTGAAAAAAACATGTGGATCTCCTTGTCCAACGAGGCTGGTGCTCAACCCCCAAGGGGGAGCCCGCGGCGAACCCACTGCGGTGCCTTGGCCATTCAACGACCTTGCTTGAGCTGATGGGATTTTCTGAAGTCATCGGATTTGATTGGGGTTTCAATAGTATGGGATTTTACCATGGGTTTTACTAGTGGAAAATCACAAGTCCCAAGTCTGTAAATTACTACGGGATGAAAATTGGATTTTTAAGCGGAGATAGAATGGGAGTTCCACAATGTTGTAGGTATCAAAGATGATACACCCTCTGGTACTTCAACATGGCTGGCTGGCAAATCCCCATTTTTTTACTGAGAAAATATATTGGAAAGTATGGGAAAGAGATTTCATCGACATAAATGGATCGGAATCAGATGGATGATTTGCGGGCAAATTGTGACACAGGAGAATAGGATAGTATTTCATGGTGTCAGATTTCAATTTTCCCAGATTCTGAAGATTTCGGAAACATACGTTCATTTTGGAAATATACTGATTTGCCCAGATGGTTTGTTTCAGATTTAGGCATTTTAACCAATTTGCCCAGATGTAATGTGTGATCTACGGTGGGGTTCTGAAATGCAAGGCGATGCGTTATTATTGCCATTCCCCACATTATAGTTTCAATAGTTTATTTGTGGGATGCTTTAAATTGATATGATTTCACTGGTTTATGTTTTTTTCCAAATATGTGTATATACTGCAAACCAACTACTTATAACTTATACCTAGCTGTTAGCCACGCCCCCCCATGTTCTCTGGTCAAGTCTGGTTTATGGTTGGCAATGTTCTCCGTGAATGGTGCGGTCAACTGCACTTGGATATGGGCAAGGGTCACCAAGTTGGCGTACCAACGGGCCCACCAGATTGATTGTTTTCAGTCTTAAACAATCCGGTTTGTCATTTTGTCATTCTGCGCCGCTTTTTCGGGTTGTTTTCCATGTTTGATATATAATGTCAAATTGCGATTAATAACTAATAACCCGCCCCCGGAAGGTAGGTACCTAGGGAGAAGGTTCTGCCACAGGAAACACTTTCGGGTTTTTTCTAAGATGGGTTGGTCCCCCTTGATTAACCAACGGGGGGAGGAAACACCCGATTTTTCTCAACCCCCATAGGGAAATTCCATGTTTTTGTCCTAGGTTTTCTTCTAGTTTCAAAAGGAAAATCAATTGAACGTAGGTTGATATCAATTGAAATCCTTACTAACCTTTAGATTTCATTTTGGTTTAAAAGGAAAATCAACTGAAAGTAGATAGGTATCATTTGAAATCCTGACTAATCTTGAGACTTCGTTTTGTTTCAAAAAGAAAATCAATTGAAAGTAGGTTGGTATGGATTCAAAGTTGATCTCCTAGGACTTGAACTTGGGAGGGCGTTTATTGGGAGGGAGAACCGTCGATCAATCCCTAGGGCCTATAGGGATTATATTGATCACAACTATACATTATTTTAAATACATATAACATATATATATATATACACATATCCTCCTGATTTCAAAGGGAGAAAAACCCTCAGGGGCACAGGGTCACTCGGCGACTGGGGATGAACAGCAGGGACTAAGCTGAGATCATTCGCCCAGGGTATATTCTCCGTTGGTGAATACCCTATGCAATAATGATCAATGAATTTCGATGAATCTCCATGCTATCATCTATAGTCTATTCTATGGATAGAGTAGCTGGGATATACATATTGGTGAACATAATGCTACTCTAACGGTTTTAACGTTACTCTAACGGTACAATTCTATCAATGGCATCAGCGAAGGATGGGATGTCTATTCGAGCCAGGTCATGTGCCTCGATTCTATGCAGCGGTTTCTTGGCGAAACATGTCATATCGAAAATGTGGCAGCAGATCATGTGGAACATGGGGCAAGTCGCTACAATAAAGTTCTAGTTGGGATTAAGGAAACATATATGTATGCATATATAATACAATTAATACATATATATATATACGGTATATTATATGTCAATATATAGATCTATAGATATATGATATATTATCATGATATTATATGGTTAATTTTTAGAAATTCATAGAACGAATATAATATATATCAATGAAATATATCAAAATTAACCATATTTTAATATATATATATATCAAATTCGTTGAAGGAGTTATCCTCACACAAAATCTCGAGGCGCGAGAAGGTGCTGGATCCGCCGTTGACTGGAAGTGCCTTGGACCGTTCAAAGTGGCTGCAGCCAAGGGGTTTCCATAAATGGGGGTACCCCAAAATAGATGGTCAGATGGTTTTTAAAGGAAAATCCCATGAAAATGAACGATTTAGGGGTATCTCTATTTTAGGAAACCTCCAAATAACCAGAAGAGAACAAATTATGTGATTTAAACAGCACGTATATGTTTTTTGAGTAGTAATGATTATACTTTGCGAGGCAAACATGTGCAGCTGAGTAGCGGCAGTGAGGATTAGCTAATTGTTGTTAATGTTCAATTTCTTGCATTGTGAGGAAACATGTGCCGTTTTCATAAGACCTTATAGTGTTTTTCTCCCACAAAAAGTAGAATAAGTAGAGCAACAAACCATGGAGTTTTCTCAGATGAAGCTGTTATGGATGACGCAGCCGAGGCTTAAAAGGCAGTGTGAATAGATACACCTTGGAAGTGCGGAAGTTCGGGTGCCTAGATGATGCGATCTGACATGATGGTATTCTGGCTGCTGCCCCAGGGAGCTAAATCGCCCAGTTGGCTTGAAATTAATCCAACTAGAGATTACCAGGGTTCCAACGCAATTCTATGTATATAATGTAGTTTGTAGGGTTCATCAACCAACTTCTAGCCAGGGGGCACCACCTTGCATGGATCAAAAAATCGATCATGTTCCATGATTCCATAATGTTCCCGACATTAACATCCATATCTAACAGCTAGTTTGGTGCGAACTGAAGGGTACCATGGTTTTGACCCATACTCATATTCTGATGACAAGTGGGCTGACGAAGGTCTGCGGTTGTGGCTTGAGGACTTCGAAGGTAGAGAAATATCATGAGTTCCCTCGTATTTTCAGCATTTAAAAGCCATTACCAGTTACCAGTCACCAGGTTCCTCTTTTTCCCAGATGATGGTGTGTCGGAGGCTGTAGGACTCTGTACGACTATAAAGAATACAACTGAAAATTATGGAATGGCCTTAGACTCATAGGCTTCCATGAACATTCCGTCTTGCAACAGCTAGTTTGTCAGTTGATTTTAATGATTTTGCATGGACTTGTGGCCCCTTGTGGCCCCAGGGTGGAACAAGCCGGCTATTTGGCCCAGCGCTCAGTGCCACCAATGACTCAGTAATGTGGCTATAAAAATGTCATGTTTACCACCCATGACTGGGAATGGTACAAACACCAACTTTAAAAATTGTGATGACTGGGAGATGGTTTATTGCTGCTTTACCCACATTATATTGATTCAACATATATATATATGGTTTGAAAGCCATGAACTACACCGACATTATCCGACACATCACCATTGCTCCTGCCACTTGCATCATCTCAGCCGCCCAGCGAAGACAAGGTCATTGTTAGCTTCAAAGCTAAAGGCGATGGCAGTTTTGAGCTCAGGACGCCAGGAGAAAACAAGTTGAGAATGGCTGCAGGTCGTTGAAACTCTCCTTGAAACAACCGAAACATCAAACAACTGGAAAGCTGATTTGAGCAAACAAACGGTCAGGGTAATCCACCCTTTGGGCATTTTGTTGGTCACTTGAATTATTTGAACAACATGTTCCAAGTTCTTCACAGGCTCTTTGTCTCTTGTTGTGGGATTCCCGGTCGATAGCATGAATTCACAACAAGCCTTTCCAAAAATTGCACATTGAGTGGTGGCCAATGTATCCGGGGTTGATGAAGGGATGGTCTACACCCAAATCAGATAGCTTTCCTTGGTTGAACATGTGCGCTCTCGGGAAAAACATCACGTTGTCATCACGTTGGGTATAAAATGAGACAATTCTATGGAGTGGATCCTCTTTCCAAGTGGATATACTTGGGTTTTGCTTAATGCATTCAGTTTGAACCTGACAGATCATGGGTGTGACAAGTTGCACTTGAAAGCCAACCCTTCTCGAAAACTGATATCAATTTATACGCTAAATGGGGACTCATTGTATATCTAGGTCATTTGGTTACCCAGAGAAAAGGTAGAACAGTTGAAATCCCACTAACAGGTTTTTTTCTTTAAATAGATTTAAATGGTGGTAATTGGTGGTACATTGCTTTTCTACCTTTTCTTCTGGGTCACTAGATGTTGAGTAGCATTTCTTGGGGCCGAGGTATGGGGCCTTTGCCCAAACCGGGCGCGCTGGGGGCACCCAGGACCCGAAAATCAAGATTCCAACTTCTCATCGGTTTCTGTTGGCTCGCAAGTTGTAAGTATATTTAATTTATATCTATTTATATGTGTATATATATATATTTATATGTATTTATGTGTGTTTATAAGTACAAGAACCTCTTGGAATCTCTTGGATGAGTTGTAGACAGTATGCATCTACAGTTGAATGCATTTATACATCAACTTATCACAGAACTGCAACGTGTTGGGTGGCGACTTGTTGGAATCAGCACAGCTGTCAGTGTCGACAATTATGGGCTGATCGATGTTGATCGTGCTTGTTTGATTTCTATTGTGGTTGATTCTATTCACAAAAGCTGAACTTATTGCCAATGTGCTGTATCATTGTAAGTATGTAATGTAACGTAACGCAAATTAGTGCAATGTGTTGTAAAGTGCGCAATGTAATGTAATGTTATGTCATGTTATGTCAATGTAATGTTATGTCATGTCAATGTAATGTTATGTCAATGTAATGTCATGTCAATGTAGTGTCACGTCAAATCAACGGAATGTAGTGTAATTTGATGCATGTAGGCAATATGAATATATGTTGTGTATACAGTATATATATATGAGTATTGTATCACATTTTCAGTATGATAGTATGCATATAACAAATAATGTAAAATACTATATATTTATATATTTATACATGCACATATATTTGCACTGTACAGCAATATGAACTTCAAATACATAATCATATCTATCTTCATGTGTCCTTGCGAGTTGCTGAAGGTCACTGGCCTTCCAATTTGGAGGTACCCGAAACGGTGACTCAGTCACAGACTCCAAACAGGATAAACTGAAAATCCAGTCCATGTGCAACCTAAGTTTGTCCAACATCAGCGAGTGTTAGTAAGATTTAAAAAGGATAATATGGGACATATGATAAACCAAGGGATTTTGGAGTACCCGACTTTCAAACAAACCCATCCTAAAGCATCCTTTCCCCGCTGCAGCGTTTACCAAAGGTCCAAACTCGTCGCCGATGGAGTAGAGTGTAAAAACCCAGAGATTGGCCCGGGCACGCAGCCGGCGACGGATTTGTGGTCCTAGACAACCTGAACGACCAAGAAGTAGCATCGAAGTTTACCCGCCACAAATCCAAATTATACCAGAAACAGGTGGGAAGATATATGACTAAACATGAGTCGCTACAGTGGTTTGAACCTATGTTTAACGTGCCATTCCTTGGATTATCTCAACTGACCTCTCCAAAGGAAGAGAGGAAAAGGAGGAGACCCTCGGGTAATCAAACATGGCTGGGCTGCGAAGTCCATTTGCGGCACGGCATTGGTCAAAGTTTTCACGACCTCCGAACTATGATGAGCATATCTGGTGCTCAGGGGCCCATGGGTTGACAAAAACGTGACCCGTATCACTTCAAGCTCCAAGCGCTGGCAAGGGCAAAGAAAAAACAGCTACTTTAAAAACGTGTCCATGTGTTTTTTCCGGTTGAAATAATATTTGTTTATCTACATGTGTGGGTTTGTCTGCAAATTACTTGTGTACCCCATCGTACCCCCAATTCCAATGGATTATCCTCATTTTCCCTCTGAAAATGGCCGCATAGCATGGTTTTTTGCCCATTTTCGGAGAAATCCCATGTGTTTCGATTAACAAGAACAACCCCAGTTGAAACGCCCGCCCGAAGGGTGTTTTCTTCGCGAGGTTTGAGGATCAACATGGGTGGCGATGATGATGTGGTTGGGATCCCTAGGCGAAATATGTTTGGATTCGAAATTTCCCAGATAGACAACCTCCTGGGGGTTTCTATGGGGGATTCTATGCTGAAATTTCTATGGGGGATTCTATGTTATTCTATGTTATTCTATGTTGATAGTCAGTTTTTTTCTACTGGATCAGTTTTAGTAACTTACGTAACACGATTTGAATTCTATCCAAGACGTCACAGCAAGGTCACCGTCAATGACTAGATTGGGAATCAGTAATCATTATGTTCAGATATTTTCAACGTATGACTAAGTGAAAGTGGTTTATTTCCTTATAGTGTTAAACCGACGGGAACATCCACTTACAGCAAAATGATCATTAAAACGTATAATATGTAATGAACCATAGTAATGTGGTCAGTCTCTGACCGACAGTTGCAAACAAGAGCACTACTGACACGTTTGATGCAGAACTGAGTCAGACTTGCACTTGATTACCACCTCCCAAATTTCACTTGGCCGGAACATGTTGAAACCATGTGTGTAGGATGGTCGATTGGTAGGCTGATTCGACATTGATGTTGTTTCTTTCTTAAGGTCGAAATGGAACAAGTGGAAAGTGCATGAAAAATGAAAATACCCACAATGAAGAAGACACATGAGGTTGAAGTCACTTGAAGTCCTTTGAAGCAGATGTATATCAACACCTAGTGAAGTCCAAGTTTCACGGTTTCCACCTGATGTTTGGAGTTTGATGTGTCGCAATCCTGCTTTGGTTTTTGAACGGAGCTTTGGGTATCAAAAAGTCCAAAAAGAGAGGAGGTAATATCTATGGAGCTACGACCTTCCAAACCATATATAGGATATATGACTCTAGTAGATAAACCAAAGGTATATATATATAGGATAGATTAGGATAGTAGATTTGTGATCTTAATCTATTTCCAATTGTTAAAACATGACCTCAACCAATTATAACAACAATGTTCAAATTTCGGGTAGCGTGCAGTGTTTGTCCCTAAGATCACCTGGACCAAACCTTTCTGGATGTTTGGTCTGTCGGCGGCAAACTCGTGTTTAAAAAGGACTTGCTCGCCATTTGGATGGGTATCTTTATTGACCGGTGCGCGATTTCCACGTGCGAGTTCCATGACCATTGTGCAGTTGGTATGTTGTATTTTCTTTATCACTGCTTGCTTGTTTCCTGAGCTTATACAAGTTTCTAGCAACTAAGGACTAAGGTCTGCCCCCAACATTGAATCTGATTTGTTTGATTATTATTGTGAAAGATTTTGAAAAGTGGATATTTCTAACCATAAAGCGGTAGTTTATTTCTAACCATGGCTAGGTCTACTATGAACTGCTTGTAGCTCACCAGCGTGCTGGAGCATTTGAGAAGGACATGACATGTAATCAGTTGGTTTGCCGCATTGCGTCGCCAAGGAAAGTGAGCCCTTTTTTTCTGGAGTGAAAATGACATGCATCGTGGAAGTGGTATGTGACCGACCAATGATTCGGGCTACTGAACTGAATTGAACTATACAGCTGACAATGTTGACACTACTCCCCGAAATCTTTGTAACAGTAGAACCTTTGCCCACAAATAGGTCTCTTTGAGCGCTTAATTCGTGACAGGTACTGTAGACATGGGATCCTGGTTAGTCCCCATTTCCCTGGAGTTCTCCCAGATTATGTACAATACGATATGTACAATTCTATAATTGCATTCCTAAAGAAATGTCCATGTGTATTGATCACTTGCCAGATTCAGAATGTGTCAACATCCCAGTACTGGTTCAAAGATGTTCACATCCCCAAACATGAACATTTTTTCTTTACTGGGACGTTTTTTTTTTTTTGTAACTTAATTTGTTGGATTGATTCACTGTTAGTAAAACAACACCAAAGTTACTAAACATCTAAACCATCCCAATTCTACCAGTTTTATGGCTGGTATAAACGATTAGTTCATATGGCGAACTCCCAGTTTTGGTGGTTTTCAGGCTGGTGAGTACGAGGGGACCTTGAGCTTTGCGTTGGATGGCAGGCCGCTGGAGCATGCTGGAGCTTCGTTTGGTTCCATAGCTTCCATGGTGTGTAATGGTTTGTACCTAGATCCTGCTACCCTCTGGTGAATCGCCATTTTCAACGGGTCAACCAACCATAAATGGTCATTTTTCGCTATGTTAGTTTACCGGAGGGTAGTACATGGATATTTCATGGATATTTCATGTGAATCGAAGATTTGGTTCTTAATTTAAAAACCAAAAAAACTGTCACTCCTCATGTGCATGAATAACGCCACCTTTTCTCTTGGTGGGCGACATTTTATAATATTTATACAGATCTTCTATTCGGTGAACCTCCTTTGTTCAAGTCCAAAGTTTACTGCAACTATTAATGTTAAACATTGTTAAACTAATCAACCATTATAAAATTATAAACATTCCGTATTTTGTTCGATGATTTTCTTAGCTATAAAGCTCCATTTGGTTTGGAGATTTCCCATTGACTTCCCACCTGTTTCTGCAGGGTTCGGTCCTCTACCTTCGTATTACACTACGGAGAGGCTCGCTGGAAACACTTGGGTCCGAGGGGCGGGCAGTGACCAGTTTAGGGGGATTGGGGCGGTGAAAATAAGTGTATATATTTGTAGATTTTGTTCGATGGTGGGAAATTGTTCATTTGATTTTTATGGGATGTTTAACGAAAATCAATTGGATTCTATGTGAAATTGTGTGATTTATATAACAAGAATGTACAGAGATTGGGATTTAGAGATCAAGTGGGATATTGTGCAACGTGGTTGATGTGAATAGAACTGAGAACGCTTCGAATTGGTTGGTTGCTTTTGGGAGTTCAACAGCAAGACACGAAGGAGTAATGATAGGACCAACGCAGAGCCAAGGCTCTGCAAGGCTCTGCATGTTCGTTCCATCCTCTCCGTTTTCCGTGCAAGCAGATGAAGTTTCAGGCGTTGCAAAACGAACTTTGGAAAGCATGTAAGATGTTCATGTCTGGTCAAAATGAATGTATGTCAGAGTTCCGAAGAACACTGAATGTCGCTGGTGCGTGTTAAAAATCATTGCTACACCCATGATTATATAGGATGCGGCAACATAACATCCGTAGCCTGTACAGGTCAACCTATTAGCACGCAACCCCACCTTTCCATACCAATCTTCAACGAGCTTCAAACCATTCCAATCACATCCAGTAGCCATGTGGAATCCTTGTTATCCTAGGGGTGTGCCCAATATGTAATAGACCCCCATTCGGGGAGGTTTTGCATTATCATGTGTCGAGATCAATGTGTTAACTTTTTTTGTTTGATCTTATTTGGGTATATGATAGTATATGCTTGCTCAGTTGTTAACCATATCACAAGCACAGGTGCTGAATCTTGTCCAAGACATGAGAAATCGTGCAAGCTGCTTGAACATAATACAAGCACATGTTTCACGTGTATACAATTATGTATCTAGTATTATATATATATATTAATAATATATATATATATACGGCTGCGAGTCAAAATGTAAAGCCCTGATCCATACCCTGAACCCACAGGCCGATCCATACCCCCGATCCATACCGAAACGCCGGTGATCCAGACCGATCCATACGTCTGGATCACCGCGGCCGATCCATACCCGAATTTTGACGCAACCCCATATATATATACATACATACATACACACACACACACATATGATGTCCATGCAATTCAAAGCGTATTTACATATTTCAGGCCAATGTTTGCACCCTTTCTTTCTGTGGCTCTCCATGGTACACCCAGGGTGGCTACACGCCCATCACCTTGCAGTTTGACCCTTTCGCACTGACCAAGCTGCAGAAGGACTCCGTGAAGGGCTGCTTGAACTGGGATTTGCAGCCGGGAAAGAACAGATTTCATGGGAATATCATGGGAATAGATTGGCAATTGCGTTTCGACGTTTCGAAGCCTGACGTGGAGCTTTTTGCCCGAGGCACCTCCAGCGATTGAAACTGCCTGCTTTTTGTCCCAGAATTGGATGGAAACATGTGCATTCTTTCTCGATAGTTCATTGAAAGAACAATGGTTTCAACTTTCAACTTTACCTGGTTGGTGGTTTCAAACCTGTTTTATTTTCCATAATATATGGGATAATCCTTCCCATTGACTAATATATGTTTCAAGATGGTTAAAACCAGTTACATCGAAACCAACCCACTCAAGATGGGACGCTGATCTGATAAGATTCGGCTGCAGGATGTCTCTCGCTATGTGGGCGGCTATCTTGCCAAGGAGTGGGAGGCGAAATTCAGGGAGTGAAGTGACCAGAGGACAGAAGAATGAATGGTGGTACAGTATATTATGGGTACGGTATATGAGCTATGGTCAATACTCATGGTTAATAACCATAAATAGGGGCTAGTCATCCAATGGTTCATAGGGATTTATAATAACCATTATAAGGATCCTTATTATGGATGGGATGACCATCAACCATATAGTGAGTATTGACCATGGCTCATATGGGCTTGTCTGGAAATTTAGAGGAATCCACTATATCCACTGGCTCATGATCTTTTGCCCAATGTCAATTTCGGGTACCCCAGGTTCACACACTTGCTCAGATATTGGCACCGCAAGAATGAGGTTTTAAATGGGGTTAGTTTGCAAACCACGTGCCACACAACAAGTCAAAGAGGACTGGGAGCCGGTCGATAATGAACTGGTTCTGAACCGGGGTGAACCACTTCTTCACTGGAATGCTAATTGGAAATGCAATGGATACACTAGTCTCCTCAAATTGTCTTACGATAAATGGCACCAAATATCACCAAATGATAATTGGAAGGGCTGAGACTTAGACCAAGAATTTCAACATGGCTTATCCCCCAATCTATTGACATCTAGTATATAACGTTTAGCTGTTCTCAACTGAAGATGATGCCAACCGCTGGGGATGGATGGCGACATCGAGGGGAGCAGCCATTTCTTAATGTACATTCATTCGCTATATATCCAAGTATCTTTTGAGGGAGTGTTTGGGGTGAGGTTAAGTACCTTCTCAAGAAGTATTTGGAATTTGGATCCATACTATACGGCTTGTCACCCAAGCAACAAAGAAACAAAAGTGATGTTGCTTGGAGATTCTGAGCGTACAGGGCTGTTTCAGCTGCTACATGCATTTGAATGAACTGCTCGCAAATGGTGTTTACATGTCTTCAGTGATAGCTTAGTACATTTTGCCCACAGAGGGACAATTCATTGAATCTCTAACTGATTGGTGGTTTGGAACATGAATTTTATGTTTCCATATATTGAGAATTTCATCATCCCAACTGACTAATATTGGTGGTTTCAAACATTCTTTATTTTCCATCATATATGGGGTAATCCTTCCCATTGACTAATTTTTTTCAGAGGGGTAGGTCAACCACCAACCAGCTAATGAGTTCCTCTATCCTACTCCGGAACTTCCAGGTGAACGGTCCTGATCGAAAGAAGCGCTATGAGAAAACTTCGGCCCCGGGAGGGATGGGAAGCGGGGCCGGCCATAGAGGGTACCTTTTTTTGGATTCAAAAGTGGAATATCACTATGAAACGTGGGGATGTAATCGATGTAATCACGAAGAATCGGAATAGATGTTGGCTTTGATTACTAATAAGTTTCTGTTGGTTTACAACTACAATAGGATAGATGGGACACATCTACTTTTAAATGGGGCGCTAAAATCATCTTATGATCTTGGACTACTTCAGGATCTTGAAGGTCTCCTGTGACTTCGTTCAGTCTTGGGATCCCAAAAAATGTACCCTCTAATAAACTAACATGTTCCTATGGAAAATCACTATCTTAATAGGTGAATCAACAACATAATGGGTATAAATGGGCCATATGCCATAGCTATGTTGGTTTACCAGAGGGTATCTTCAACAAAGAGGACTGAGGCCGTGTCAATGGACGGGTATTGGCCGCTTATTGGCCAGCATTGAAAAACTCGAACCAAAATAGCAGGTTTTGGTGATGTCACTTTGGTGAGGGAACTATGGAGCAAGTAGTGAAACAATCTCATTTGTCTATTTAATGGAAGTACGCGATGCCGAGCGTGAATTTTATATATATACACTAGTATATATATATATGTTTTAAATACGATACTCTATGCTAGAAGCGAAAGGTGAGATGGCTGTCCTTTTGCCTTAATCTTGAAAGGCATTGATAGGGAGGTTATTGCTCCAGCAGCCGTGTCACCCTAAATGAAAATGTCTTTCAGGCCCTTTGTCGCTCAATAACAGACAAAACATGTTGTTCTTGCGTGTAATTTTACGGTGAATTCTCATTTCTGCAGGAAATAGATTAATGTGGAATATATTATATTGTGAACACACATATGATGGCCCACAATGCAAAACAAGATCAAGATAATGGAGCTTATCCAGCTTATCACAAAATATTAGTGCATAAGTTTCCCTACCACGCTTCACGATTCCAAGGAGGCGGGGAGCTTGGACCAAACAGCGGCGATTGTTGACTTTCCTCGTGGTTTGGATCAGCAACCGTGCTGGGCTTCGCATATTGCGCCTATAAGCGTTTTTTCCGAAAGCTTTCATTTTCAAAGAAACGCATTTCAACAAGCATGGATCAAGAGGCCCTTTTCAACTTCACCGGATCCAAATGCCCTTTTTCGGCTAGTTTGAATGAATCAACTGCGGCTCCGGGCCTTCGTGGATGAAGAAGGGTCCGGCGACTCCCCTTCACGCACCAAAGCGCCGCGCCTCGCCTCGGTGCTCATTTTTGTGCGCAGCTGCGGCACCTGCGTAGGCGTTCAAACCATACCCAAACATTTCGCTATAGCGCAGCGCCGGATTGAATGGGGTTGTCTGTCTTCAAGTCCAGAAGGGCAGTGCTTATTCTTTTTGTTTTACCGTCAACATAAACATGATGCTCAAATTCTAGTTAGATTGCACCGAGCTGCCCCCCAATCCGTTGTTCGGTTGAGTTTTCAGGATTTTTTGCTTGTGCATGGTTGGGCCACCTTTTTTCAAAAGCATTTGGCTTTAGCTTTTGACAGCGTGGCCGGCTTCCTTTGGTTGATGGGCTCCTGAAAACATGCTAGAATTGATTGGGTTTGATTCGCCAGTTCTTAGCTTTGTATTTCTCGTTCGGCTTGCGAAATCCCATCACTGCATGTCTATTCCTTTCCTGGTTGACGCAACCTGCAGAAAACATAGTTGAACATTGTAGCAAAAGATGGTATGGGTCAAACCCCAGGTACTGTGGCGATCAGAAGTTGATTGGGGAACGATCTGGATAATATATCGACATATACTGATTATAAATGATTACACTCTATCCCTCTTGGTGTCATTACAATAATTATCCGTATATCCCCATGAATACCAGTGTATCCCCATTGTTTTCAGTACCAATATACCTGTTATAAATAATTATCTTCAATCTTCATTGATGTAATTTGTCCCCATGAGTATATAAACCCTACTAATATATCAAATGGTAACAAATATTCTATTCGCCACATGCAGGTGAGGGTCTCTAGATTGTAACAAAGGTACGACTCCTCTTCTTCCTATCCTCGTTCTCCTTCTTCGTCCTCGTCCTCCTTCTCCGCCGAGCCATGTGCCGATCTCGTGATGCAGTGGGCCGGCCACGCCTGGACCTGAACTCCACATCGCCAGCTCCGGATGCTGTGGGCCAGCCACGCCTGGACCCGAACACATGCCAAAGAGACTGCCAGACACAATGCCAGAAAGAATGTCAAAGAATGCTAGATAGAATGTTGAAATAATATGTCAGGGTGCTGGGGATCACTCTAAGCAAAGTATTTTTTTCATCCATACCAATATCAATATACCAATTCAATATCCCATTTGCTGGTGACAACTCAGAATATCAATAAACCCCAAAAAAAACATAAATTATCCGGTAACCATGCAACATTCCTTTAACGGTTATCAGTAGCAATATACCTATACCTATAGGTACTTAAATGGGCCTTAGGGTTAGTTAACTGGTTAGTAAGTGGCTTGTAGCTAACTAAATAATGGAATGCAAACCAGTTTCTCACTACTGAACTAATCCCAGGGACCATCTGAGTATTGACCCATCTTTAAATCACCCTTTGACTGGGCTTAACTCGCCCGTCCCAAATGCAAGGCTCGCGCCTTGGTTGCGGATGTGCATCAGCAGGTTCGGTCTTGTGGGGGATTGGATTTCCACCCAAAACCAGGTGTTTCATTGTTTAAAACTGGGTCAAGGGGTAAACAAAAGCAACACATCCGCATTTTATTTCGACAAAAAATGAACTCACGCTGGTTGTGTACGAAATAGGGATTGAATCCCAGACGTTTTTCTGCAATGCGTTGTTTGTTTCATTTTGAAAACATGTGGTAAGGTGCATTCCTGCCTGTCTATACTGTAGCAACTGCCAGTTAAACAGTGAGACCCCAAACCCAGGTTGTTCAAATTCACATTTAAAAGGGGCAAATTGGGTCGAGACACGCGTTGAAGAGGCAAATTGAAAAGAATGACGGGGTGACGAGTCCACTTGATACAGTAAATTTTGACAAGACACAATTTGATGAAGAGTTAGACGAACAAAACTATATAACTTAGTACAATATACAACACTGTTTTACACCAAAGATGATCAAAACGCGTTTGACGGAGATTTGTCAACACAAAAATGTGAAATTCAACATAACAAAAACGGATGAAACTGACACACATGAAATCCAGTGAATTCAAAAGATCAAATGCAGGGATAGATGCAACTGTTTAACAAACTCCATCAGTTCAATAATGTGTTTCAGTGAGCCGTCTCTATCAACGTTTTTTTCCAAATCTGGTTCGTACTTCTTTCGACAACCCTTCTATATTAACCTCTACTTGAATTTTGTTCAACAGTTTTTGTCCTTATCTTAGCTGGACTCTCCTAATTCATGTTGTCCATTTCTTATCGCCTTTCTGTCTGTCGCTCTCTTTTTTTCCCGAATGCGTAGCGAAGGGTTCTCGTTTTACTTTGCGGATCTGGGGGTGGAGACGTGTTCGCTCGACGCCGCTTCTGGGACCGCCGGCAGCCGTCGGCAACCGTCCGCAACCGTCGGCAACCGTTCGCGATGATGAGGTCGCTGTGGCCGTGCCTATGGCGAGTTCTGCAAAAATGTTCACTTTTGGAAATTTCAATCGTCGCGTAGCCTCGTTTCAAGTGGTAGGCGTGGCACTTTGTGGCATTCCAACATGTTTCATAACGTGTCGAAAATCGTTTTGCGTGGCATGGCGCAATACTTTCGCGTCGTTTTCAGAAGGTGAGGTGCATTTTTCGGGGCAGGCACGGCACTTTGGAGAACTCCATTGTCATTTTGCGTGGCAGGTGTGGCAGTTCAGACGTGTTGTGTTGCCTGTTTTTTTTGCGAATCGCAGTGTCAGGGCTGCGCGAAGTGGTGACAACGTGCAAATTCCGTGGCAGGAGTGGCATTTTGTGACATGTGATGAAAATTGCCGTTAAACCTCTCACGAAACATCGATTTTGAGGTAGCAAATTTTGAGGTTCATGACAAAACTCGTGGGAACATGTCGATTTTGAAGCTACGAAGTGTGAAAATTTGAGGCAGTCTCGCAGGAAATGCTCGTTTTGAAGCTCCAACATGTCTCGTCTCGATTCTCTGGTTTTCTTCTGCCGTCGCCGTGTCTATGAGAGAAGCTGCAAGACCTGTCATTTTCGAAGGTTTCAAAACAAGTTGTCATGCCGTTTTGCGTGGCAGGCGTGGCACTTGCTGACATTCTCACGTGTCTGCAAAAGCGTCCAAGATCGTTTTGTGTGACAAGCGCGATACTTTTGCAAGGTTTTCCGAAGATGAGTTGCATTTTTCGTGGCAGGCGTATCACTTTGGAGACCTCCATCGTCATTTTGCGTGGCGGGTGCAGCACTTCAGACGTGTCGCGTTGCGTGTTTTTTGCGAATCGCATTGTCAGGCCAGCGTCAAGTGGTGTCAACAGACAAATTCTGGCAGGCGTGGGGCATTGTGAGAGTGTTTTTTCGCGTGGCACGTGTAGCATTTGGTGAAGATCCGTCGTGTGTGGAATGGCATCTTTCGTGCCAGGTGCAATTTTTAGCACACTCTATCACTACACGCCACACTTTACACTTACACTTTACACTTTACACTCCAGACTCTACACTCTACACTTTACACTCCGCACTGCACTCCATACTCCACACTTTACACTCTACACTTTACACTCCACACTTTACACTCCACACTTTACAATTTACCCTTTCCACTCCACTTTACACTTTACACTCCACACTTTACACTTTACACTTCACAATCCACGCTCAAACTCCACACTTCACACGTTATAACCACACTCTACACTTTACACTTTACACTCCACATTCTACTCTACACTTTACACTCCACACTTTACACTCCACAGTCCGCACTCCACACTTTGCACTCCACAGTCCACAGTCCACACTTCACACTCCTCACTCCACACTCTACACTCTACACTTTAAACTCCACACTTTACACTCCACACTTTACAATTTACCCTTTCCACTCCACACCGCGCACTGTACACCCCACACTTCACACGTTACATTCCAGACACTTTACACTTTACACTTTACACTCCACACTTTGCACTTTACACTTCACATTTTTCACTTTACACTCCTCACTCCACACTCCACACTTTACACGTTACACTCCACACTTTACACTTCACCCTTCACACTTTACACCCCACACTTTACACTCCACACTTTACACTCCACACTCTACACTTCACACTTTCCACCCCACACTTTACACTTTGCACTCCCCACAACCCCCACTTCACACTCTACACTGACTCTACACAGTATATCCCCCACTGAACACACCACTTTCTTCACACTCCACACTTTGCCCTCCACCCCCCTCCACATTCCACAGTCTACACTGGACTGGCACGGTAACAGGGGCAAAATGGAACAATCTACCAGCAGTACCGCACAAGGCGGTGGCGGAAGTTTCAAAAAGAGGAAACCTATAGGAGAGAAGGTTTTGCGATTGAAAGTGGGTCTCTGGAATTTGATTCCTTTAGGTGGATCCATATGTATGCAGATTGTTTGGCAAGGAGCCAGTATATTTGAATATTATTTGAATATGTTTGAATTTAACTACTTCATTTTTTCTTAATTAAGTCGCAGATAAGTTACTTTTTGGCATCTAATTC